GTACAGCGGCTGGGGGTTGTTGAGCAGATCAAACTGTTATGAATGGGCGGAGCCGATGGAAATAGAGGCGACTTGTGGTGCAGGTTGTTGACAGGTAATGGTATTCAGACCGAAACAAGAACTAGAACAAGACTAGGAAGAACTGGTGTCGATCTGCTGGGGGATCAGGAAGTGGGGAGCTCAGGGGAGGCGGCTGTTTATGTTTTTCTGGGAAGGCTGGGGAAGCGTGGGGAAGCAGAAGGGTACGGAATGAGAGGGAAGCCAAGAGAAGCGCCAAGGGTGGGGAAGCATAGAAACAGAAGACTGGGGATGGGGTGGCTACGCTGAGGCTGTGGGCGGGTACGTGGGGAAGTATGGAGAAGGGTTTGTGAGCGCCGAGTGTTGGGAGGTGTGGCTACGTGCGGCTGCGTGGAGAAATGAAGGCAGTGGCAGGTGTGGGGTAGCGCGGCTGCGTGCGGCTGCGAGGTTTGGCAGATGTCAGGTTTTGACAGGGAATTGACATTGACTGACTGTTGGGATGCTGTCATGAGGTAAGCGCATGGTATGGACGCGTCGTCCATAACACCAAGATCCCCAAGGGCGGGTAGGGATACTGTTGGGCTGGAGTAGGCCATATGGTTTGTGTCGACTGGATTTCGCTTGGCTACAGGTATCGCAGGACTTGACGTAGGCCTTGACGAAGCGCCACTCGCTGGGCCACCAGTAGTTGCGGGAGGCGAGTTCGAGCGTCTTGGACATCCCAAAGTGGCCGGCTAGGGGTGTATCGTGCATGTCGTGGCAGACTTCAGCTCAGAGCTCGTTGCTGGGGACATAGACCAGGTTATCGTGCAGCAGGATCCCATCTTCATCTGAGAACCGCTTGATACGATCTTGGGTTTCCTCGGTTCGTTGGGCGAGGGGTATCTTGAGCTTTTTGCGAATGGTCTTAGCGAGGGGATCAGAAGCCTGGGCGGCCTTAATCTTGTCAAGCAGCGTGGTATCCATGGGTGTGAGGTAGGCCGCGGCGAGTCGAAGGCGTTCGGGAGTCAAAATTGTGGTTGCCTGGGAGCGGAACGCTTCTTCCCCCTTTTTTAGCTCATGTTCGGAGCGTCGGGAGAGGGCATCGGCTTGGTGCTGCTGGGAACCGGGGCGATAGGTAATGACAAAGTCAAAATCCGAGAAGAATATCGACCAGCGGGCTTGGCGGCGGTTCAGGGTGCGGGTGGTCATGAAGTACTGAAGGCTTTTATGGTCGGAGTAAACGGTGATCTTGTGACGGGCGCCAATGAGATGGTGTCGTCACTGGGCAAAGGAGTCTTGGATGGCCAGAAGTTCCTTGTCGTAGATCTTGTAGTTGATCTCTTCGGCCGTGAATTTGCGAGAGTGGAAGGCCACGGGGTGGAGCTGATTGTCCTGGTCAGGTTGGAGGAGAACTGCGCCAAGAGCGAAGTCGGAGGCGTCAGTTTCGACGACGAAGGGCTTCTCTGGGTCAGGATGAGCAAGGATGGGGGCGGTGGTGAATGCTTTCTTCAGGTTCTCGAAGGCGGTGTTTGCGGCGGGTGTCCAGGCGTACAGGATGTCTTTCCGGGTCAGGGCTGTGAGCGGGGTAGAGATCTTGGAATAACCTTGGATGAATCGGCGATAGAAGTTGGCAAAGCCGAGGAACCGCTGGACGCCTTCGACAGTCTTGGGAGGTTCCCAATCCGTGATGGCAGCGATCTTCTTGGGGTCCATCTGGATGCCTTTCTCGGAGATGAGGAAGCCTAGGAACTCAACGGATTCGCGATTGAATTCGCACTTCTCTGGTTTGGCGTACAACCCATGCTGTCGGAGGTGGGACAAGACTTCGCGGACATGTTTGGGGTGATCTTCGGGGTTCTTGGAGAATATCAGGATATCGTCGAGGTAGACGACAACAAACACATCGAGAATGTCGCAGAAGATGTCGTTCATCAGGTACTGGAAGACGCCAGGAGCATTGCTGAGTCCAAAGGGCATGACATTGTATTCGAATAGGCCGTAGCGGCAGCGGAAGGCGGTCTTCCATTCATCGCCCGGGCGCATGCGTAAGAGGTTATAAGCGCCGCGGAGGTCGATCTTGGTGAGGCGGCGGGCGCCGCGCAAACGATCCATGATACCATTGATCAGGGGCAGGGGGTAGCGATTCTTCACCGTGATGTTGTTCAGGCCTTGATAATCCACGCAGAGGCGGAGAGAACCGTCCTTTTTCTTCACAAATAAGACTGGCGCACCGGCAGGGGACTTTGAGGGTTTGATGAATCCTTTGGCGAGGTTTTCTTCGAGATTCGCAGAGTGCCTTCATTTCTGGTTCGCTGAGGCTGTAGATCGGGCCGAAAGGTGGCTGCTTGCCTTTTTCCAGATCGATTGGACAGTCGTAGGGCCGGTGCTCGGGGAGAGTGTCAGCATTTCTCTTTTCGAAAACGTCGGCGAAGTCTTGATACTCGGGGGGCAGGAAGTCTTTGATGTCTTTCTCGGGTGTCAGGGGGTTACTGGGGCTAGGCGAGGCCGGGAGATTGGGTTTCGCAGGGTTGGCGTAGGCGACAAAGACCTGGTCATGCCTTGCTGCGACCCGGAAGGCTGGGGCGGAGATGAACGAGACTCGGAGCGGCGTGGGAGCCGGTTCTGGGGTGCTGGAGCGAGCTACCTTGGGTACTGGAATCGACCATGTTTCGTCGACGGGGACTTCATCCTGGGGAATGCGGATCAAGGGCTCGGGGGTTCTGGCGGGTGCTGGGCTCGGGGGTGCTGGAGAGTTGTCCCAATTTGCGAATTCATGGTACTGACAGTCGCAACGGAAACCGACCGAAAGGTTCTTGAAGTCAAGGTTAATGTCGTGGAGGCGGAGCCAGGGGAGACCAAGGAGGATTGGAGCATGGGGTGATTTGGTGACATGGAAGACGAGTTCTTCGAAGTGGTCGTCGACCCACATGCCTAGTGGTTGGGTGTGATGGGTGATTGGCCCAGCAGAGCTGGGTTGACCGTCAACGAGTTCGATCGTCAGTGGACGCTGATGCGGGACTAGGGCGATGCGGTGTTTGCGGGCAATGTCTCTGTCGATGAAGCAGGACAGGGCACCGTTGTCGATCATGGCTGAGGTAGGTATTGGGGCGCGGCTGGATGATACCATGATGGTAACGGGGTAGTTGAAGGGTTCGACGGGACCCAGCGCAAGCATGGCGCGGGGGTTAATTTCGGGGTTTTCGACATGGGCAGCGGCTAGGAGGGTTGTGTCGGCTATAACGGAGTCGGGAACCAGGGGGGTGGCCTCTCCCGTTGCAGGAGCTGCAAGGTTAGGAGGCCCGGGGCGGTGTGTGTTGTCCAGTCGCTGGGGCTTTACTGCGGCTGGACTTTGGGAAAACCCTGTTCGGTGGAGGGTTCTTTGATGTCGACGTTGGCGGCACGGGTGGTGGTCTTGTTCTTGACGGGGCAGACTTTTGCAATGTGCCCCGCGCCACCGCAGTAAAGGCAGAGGTTGTTGGAAATGCGGCGTTGGCGTTCCTGAGGGCTCAGAGGGCCGCGGGGACGAGCGGCGTCAATCTGCATAGGCTCGCTGTGGTCGACAGTGGTGGTAGTAGTAAACGAGGTGTGGGGAACCGGGAAGGTCTGGCGGCTTCTGTTTCGCTCCAGGCGGCGCTCAAACTGCCGGTTATCGCACTGGATAGCCTGCTCCATCACCACATCAATGGTGGCCGCAGGGGGCATTGTGAGCATCAGGTCTTTGACGTCTTCTTTGAGGCCACGGCGGAAGGTAGCAATCAGGGCCTGGTCGTTCCAGGAGACATCGCATTGTAGCTGGCAGAACTCAGCAACGTACTCGGTTGCTGCACGGGTGGTTCTGGAGCTTGTTTTTAGAGGTGCCGACCCTGTCGCTGTCTCCGAAGACCGATTGCATCTGGCTGATAAAACTATTGAAGTCCTGAAGGCTGTGATCTTGGCGTTCGACTAGGGGCGCCATCCAGGCTTGCGCAGTGCCGGTGAGGTAGGTGCCAATAGTTTGGATCTTGATGATGTTGCTGGGGTAGCGGTCAGGCTGGAGAGCAAACATCAACCGGATGTTGTTCAACCACCAACGGAATTTGCTGCGGGTACCATCAAACTTCTCGGGCGAGCTGATTCTTGGTTCCAGAGCAGGGTTGGCGACTTGGGGACGGGTGTACGTATCGGCTTGAACCTGGGCGGCGATGCTCTGGGCAGCTTGTGCGTCGGCTTGGGCTTGCGCTAGGTTGGCCTGCAAGTTGGTGTTTTGGCTTTGCAAGGCGGCGATGGCTTGGCACATATCGTTCCATTGCTTGGCGGTGAAAGGTACGGATTCGGGTTGGGACATGGCGAAAAAGGTTTGTCGGATGCAGGGCTGGACAGGTTCTGAACTTCGCAGTGTTGGAGCAGATCAAACTGTTATGATCTCGACGACGGGGGCAGAAGCGAAGTAGAGAAGACAGGGCGAGTGTGATAGGCGACAAGAGATTCTATTGGCGAAACAAGAAACAAGGACTAGAACAGGAGATGAGAAGAACTGGGGTTGATCTGCTGGGGAGGAAGGGAATGGACAAAGAGAGGCCGGCTATTTATAGATAGGCAACCCAGCAGATCAGAGAACAACAACAACAAGAGGGGACTGGGGGGCGCCAGCTATGCTCCTGGAGGTGCGTGGCGAGCGTAGAGAGCATTGCTACAGCTGCTGGCTATGAGGAAGCAGTGGGGGGTGTGGAGGAGCCGAGGGGGAATTGGGGAAATGAGAGGACAGAGGCGGAGTGGCGATATTGCAACAGGATTGGCGAAATGAGAGGAGAGAGGGGGAGTGGCATTGACATTGACATTGACACTGACATTGACACTGACATTGACATTGACATTGGCGTTTGACATTTGGCGGTTGACATTGGCGGCTGTCAGTAGGTAAGCTTATGGTATGGGCGCGTCGTCCATAACAGTCTCCGCCCGCCATCCCCCCGTCTCCACCCGCCAGCCCCCCGTCTCCGCCCGCCAGCCCCCTGTCTCCGCCATCCCCGTTGCGGCGACATTCCGTTGCAGCGTCCTCACAATGCACCACCCCATATCAGATACACATCCAATCAACGTGCGGTCGAGACAAAGTCTCGGTACTTTCAAAGAGACATGACAGAGCGAAAGATCAATGCGGGCATCGCTGAGATGGAAGCACATATTCCATCGCACAAGAGCATGAACATCGAGGCGTTCTCAGCGTTCATCGTGGATTACGAACATGCGGGTATGATGTTCTACTTCTTTGATTTTCAAATTTGGTAATACATGGGCTCACATTCATATCCCAGATCCCGCCCTGGATGAGTTTTACCAGGATGAGATTCACGTGGCTTGCAGATTCAAGGCGTTCTCACTGCGGCAAAAGTCTGAGAGCAAGCTCATCAAGAACATGCGACGGCTGTATGGAAAGCATTTTTTGGTCATCTTGGGTGATTGGAGCGACGCTGGAAAAACCATGCGCTTTCAGGAGTCATCAAAGACCAAAGGGTGAGTGACCGTCATTGTTTTTTATGTATTATAATACGCTCACTCATGGGGGGAAATCAGATTCCACACACTCTTTGCAAGGAACAGCATTCCATGCTACTTGCTAGATGAGTATCGAACGTCTTCGGTGTGCCCAGACTGCCACGGGCGTGTGAAGAAAAACATCCGACGCCGGCTGTCATCTCGGCCATGGCAAGCTAGAAAGGGAAGAATGGAATACGTCCATGGATTGGTGGGTTGCCCCAACCCCGAATGTATCAACCAAGACTGGACGCCATTTGAGATTCCTGGAAGACGACCACTACGACTATGGATGAGAGTGCACAATCGGGACGTCCTGAGCACCAAGAATTTCCTCTCGATTGTGCGTTCGGTGGTGTTTGGCAATGGCCGCAGACCAGACGCATTCTCCCGTAACCGTAGGTAGTCTAGATTTCACCCCATCCCATTTTCCGTGGTGGTTATCTGCCATCCACATCATTGTATCTCTGCCTGAGGCGTCGCCGATGATGGCAACTTGTAACTTATAACGCAGGTAGATTATTTGTACAGAATCGGCACCACGGCCGCATACCACCAGATTGTTCCCAAAGTAGAGCAATCTGGTCCGCTAGCCTCTCGAGAATGACACATAAGTTAATAACTACCTGCCCATGTCTCCCGCTCCCGCAGCCGCGCTCCCGCAGAGTTGCGACATGCTTGTGAATGATAACAGCATCCGCCGGTTTGTGGGCTAAGTAGCTATAACCCTCAACCCAACCGACTGTGGCCAAGGGCTCGCCAATCCATGTTTAGCATTGACGTGCGGGTGTAAGGATATATGACAAATGGAAAGTAACACAAACTACGATATATGACTAGCAAGATCTATATTTGCCCACGAACCGCTAGTCAAGCTCTATGGTGCCAATGGCTCATACGTCGCGTCTCGTAGATGTGTACCATGAGCGTTTGTAGATTTGCGCTGGCTCGAAGCGACCAAGGTTGGAGCTTGACCTTGCCAAACGGGTCGTTGCCTGCATGGTGGAAGCCCGTAGTCGCCATTGAGACGTGAAGTGACGACCGCCCCGAATCAAATTTACATGCTGCATGGTAGAAGCCCAGCAGGAAGCAAGGCGGCTCGCGATCGCTCACAATATCCAGATGGTGAACGAAAGTCCCATCGGTGGACGTTGGAATAGATGATATGTCGGGTGGGAACCTGCCCTGCCCAACACCATGCATTTTCTTGGTTCCAAAGCTCGCGTCAAAGGCTCCCATCAGCTTGGCGTGCTTCCCTTTGGCGGTCCGCAAAGACTCTAACCATCCTTGTGGCCGCGTGCCTCTTCAACAACGGGTCAAAGTCTCCCTCCACCTGAGCAACCAAAGTGTTCGCGTCATCCCAGCAAGAAGCCAGAGAGGCAAGCATCTCCGCAAAATCGTCTCGTGGTAAGCTGTCACGGGCAATGTCCAGCATGGTTCGCACAGTACGTGGTAACAGCAACCGAGCAACACCGGATATGTTCTCCTCAGACGGTATCACCCGAACGTCCTCCGCCAAGAGCCTGAGGACGTCTGGCTTACTACGCCCGCAAGGTCCGCTCCGTGCCAACGCCGCTTCATAGAGCGCTGGCCCCTTGCGCGGATCAAAAGGGAGCAGACCGTCCGAGTCGCGAAAAAAGCAGCTTTCGTCCGCCCCGAGAAGGTCTTTGAGGAAAGCCAGGGGTCGTTTCTCAAAAAATGCGCACACGTCCTTTAGCTCGAATCTCAGGCCGGCATGCAGAACGACCGGGAGAAGCCCGTCGTAGCCATAGTCACGAAACTTACGCAGAAACAATCGCGAAGATGGTATCACGTTCAGTAGCCAGATCATGGGATGGTCGTCGATATACGCCGTGTCGGCCTCGTCACAGTTGGTGAACCCGTCCAGCCCGGTCGGCAGGCGACATAGCCAATTTTTGAGGATGTATTTTAGGTGCGACCCACCAATAGAGAAGCCTTGCGACACGCGCTTCCGGACCCACTCGGGCGGTATTTCCGCCATTTTGAGAAGATAGACACGGGCAAGCCTATCGTAGGCTGCGGTATTGTAGTGCAAAAATTCGCAGCAAGCTTCTTGAGTGGCTTCATTTGTCACTCTGAAAACGTCTAGTTCGTTGATGCTTCCCGAAGCTTTCAGAATCATGTGCGCCATTTCTTTGAGATATTGCCGCTGCTCTAAGAGTCAATGCCGAAGTATACATTTGTATCTCAAGAGGTCTGGCTCACCAACTAGAGATAAATGTGGCTCACCGTCCAGTGGCGGCGTGAATCGCATCCAAAATGGTGATTCCAGCCGAGAAGCGACCGTTTGCCAGCTGCACTCCGGTACATACATCAAGCAACTGACATCGAACCGTGTCGCATCCACAAAGCCTTTTTCCAGAAGAACTTTCACGCTGCGGAAGGCATCCTCAGGAAACTCGCGGAAAGCAGCAGTAGCGAGCAGGTGCTCACCATCGAAACATTCCTTCCTGATGCATTCAGGTGTGCTATCCAGATATATGTAAATCGGCAATCCATTCCTCAAGATGTAAACATGCATGTTTTTGGATCATATGAAAGAGAAGAAGAGCGACGAAACATCAAGTCCTCTACAAAGTGTTCTTCGCCTATGATTGGGGGATCCTCAGATGAGATATTCTAGTCCAACGCCACACTAACGCTTGAGATGTTGAAAGAACTGTGGAGTGTGATCTACCTATGCTATCTCAGTCACTCCTCACGCACTCTTCTTCACGGTCTTCGCCGCATCCCCCGCAAACTCAATCATAACCTCATCCCCACCCACACTCTCTCCCGCCTTCACATAAACGCCCTTGATAGTCCCCGCCCTCGGCGCGCGAAGCACGTTTTGCATCTTCATCGCCTCGACGACGGCGAGCTCGGACCCTTCTGCGACAAGGTCGCCGACTTTCACGGCGACGGAGACGACGGTGCCGGGCATGGGGGCGAGGATCATGCGGGTTGTGTCGATCTTGGGCTTGGGTTTCATGTGGATGGAGAGCTGGTTTTGGAGCGGGGTTTGGAGGCGGACGGAGAACTGGTGGGGAGAGGTGGTGTTAGGATGGTCATGACGGTTATGAAGATGAGGAGGAAAACGCATGAGTTTAGTATACCTTCGTGCCATAGTGCTGCAACTTGTATCCCGAAGCATCCGTCTCCAAATACTGCATCGTGACGGGTCGCGCAGCCCCCTTCGCTCCCTTGACGTGCGCATGGATGATAGGGCTCTCCAGCACCCACTCAAGGTTCGACACAGTGACGGGCGCCTTTCCATCAATGGCAACAGTGTACGTGCCGTCGCTTACTTTCTTGACGTCCGCTTTCTGGGTGGCGTTCTCGCCAATGCCGACAAAGAACGACCAATCGGACTTTGCGACGGGTGTGCCGACGCGGTTGTCGGCGAAGGAGCCGCCGCCTTGCACCCATCCGCGCTTGCGGGCGTCGCGGAGGGAGTGAATGACGGCGGAGATGGCGACCAGCTCTTCGCTGGATTCTTCCGTGAGTTTGTGACCCTTGAATCCTTTGGGATATTCTTCTGCCAGGAACGCGGTGGAAATCTTTCCGGATTGGAACCGGGGGTGAGAGTATACGTCGCGGAGAAGCGGGACGTTGTGTGTGACACCTTAAGTGGGATAGAACAAGAGAAAGGTTAGTCTCCGGTTGAGTAGGGCTTCAATCACACAATACGCTCCTACCTTTGATCACGTAGGTATCAAGCGCCTTCTCCATGGTAGTGATAGCCTCAGCACGAGTAGGTGCATGCGTGCAAAGCTTGCAGATCAGAGGATCGTAGTAAATGCTAATCTCACTTCCCTCCACGATTCCAGAGTCGCAGCGAATCTCGTCCTTGATCGCCTTGGGCTCAATGTACTTGTTGAGCGTACCAATGGATGGGAGGTACTTTTCGGGGTCCTCGGCGTACACGCGGGACTCGAAGGCCCAACCTTTGATTTTCACGTCCGACTGCTTGAAGTTCAACTTCTGGTTCGCGGCGACCCGGATCATCTGCTCTACGAGATCTAAGCCTGTGATGTATTCGGTGATCGGGTGCTCTCTGAGGATTGAAAGGTCGGAATGAGTTTTCGGATGGTAGCCAAGTTGAAGACGAGGAGTAGCTACTACTCGCCACCCACACTTGTAATCTAGTGTTCATTTCCAGGAAATAGAAGTTCCGCTTCGGGTCCACCAAGAACTCGCAGGTACCTGTGGTGAGGCGTCCTGTGAATTGCCGCTCCCATTGGTGCTCCGACGACGACGAACTACATACCGGCCGAGTAGTATCCTACATTCTTCGCCAATGCAACAGCTTGTTCACCCATCGCTTTGCGTGTCGCCTCGTCAATGTGAACACTAGGTGCCTCCTCAATGACCTTCTGGTTCCGCCTCTGAATGGAGCATTCACGTTCTGGCAGGTAGATCTGAAATTACGGAATCACTACATGAGCGATCACAGGAAATCATGCGCTAAAATGTGATGCCGTCTACGTACGACGTTGCCATGCTTGTCTCCGATCAGCTGGATCTCAATGTGACGCGGGTCCTCAACGAACTTCTCCACAAGGAGACGGTCATCTCCGAAACTGGACAGAGCTTCGGACGACGAGATCTTGAAAGCGTCGCGTGCTTCGTTGTCGTTCCAAGCGATTCGCATTCCTTTTCCACCTCCGCCAGCGGAAGCCTTGATCATGACAGGATAGCCGATGGATCTCGCTGTGAATGGTCAACGCTGTCAGTCTATCGTAATGCGCGAATGATCGTTCGCAAACAAGGAGTATGCATACAAATCTCGACCGCATGTTCGGCGTCCTTCACGACTCCGTTAAAACCAGGAATGGTGTTGACCTTGGCTTCGTGTGCAATGATTTTACTCTGGATCTTGTCTCCCATAGCAGCCATAGCAGACTCGTTCGGTCCAATGAAAGTCGCTCCGACGCCATCAAGAGCCTTGACAAATTGACTGTTTTCTGACAGGAATCCGTAACCAGGGTGAACAGCCTGCGCGCCGGTTTGCTTGATAGCTCCGAGGATGTTGGGAATATTGAGGTAACTTTTGCTCGTAGGTGGCGGTCCCTAATTTCCGATAAGTGAGCAGCATGCGGCCATAAAAAGTCGTGCGTATCCGTGACTGACCACAAAGACTGCCTCGTCTGCTAGGCGCACATGAAGCGAGTTCGCATCGGCTTCGGAGTAGATGGCGACCGTTTTGATCCCCATCTTTTTAGCTGGGAGTCACGGAGTGGGTGAGTTCTCACGCCTTCTTTATTCGCGCACAGCATAAGAACCAGCTGTCAGTACCAGTTTTGATAACACGACATGCAATCTCTCCTCTGTTGGCAATCAAGATCTTGTCGAAAGTCTGTACAGAACATATCAATAAGTCTATTGGGCACGTCTCCATAACGCTACAATGCGCGGTCGTAACGTACCTTGCCATAGTCGGTCGAGGTCGCGACTGCCCTTCGGCCTGTTGCTCGTTGTGCCGAGCATGCCGTAGCGGCAACAGCAGACTGGGTGCGTTGAGCCTGAGAAAGTCCGTGAAGCGCCTTAGCGGTTGCGGCCGCAGATCGGAACTGAAGCTGCCCTAACATCTTGGATGAAGGTCTGGGGAATCACCGGATGGCCTTAGTATCTCAGAGCGGCAGGAACCAGCGGTCGTCCCTATGCTATGCTCACCTGTGAAGTTTTCCACGAGCGACTCGAGTGAGGTATGCTGGCTACCCGATGGCAAGCTCCTTTTGCCGATGTCAAAGCTGTAAACCGAGAACCGTGCTGAGGCCAATGTCTTGTTTTGCAGAATGTTTCCCAGCGAGCGAACGTGATGATGCTCGTGAGGACGGCAGCTGACCCTCGAGCGCGTCTCTCATTTACCACCGACACTTCCACTTCTGACGGACGGCCCCCTCGGCTCAACCACACCTGGACAGACTGAAAGAGTAGCGGATGGGCATCTTTCGCAGCAGTCACCGCACGCAACTCGAGAGTATGATGTTCACCTGTTCCTGTATGTAATGGTCGGGTGCAAGTCGGTTTCATTGGCAAGCATAAGCGTTTCATATGGAGCCATCAATGTAAGAGATGGAGCAGGGAAAAGCGATGAATGGCTAGGAAGAGACGGGGGAAAAGGCATTCCGAGATATTGTAGGTTCCAACTAATCACACTTATGTGACAATCAGCTTCCAAGGGCACAGTCCAACATATACTCTATATACAGTATCGTTCGTCGTCATCCGTCGACTTGAAGTTTCCGCCCCAGCGTAAATTGACAGGGTGGTCCTTTCCACGTCCAACCCGTCACTGATCAGTCACGAGCGCGTCTGGTGCAAGTCAGTTCCAATTCCACCAGAGTTTCCCCAAAGCTGCTTGAAAAGTGGTTTCCTACGCCTTGGAGTTTGGACATCCTGTTCGCACGTAGAGACATTTCGACCTCACCTTTCGCGACGACAGCCCAGCATGTTTCGCTCAAAGCTCGTCTTGTCCAGCAGGACCCTCCTGCGTGCCAACAATGCGCTTGCCCAACAACCAATGAGAAGCTCGCAAGTCCTATGCAGCTCTGGGAGGAGGACTTTCGCTAGCTTGTCTTCCATCGGACAGGTCATCGAAAACACTGTTGACATCCACTCCGACGAGTTCAAGGTGGGTTTCCCGAAGTGAGAAGGGCTCTGCGCAGTAGCTAATTAGTGACGCGATGGTTCTCGATTTCGTTCAGGAAAACGCAGCGGCCCAAGATCAGTTGGTGAAGCAGCTTAGGGAGGATGTCGATAAGATAAAGCAAGGTATGAATGGCGCTTCTCGACGAAGAGCTTGCTGCCTGGTCTAATCAATCTTTCTGGGATTTGGCAGGAGGCGGACTAGAAGCACGGAAACGCCACCTCTCCCGGAAGAAGCTTCTACCACGCGACAGAGTCGACGCCCTCATAGATCCCGGGTATGCGCGAGTCATCCATCTACGTTATGGCAAACGAGGCTTGCTTGGCTGACATTTTCAACGCAGATCGCCATTCCTCGAACTCTCACAATTTGCTGGTATGTTGTAGGACAGTGATGAGTGGCGATCGAACTGGGACGGTGCTAATGCATCCGCATGACAGGATACAAGCTGTATGAGGATGACGTTCCGGCAGGAGGAATCATCACGGGAATCGGGCGGGTCAGCGGGTATGAGCATCATAGGGATACAAAAGCTGGTCCTGTCGGAACCTAAGGTTGACCGATATCGCTTTTTCAGAGTGGAATGCGTCATTGTGGCAAACGGTATGGCTTTTTTCGCAATGAATCAGAGTTAGACAGCCTCCTGATTCGCGATCAATGATGAACCCAGATTCCACTGTCAAGGGAGGAACCTACTATCCTGTACGCAGCATACCTTCGATTACGCTCAGACAGTCCCTGTGTGATTGACGCCCTTGATATCGCCAGATTACTGTGAAAAAGCACTTGCGTGCACAAGAGATTGCAAGGGAAAACAAGTTGCCTTGTATCTACTTAGGTATGCCTTTCGTTTGCGACGTGGCTCTGGCCATCGAACACCCGTGTCTAATCCTCGCCTTGCAGTCGATTCCGGAGGTGCCAACCTGCCGAGACAGGCGGATGTGTTCCCGGACAAAGAGCATTTCGGAAGAATCTTCTACAATCAGGCGACCATGTCAGGAGCTGGTATTCCCCAGGTCGCGATTGTCCTCGGGTCCTGTACTGCTGGAGGAGCATATGTGCCAGCGATGGCTGGTCAGTCAAGTAGCCATTTTCGGCATCGCATGATCATTACTGACTATGAAGACTTTCAGATGAGAGTGTGATTGTCAAGAACCAGGGAACTATTTTCCTCGCCGGGCCGCCGGTAAGTACTCCGGACCGCTCCTGCTGACCCTCCACGGATTGCTGATATTGTGTTTACCCCATAGCTTGTGAAAGCTGCAACGGGAGAAGTCATCTCCGCCGAAGAACTCGGTGGTGCCGATCTCCACTGCAAGGTACACATCACCCATCTTTCGCCGAACGAAAACATCATCCTCACACTCTCTTTTCAAATTTCCAGACCTCCGGCGTCACAGACTACTACGCCCACTCCGACGCGCACGCCCTCTCCCTCGGCCGCCAAATCGTCGCCAACCTGAACTACAAGAAGCAACCCAGCGTCACGCTCACCGCTCCCGAGCCGCCATTGTACTCCCCCGAAGAGATTGGAGGCATTGTCGGCGACAATCTGAGGAAACCGTATGATGTTCGACAGGTTATTGCAAGGATTGTGGATGGGAGTCGGTTTAGCGAGTTCAAGGAGTTCTATGGGACTTCTCTTATCACTGGTGTGTTGTCGTCGTGTCGCGATGAAGCAAGCGGTGACTTCCGCTGATAATCGTTTCTCAACTACAGGGTTTGCGAGGATCCACGGCTTCCCTGTCGGAATCGTCGCGAACAACGGAATTCTGTTCTCCGAGTCCTCCTTGAAGGGAGCGCACTTTGTGCAACTGTGCAGCAAACGGGGTATTCCGTTGGTCTTCTTGCAGAACATTACTGGTGCGTCCTCTGTTCGTCGTTCCCTGACGGTCCTCCAAATTTGACATTGTCTCTCTGTGTCTAAGGTTTCATGGTCGGCAAGAACGCCGAGGCCGGCGGGATTGCCAAGAACGGTGCCAAGCTCGTAACCGCCGTTGCTTGTGCCAATGTTCCAAAGTTTACGGTAAGCATTGCTTCATGCAACCTCCCTACGCCTTCGTGACGGGTCACTAATATAAGTTCATCGCAGATTTTGTGTGGAGGATCCTTCGGAGCAGGTCTGTCCCATTAGTTTTCATAGAGTAGAATGACCGAGTGTTATCTTATGCTCTTTCATTTAATGCGAAACAGGAAACTACGGAATGTGTGGCAGAGCATACAGCCCTCGTTTCTTGTGGACATGGCCCAACTGTAAGTAGCGCGAAAGCGAATTGTATGTAGGGATGTCGAGTGCTAAACGAGTTTCCACAGCCCGTATCAGCGTAATGGGAGGCGAGCAGGCTTCCAATGTTCTGGCGCAGAGTAAGTTACATCCATGCTGCATCGTTGGGTATTGTTCGTTGAGTGTTAACGCGTTCCTTCGTCGTATAGTCACTCGAGATGCAAAGGCGAAGAAGGGACAGGAGGTATGGGCGTAATCGAACGCATTCGTGAAAGGTAAGCGGTACGACGGTTCTGACATTCATGTCCTTTTGAACGATAGTGGGCCGTGGAAGAAGAAGAAGCCTTCAAGAAACCTATCCGGGAGCGATACGAGTCTGAAGGACACCCCTACTTCGCCAGGTAAGCGGCCCTTTCTCAGTCAACCTGCAGCGTTGACACCGCACTCCCATCGTACTCACATCAGCCCACACGTCACTCTCCCTCTCCACCAGCGCACGATTGTGGGACGACGGAATCATCACCCCCTCCTCCACCCGCGATGTGCTCGGACTCGGTCTGAGCGCGGCACTGAGCAAGCCGGTTAACGAGACCCAGTTTGGTGTTTTCCGTATGTAGAAGTCGGGATAGACGGTCCCTCGGACGCACCATCTGTACAGTATGTAGAGTCCATATAGATTCGCAGACAGTTTGCTGCTGTTTTCCATATCATGCTTCATTTCTGTGACTGGCTTTACGTTTTTTTTTCTAATTCATATGGAGGGCAATCACGCATTTTTCAAGTTCTTTACTCGTTTAAACCCTGACCACCTTTTGCCGTTCTGCCGTTTCGGGACCCACAAGCCTCGTTTCGACGGCCCAGCGGCCCCAAGCCACATTCGCGGGTCACCGTCCGTTTGAAGCTGTTAAACAACGCGGAGCCTCCGGACATCTGTGCGACGCTGGGACCGGGGGGTCGGTAAGTTTGCCCTGGCTGGATTTTTCGGCGCGTGTGAGCGTTGAGAACATCCCCCCCAGGCCCGAAGCAGGGCCCGAAGGTGGTGAGAGGTTCCAACTTCCAAGAGCAGCCTCAACGACAGGCGTCTCCCAGAACAGGTTTATTGCAGCTCACGTAGTCGCTCGTTGGAATTCCCTCCCATCTTGCATGTATGCCCCCAGGGTTCTACGATGGCTTTCATTGGGGATCCCTTTCCGTACGCTTTTCGGCGGCCACGGACGCAATCTATATGAAGAAGCAGAAGTGGAAGTATGCGAGCGTTCATGCGGTCTCACGAAAAGCAATAGTACACCAGCGTGCAACGAGGGCGGGGAGATCCTCGAGTAGCGGGGCTAGTAATTTATCCCATTGACATGTACACTGTCATGTAAACTTGAAGGCGGGTGGCAGGTGGGATCCCCCAGTAGCCCAGTTGGTGATGGATTGCGCGTTGTGTTGGCGCAAATTGCCACCTCCTCGGCTATTCGTCCGAGGACTCCTGAGGAGGCGAGGAGACAGGAGCGGTTTTCCAGCCTGCAACATCGCTATTTTCGCTGGCCCCTCAGCCCCAGATAGTACCCCATAAACTCACTTCTTTAGAACCTTCGCACCTCCACGGGTCGCATCTCAATAGATTTTAACCTTCTTTCAGCCGTTTTTAACTTGCAGTGCTAAATTGTGGAGCACCTGCCAAGCAGGGGGCATTCGCGACTGGAGATTCAACAACGGGTTCACTCATTCAACTGCAGAGGAGCTCAACAAGGCTGGCGCCTCTATAAGAGCATCGAAACGATGGGGTTCTCTGTTGAGAAGGCGGAGAGGCCCCACAAAAAGGGCTTCCTGAAATCCCTCTTCTCGTCCAAATCGTCAAAGCCTGCCCGCCAGGAACCCATGGCGAAGATCCCTCCATCAGCAGAAAAGCCGCACTGGGACGCTCCGGACAAAACTCGGCCAACGGGTACGAGCCCGGCAAGTCAGCGGCCGAGTACGGCCGCGCCGCAGGCACAACATTCGGCGAGCCGACACAACCAGGTGCAGGTCAGCCCGAACACGGAGGGATCAGCGAATGTCGAACGGTCGCAACCGAGCGCTCGACCTATGTCGCTGTTTCCGCAAGACGCAGCAAGTAGACATGCGGGGCTGGTGCTTTCTACCAGCGGGGAGGGCGGTGTATCCATCCAGGTCCTGTTTGAAGAGTGCACTTCGGAGACGTTACCGGCAGATTCAGCATGCTCGCCTACGCTGAAGTTTACATCGCAAGCTCGGGCTCTGAATGGGATTTTGCGGATCACCAATCCTTCCCGACCATTCATAAGCCCACGCCTGACGATCGTGCTATTCTCGGGACAAGGTCGGACTGGGCAGCCAGTACATGATCCAGAGGCACCGTCCGCAGCGGGATTGCATATGCGGCCTATCGCACGGAGCGCGGCGTATGTGTGGAAGGAATCGGTTCAAGTTAATACCGGCACGCACGAGTTCCCGTTCTCCTTACCGATGTCGAACAAGTTACCGCCGACGTTGCATACATTCTCGAAGGCTGATGCTGCGAAAGAAGTGCTGCATACGCTGTTTGTGAAGATGAGGCGGGCGGATCGGGGGCATTTGATTGGAAAGTCGGATGTCGTACTGCAGAGATGTCGGCGCGTGGAGACCGAGGAGGAGGCGGGAGAGCGGATCATTACCGCAGAGGGCGCTTTTGCAAATGGTGAGTGCAGATTTCATGCTCGCGGGAATTACGGGCCCAGCTACGACTGCACACTCATCGCTATTTATCGCCAGGCTTCTTGAACTACCATATTGAATATGCGGAGGTCTGCAATGTAGATAAGCCAGTCACCAGAGTCTCATTCCGGGCTTTCAAGCGCCACAAATACGACTCCCCAATCCTTTTGGGAGCTGTTGATTGCTTATGGCAGGAACACGTTAGCATCCGAGGGGAACGTGGTGCGGCCGGCACGCGTCTGGACAGGGCACTGCATTCACCCCAACGCGCCCATCTACCGTCTGATCCACACAGTGCTATCGTCTTCTCTCAGCCATTCAGCGTCCCTATCCAAGCGGATGCCGAATTTGAGAGCCTCAAGATCACTCACGCCGTTTCCTTGACGGTCGATTTTTCCATCCTGCCCGATTGTGAACAGGTCCATCGGGAAGTGATTACCATCCCCGTGCGTTTCGCTGGTTTCATAATAAGTTCTCCCCAAGCGGGCTTAGGGCTGAGCGATTATGCTTCCACGATTAGCGCCTCTACTGGACAGGACGTGGCGGAGATTAAAGTTGAAAGACTTCCAAGCGTGGCGACACAGTCTGTCAGGGACCCACCACGAGGACCCGTTGGGCCTGGTGAAGTGCCACCCGCCGCGCCTACCATAGAGGTCACCGGAGCAGGCGCACCAGCAACGCGTCAAAGCTCTATAACCGCTCACGCCGCTGGTCAGCAGTACCGATCGGAACACGATTTCCAGCCCGCCGAGGCCGACGAGATGGAGTTGGCCGTGGGCGATCTTGTCGAGATCTGGCAATCGTTCGAAGACGGGTGGGCGACGGGCGAGAATCTTACCACACGGTCAAAGGGTTTCTTCCCGCTGAACGCGCTGGGTGAGACAGCATGGAAGATGTCGGAGGCTGGGGCTGCGGGGCTGTCCGTGCCAGATGCTATCGGCGGGACGTTGACGGTTTGTCGAAGGAACAAGTCGCTGTTGCCGGGCAAACCGGAAAATTCTCGAAGTCAGTCTCCGCCACCACCGCTCCCAATGAACACGAACACCGCCAGGAAACCTGTTGATTCAGCCGTGTCGGGGGTCAACGGGATCAACTGGGCCGAAGCCGTGGATACGACGCGAGAGAGCGTGGCACAACCCGCGAGTCGTAGCAAGCGCATGTCCATTTTCACATCCCAAGGGTCGCGTAGTAACCCGTCATCGTTCATATCGGACAGCACGGCAACTTGCAGAAGTCCACTATCAGCATCCTCATTGGTCTCCAAATCCCACGACGATTTACAGCGGGCGGCTGTCCGCCCTACAAGTACGGCCAGCACGTCAGGCAGCGTGAGAGCTTCGGCAATGCCTACATCGAGATACGATGCAGAAGGAGATCAATTCATGTTCCCACGGCCGATATCCCCACTTCCGTCAAATCACCGGATAGGTGACATCGGCTCTCCGGCACCACTCCCTCCAAACTCGCCTCAGCGCCGCGCAGACCGTCCCATGGGGAGTGACAATACTCCGAATCCCATAGATCGGTACCAACGGCCTTTTTCAATGGACGGCGGGTTCCGTGACCATGAGGAGATGAGTATCATCAACGCGTACAACAGGAGATCGTCGCAGGGACCGCCGGTTGGATACGATGGACGGGCAGTGGCCAACCAGCAGCAGCCGGTGGTTCAGCAGGTTCCTGTCCCTGGGCAAGCGATACCGGTGACGAATTATCGGGCGCTGAGGTCCTATCAGCCGCGCAATGCGGGGGATGTGGAGATAATGCAGGGGCAGGTGGTTGCTGTTGAGTGAGTATTTACTTCGTCAATGCTTTTCGTAGGTTGATTGTGCCATACTGAACGGCGTCTCCGGATTCCTTAGGGCATTAATTGGTCCAGGGTGGTGCTACGGAACGAATCGCGCAACCGGCCGCCGCGGATACATCCCATTCACGGTTCTTGGCCCGAAAATGGACGAGCCAATGCCATCGACTGCCCGACCCTTGTCACCGCCTCCATCACAAGTCCAACCGCAGTATTTACCTCGCGGATCAATGGACCAGAGCCTGAAATCTCGTCCCTCGTTCGACCAGAGCATGAATACCTCGTATTATAATCAACAACCTCACATACCTCAACAGCAGCAGCAGCAGCCGATGAATAGTCGGTGGAGCGGTGCGGTACCTGCACCACCGCAGGGCACTATCTTGCCTAACAATGGCTACAACTACATGCCGCCTCATTCATATCAGCCACCCGCGAGTCAGTACACGTCGCCACAGCAACCGGTGCATTCATCCTACCATCCTCAACAGATCCCTGCGCAATTACCAACACCCCCACTCCCCACTCCACCACTCCCCCAACAACTACAACAACAGAGCGACGGCTCCCGTCGCCCATCATCCTACTTCCGAGGCCAAACCTACTCCGCCTACCAGGTCCAACTGCCCCAACACCCCATCAGCCCCTTCCACGACGTCCAACGCCCGCAACTCTCCCGCCACGCCTCCCACGATGCCCTCCTCCTCAGCCCTACTCCACCACCCGCCCTCCAGTTGCCCGAGTATTCAAAGGACCCGATGCCCGTCCTCCCCAACCTCCCGAAATCGCCAGAGACGAAACAGGAACCGGCCCAGCTGTCGATGGATATGAAGGACCCGTCGAAGCCGTCGTTGCAGCGGTTGGATGATGATCTGTTGAAGGGGCTTCTTACCCCGCAGGAGTATTTGAAGAAACGGGATGGTGGGTGGTATTGAGAGCTTGTGTGTGGCGAGGCCTGCTCTTCTTTTGGAACGTGGTGTTCAACATCATGGGTGGACACTTGGGGCACAGGGTCTGTGTGCGCATCTCCGTGCGTTCAACATCTCGCATTCACTTCCCTCCCGGCATCATCTTTCTTCAGCCGCATCTAATTCCCATATATTTTTCGCTATCGGATGAAATGTATATATACCCCTTCCAATCCTTCCCGAATGCGATTCGGGGAGATGGAAATCACATGGCTACATAAGGAAATAAGACTTTTTCTCAATCGCTCATGTAATCCCTACTATGCAGAGGCAGCACATTGATAATTTTAGGCGGCGGGCTCACCCGCTCGCGCCGGCTCACCGCCCATCACTTGCGGAACGAGACCGAGGATTTCTTCGACGAACTCTCGCGGGGTGAAGCGCTCGGGGAAGGCGCCCATGTAGGTTGGGTCGTCTTGGAGGAGCGAGGCCATGGCGTCTGTGAAGTCTTTTGTTGATAGTGATTCGCCTGGGAGATGCCAACGAAAAATAAATCTCCAGTCAGGTTTCATGTTTGCATCGCTCGATGAGAGCGAAGGTTGTGCCGAAAGAAACAGCACTTGTGAACGCACCATACTGCTGCAACAAACTGATCAGCCCCTCCTTGCGGATCTTATCCCTGTCCGTGACGAGCGGCGCAGGCCCTGTGACGACGGGCGCCCCGCCGGGTTCTAGCCGCTTGGCGTGCGATAGAGCGCTGTAGATCTCGGAGCGGGTGAAGTCCTGGATGGGGCGGTGGTTGATGTATACTGTTCTCGAATTACAAGGTTAAGGCATGCTTGGTGAGAACAGCGAGATTTGAAAAGATGGTTGCCGTACATTTAATGAGATCATCAAACCCAACAGTCTCGATGAGATCAGCCGAGTAGCCGTCGAACCAGCCTGCATACCGCACCTCGTTGAGCATGTCGTCGGTTTCCTCGTGCGAGGGGTAGTGGCCCATGGCTTGCATGATCAGAGGGACTTCGCCGAGTGGCACTTTGAGGCTGATTTTGCGGACCGCTACGGCGTTTTCACCTTGGCTGGGTTGTTGGATGAGATGCACATGTTAGCGATGTGGTCTAGGTAGCTCTTACGCCGATCGGTAGCATCGGCAAGAAACCATCCGGTGGGTAACAAACCTCCTCAACTGAGCATAGTAAAAATAGTCCTCCATCTCCCTCACAAACCCATCCCTCGCCTCCACATCGCCACCATCACACAGCAAATCCAGCCACGGATGCACGCCCGTCCCCCCATTCTCCACCGCCTTATCCAGTTCCGCCGGGTTCAAATTCCACAGATTCACAACCCCTTCCTCTCGCCCGAGCGTCAACAGCCGCTTGCCGTCGGGCGTCGCGGCGATGGCTGCGATGGCGCCTGGGTGCGCGTACAAGCCCATTGAGCGGTGTGGGTTGCCGTCCAGGGGCAGTTTGACGAGGCCGACGACTTTTGTGGTGGTGGCGTAGGCGAGGTAGCCGCTTTGTGGTTGCTGTTGTTGTGGGGACTCGCTGCGAGGGGCGGGTACGAACTGCAGATGTCGGATATCGCCACCATACGCGGGAGCAACCACCGTTCGCCGACACATGCCCGTTTCTGCATTGTACAGCTTGAATTTGCTTCCGGAGTTGGCGGTCAGGATGTAGTGCTGCGGCGCGTCATTGGGACCTCGGAGCGGTGGGGACGGGTGAAGTGCTGCGGCGAGCGGGCGATGCAGTTGGTCGATTTGGAGCTTGGATCTGATGAGGACGCCGGCTGTGATGCTGGAGGATTCGAGATCGTACTCGACAAGATGGCGGTCCGAGGAGACGGACATGAGGCGGGGAAAGGTGAGGGTTGGTTGCGGTGGGACGAATTGGATGCCTGTCCGAAAGCAAAAAACTTAGGTGATGTTGTGATGGGAAACAATTCGACGCAGCTCCGGCATGTACTCACCAACAATCTCCTTGTAATGCCCCCTGCACCGTCCCACGAAGACCCATTCCTTCTTCTTTTGATCCCCAAGACCATAGTGGAACACCCCAACCCCATGTCCTTCGTCTGCAATGGCCATCCAAAGCCCTTGAGCTGTCCCCACGGAAGTGTCGGAGAAGGCGATGCGGGTGATGGGCGCCTTGGCCGCGGCGTAGCCGGGAAGACCGGGCCGATGCGATGCTGGCGTTGATTGCGGAAGGTCGAGTAGTGTGGTGGAGGATACGATGCGAAGAGTTCCGTTGGTAAAGCCGAGTGCTGCATTTTGGTAGTGAATGAGCCCATGACTTGCCCGTAGGCGCACAGAGATAGCCTCCTTACCTATACTACCGCCGTCGGTGCTATATGCGAGACTGCTGATTTTCAGCAAGTCGAACTCTTTCGGTTGGTGTTTCGCCATCGGGTCTTTGGAGTCTCTGGGCTCATCGAACTGTTTTGACATCACCATCCGTTTGGTATCGTAGTCCCAGACGATCAAGATGCCTGAGTAAACATGTGTAAGTGAAACGCTTTCCTACGATTTGGTACGTCGCACTACAATAACTCACCGCTCTCCCCTCCCACAGCAAACTGCGGGAGGACGGGATGCACCGCTAGCGCCTCTACTGGATCGTACGACCCTTCCATGAGAATCTCTGTCGAGGCGCCCAGCTAGGTGGCAGAGATTATATCAAAAAAGGTTCCGCCAAGCAACAAAAAGGCATCTAGGCCACGACCACAACTCACCCCAGCAACAGCTCCCTTCCCCGCCGCAGCATCTTTCCCAACATTCTCCATCGGCCTTAGCAGCTTAATCACTTTCGAGTGTTTCGTCGCAATGATCAGATCCGGCAAGTCCTGGTGGGAATCGATTTCCGGTGCTTTCTGCTCCTTGTCGTCGACGTCGTCCGTTGATGGGACTACGAGCGAGCTGGTGAGGAGTGTGGAGATGGAGACGATGGGGCCGCCGCGGAGACGCTCGAACCAGACTATTAGCCGGAACTGAGGGCGGGTGAGGTTTGATGAACATGAAGGTGGAACTTGATGCATTCAGAGATCGCTGGCGTACCTGCAAATCGTACACACGGACAAACCCATCACCACCGCCCGTGACCAGATACTTTCCGCCCACTATCGTCAACAGGTTGATGCTTCCATTGTGCAGCCTACGGCAACCATCAGGAACTGGTCAAAGATGAAGACAGCGGACCTGCCTTCAACCCAAAGCATCGGTTTGGGTCTTACTTCATAACCTTTACTGCAGTCTTATTCCCCCTCTCAAGTTTCTCAGTCAAATTGACCAGACTCCGGTCCGTCCACACGACCACATCGCCCATCGCGGTGGCAGACATGGCCTGCCCGAGCGAGTTCGCGGGCGTGCTGGGCAGGAAGGTGGAATGGGTGAAGGAGGTGGGAATGTGCTTGAAATCTCTGTTGTATGAGAACGATTGGGTGAGTGCAGGCAGTGGAGGGGTATAGAGCGAATGGGAGGAAGGCCGTACTTTGGACTCAGGGACCCTGGGTGTTGTTCGATGTTCGTATCGAGGGACCAGACGTAGAAGTTTACGCCGCCGAGACTTGTGCTGAGGATCTCGAATGGATCGGCGGGGTTGACTTGCAGTGATACCTGAGAGCAGAGTAAGCCAATAGCCGATACACAGGCCATGCTGCTATGATCTGTGACGGACATACCTGGGCCGGTCCTTCAACCACTGCCGTCTTCAACGGCTTATCATCCTCATCCGTCCAATCATATACGCAGATGGTCTGCGGCGTATCTAACCCATCCAACAACGTCAGATATCCATTGAATTCTTCCTTACATCGGACAGAACCATAAACCATCCCACTCACCCGCCCCCAAGGAAACCAGCCACTTCGCATCAGCCGACAACCCCACCGCCACCACCCCAGCACCTCCATGCGGATCAAACAACGTCCGGATCGGCAGCGGTCTCCCCGACCGGTTGTTCGCAACCGCCGTGTCCCAGACGATGATGGTGGAGTTGGCGCCCTTGTCGGCGGTTACAAGGAAGCGTTTGTCGGTGGAGGTTGTTAGGGCTGCGATTTCGTTGCACTGTTTAAGGAGAGCGTTTAGACATGTCGATATGCATGAGACTTCTACGAAGCATGGAGGACGTACGTGGCCCATGAGGCAATCTTGTTTCCCGGACGCGTGGTCGTAGATTACACCGACGTGCGCTGATGCGTAGAATATGGTCTTTCATCCGCACAGACCAGAATTCAGTCCCTTGTCCATGAATCTTGTTGATCTCCGGACAACACCAACTTGTACGTACATTCTCCTTGATTGCATGAATCCCACCGACAATGGTCCGGTTGAAACCAAAAGCCCAGTCCAGGGTCTTTGGGAGCAAGAGGTTTGGTTAGATCTGCAAAACGGGGCTGGTTATAAACGATCCTCGTTCACCAATGCCGCCGATATGTCTTCTTGGACTTCCATTCTCTTCTGCGGACTGAGATCAGAGATCAGGCTTTGAATCATGGAAACAGTCATTCAAGGTCCATACCTAAATCGAATGCTTGAGAGGCCAAATGAGAGCTAGAAAAATGACATATATCCTTCTGTCGAAGTGCACTTCTTTCCGAGAGGCGGATGCTGTCAAAGTTTTGATCTGGTGAAGCAGACAAAAATGTCGAAATCGGAATTGCAACGCGCAACGGACGCGTTCTCGGATGTCATCGCTCAAGGGGAATGTCGACTGCCGCGGAGTTCGGCAGCATATGCGAGACCATCCCGCTGCCAGGTCAGGAGAGTGAGGGCGAGAACTCTACTTTACGAGTTAGGGTTAACATTAAGGCGCTGTGGGGTGGTCACGGTGGTGTCATGTCACCCAACTTCCCAGCCGGCTTCCCATCTCCTGGTTGTGCTTTCTTTGTTCGTCTCCGCGTGCCTGTGGTGGGTGTCTTTACGATTGTTGGGAGCCAAAAGCGACGCGCCTGCCCGACATCGCCTGTTCTCTCTCGCCCCAACTCGAAAGTTTGGTGCAAAAAAGCCCTGTTCGGGGCGGCTACCTGGCGACCTCGCCTGTCTGACTAAAACAGGTCTATCATCACCCGAGGCCGCTGCCCTGATGTCCTGTGCGCAAGTCCGGCGATAGTAGACCGTACGGCCTACCTTAACCCTCCGTGCCATCCATAACCGCGGCCTTTTACCCCAAAAGGCCGCGCAAGACTCGATGACAGCGCAAAAGCCCCAAAACTCATAGGGGTCTTCTCTTCCTCCTTCTGCCTTCCCACCTCATGTCGTGCTCGTGAGCCGTCTTGCTCGAACAATCGCTGGGTATTGTTCTGGCGAGCAACTGTACTGTCTGTACGTACGGCCACTGCATTATCAGGCATTGCACCATTTTCGTTCGACACCCGACTCGGGACGTTTGGTCCAGCTCCTGTTTCTTTTTTGGCATCCTTTGGTCTGTTCCTTGGCGAGCGGATGTATATAAGACCGTGCGGTTGCGACGCCCGCGCTTTGACGACCAATCTATCTGCATCCTCCGATCGGCACATACACCAAGGCTTCCTTGCCCGCTTTATCCTTCTGTCGCGCTTCAAACGACGAGGACGACACTGCTCACAAACGCTCCCTCACCTAAGCCCGAAATGAACATGGTTGCCACCACGGCTCAGTTTCTAGCCCACCACCTTCAATCGCAACTCGGCTTCCTCGCCGCCTGTCCACCACCACCCGCCTATTCGCCCGCTTCCGATACACCTTCCTCCGCGTCCCTACCACCACCACCACCACATCATCAACAACAACAGCAACAGCCTATCGACCCACCAACAGCGACAGATCCCTCGGTAGCCCTATTTTGGGCGCTCGCATCGGCACTCGTGGCGGTACTGTTCACACGAGGGATGTGTGAGTGGCTCCTCCATGTGAGCATTGGTGGGAGTGTCAACACAAAAACGGAAGCGGATGCAAATATCATAGAAGCATCCGATGCGCCTGCGGTGAAGGAGGGTGGGGAGAGAAAGGGCAGGCCAGGCAGTGGGGAGGCGGTGGCGAGGAGGAGGAGGAGTGCCACGACCGGTCCGAGCTCTTGACAGAGTCTTCGAACCGCCGCCATCGCCCGTCGCATCGACCGCTACATGGCATCTGCGGCTGGACCGCTTGCAACCGTCGCAATGCCAACCGCATGACACCGCCCAGCGCATCTCCCACCACAAGTACATACCCATACATCGTACATTAACACCTCCCGGCTTTCGTACCCGAACGGCAGGCCATCCATCACATACCACCCAGGCGTCAGGCCTTTTTCCTGTCTTCGACGCCGTTTTGCATTTGTACATTATTAGACACACTTTCATACCATCAAGTTCTGTATAACAAAATCTAGTCGCTGCATGCAATCATGTCCTGGAGACGATTCTCATTTTCTCATTGGTCTTGGTCGGTCTTCGCATGTCAACTATACTGTTGCCGTTTTGGAAGCGGAGAGTGGAATGATGTGGCCCCATCGTACGTTGGCGGGGCCACACCAGCTTGGAACCAGCTTGGAACAGTGTTCATTTGGTGTCGTGGATTCTTCGGTGGTACGGCAATGTTTTTCCCGGTCATAATGAAAAACTATGAAATGGACACAAACCCACCTGCAATTCTCACATGGGGGTTGTTGTTTGTCTGACTGGCAGGCGTGCGACCCACATGAGAACACGGAGGCATTCCCGCGTTTTGACCTGCAATTTTTGAGGTAAGCCGCAACCCACTCGTGACTTACCGTGACGCGCAAAGGCGCTCGCTACGTAATGACTGCCAGTGTTGGGCATAGGCTTTTTGATTAGGTGGGGTAAATCAAATGGCGTCCCTTTTCGTCACTTATATTGGGCCGTCTTTGAACCGCAAAAGCATCTCCGGAAACGAGGATTTTCGTGCCACTTTTCGCCTCCGAACGGGGTCTCGTGCGCACGGAATTCGAGCCCGAAGACGTGCAAGAAAAGCCCTGGGCTTACGCATCTGCTAATGCAAGTCAAGAGGAAGCATGCTGCTCCGTACACGACCAGCGGCCATTGCCCGTGCTGTTGAGGCGAGCTGTTTTCCACGGTGCTTTCCGCGGTTCACCCCGGCAGGATGGTGTCGGAACGAGGCCTTTCAGAAACACATTTATACCCGGCCACATGCCAGGCAGCCGTCGCCTCAATATCCGAACACAAAGTCATTTGAAGCCCGCCCGATAGCACTCCTTGTCAGCATGCTTGGCGAAACGTCCTCTCCGGCCACTGCTGTCCCAGCTGCGAAGCCCAAGTCCCGACTTGCGCGCCTGTTCAAGAGGGTCAAAAACGCGGCCCCCTTGGACTCCTCGTCTCGTGCCTCAAAATCCACCCCAAACTTGACATCCACTGCCTCATCAAAAGGCCCCACCACCACCACCACCACCACCACCACACCAGCAGCGGCAGCCACCTCCGCCACTGAAGCAGCACCAGTAGCACCAAAGGCAAACATGGCTCCCAAGAAATTCGTCGGTGCCATCGACCAGGGCACGAGCAGCTCCCGGTTCATGATCTTTGACGACCAAGGCGCCATCGTGGCCATGCACCAGGAAGAGTTCGCCCAGATCTACCCTAAAGCCGGATGGTGTGAGCACGACCCAGAGGTCATCATGGCCTCCGTCACGCAGTGTGTGACAGAAGCCGCCAAAAAGTTCAAAGCCCTCGGCCACGAGCTTTCCGAGATCAAAGCCATCGGAATCACCAACCAGCGCGAGACCACCGTCGTTTGGGACAAGACCACCGGCAAGCCATTGCATCACGCCATCGTGTGGCTCGACGGCCGCACCAACGGGACCGTCAAGCAGCTCGTGGAGAAGTCTGGCAGCGTCACGCACTGGCAAGAAAAGTGCGGTCTGCCATTCTCCACCTACTTCTCAGGCGTGAAACTTCGATGGTTGCTGGACAACGACGAGGCGGTCAAGAAGGCGCATGACGAGGACAGGCTGGCGTTTGGAACCGTCGACTCCTGGTTGATTTACAACTTGACTGGTGGTGTGAAAGGTGGAAAGCACGTGTCTGATGTGACCAACGCTTCCCGTACCATGTTCATGAACTTGCACACGCTGCAGTGGGACGACGAGATTCTGTCGTTCTTTGGCGTCAAGAAGAATGTCCTTCCCGAAATCGTTTCCAGTGCTGAGGTTTACGGAAACGTTGTCGACGGACCTTTCGCTGGCGTTCCTCTCGCAGGGGTGAGTAATCGGATTTGCTCTTGGCCTCAAATTTCGTGACAGTCTACTAAAACATCAACTTGCTCTTCTCCTTTAGTGTCTCGGAGACCAACAAGCCGCTGTCGTTGGACAACGCTGCTTCAACCCCGGAGAAGTAAAGAACACCTACGGCACTGGCTGCTTCATGTTGTTCAACACCGGCTCCAAGCCCGTCATCTCCACCCACGGTCTCCTCACCACTGTGGGCTACAAGCTCGGCAAGGACGCCGAAGCTATCTACGCCCTCGAAGGCTCCGTCGCCATCGCCGGCGCCGCCATCAAGTGGTTGCGGGATAACCTCAAGATGATCAAGAGCGCCGCTGAGGTCAACGAGCTCGCTTCCGCCGTTGAGGACACTGGAGGCGTCTACTTTGTCCCCGCCTTCTCGGGACTTTTTGCGCCCCACTGGAGGGACGACGCTCGTGGATGTATCGTCGGTCTGACGCAATACGCTACTCGTGAGCACATTGCGCGTGCCACCCTTGAGGCCGTCTGCTTCCAGAGCAAGGAGGTCCTTGACGCCATGAACGCTGACGCTGGTACCGACCTTGCCGTCCTTAAGGTTGATGGTGGTATGACCGCCTCCGACCTCGGCATGCAAATACAGGCCGACCTTTTGGGCATTGACGTTGGTGAGTTCTCAAACATGCCTCCCGTTCCTTATCCGTAGTCTCGCACCGATGCTAAATCATCTCCTTCCTCCTCAGAACGCCCCGCCATGTCCGAAACCACCGCCCTAGGCGCCGCCCTCGCCGCCGGTCTGACCGTTGGCGTCTGGAAGGACCTCGACAACTTCAAAGCCAGCGCCAAGCCGGACATTTTCAAACCCACAATCGAAACCGCTAACCGCGCCGAACGCTACGGACAATGGAAGAAAGCCGTTGAGCGGTCTTTGAACTGGGTAGAATAAACCAACACACCGACGATGAATAGCTTGGATATCTTTTTAGCTAGCTTTTGTAATTTGAGGCAGTATCACGCACGACGTATTTGTATCGTATGTAGTTTGTATCGTATGTAGATGAACCCGCTTCACCTCCCTTTTTGTTCCTCGACCCGGACAGTAATATCGTGCCGAGCCCTTCTTAATTGCTCTCATACCTCGTGTACAGTATATGTGTGATATATCACCCCGTAGGGCCTCGCGTACAAAATACCTTCAGATCAACGCCGTACGCTGACGGGATTATTGATGGGTGCCCATCAAGTGCTGTCTCGGCTGGGCTATTCAACAGCACTTTTTGCCGGCAGCGCATCGTTTCTAAGAACGCACAGACCATAGCGCTCTCCGCGTTTCGGCCACTCATGAAAATCAGTTGTGACATGCCTCAATCCGTGTACCCACGCCGGTTGATCTCCTGAATCGCTGAGAAACACCGTCATGTGTGCCCGCATCAATGCCTTGCGAACGTGCATACTCTTAACATCATCAAAGTGTCCGCAGCATTACCGTGGGAACGCTTAGCGGTACCTCACCATTAGCAGCTAGCGCCGCATAACATGCATGCATGCCACTGAAATCCATCCACACCATTGCCCCATAACAAACGGCGCTTCGACGCTCGTTGTCGCGCCCGTCCGTTGTTGGACTGCCCAAGCTGAATCGCCGATGGATGTCGATCATCAGCAGCCTCCCAAGGGCTTTGCCATATACGGACCATCAGGCTGTCCAAACGCATATACCGTCAAACCGTGAACGGACCGAAGGACGGAAGAGTGACGTTTCTGTAGTGTGATTGCGGAAGAGAATGTTGTCCACACGGAACACAATGGTCGCAGTTTGATGCTTTTCCGGATAATTCAGAATTCCCCTCTAAGGAGTTCATCGACAAACGTCATGCCTATGGACCCTTTGCCGCGCGACCCTATCCGAAGGGATTTTTGACAGATATGTCGGAGAGACGAGAAAAACAGGGATTTGATTCCAGCGGACGGGCGATCCTGCGAGATGTCGGTATGAGGTCACCTCCCGTGGGGATGTACGTCAGAAGGGATTCAGACATACATACATAGCCGCGGATGACAGCAGGGATGGCGATCCAAGAAAAAAGCTCTCATGCTTTGATATCCGCCTACCGGAGGGGTCGGGCCATTTATCCTCGATAGGTGCGTAACGGAAGAGAGGAGTAACTCATGCGGAAATCGATTTGATTCTAGAGAATCTGAAAGACAAACAGCTCTGAGACCGTCCATCTTTTTCTGGGCTGCCAGCCGGGACTTTGGCAAGAATGCGGTATCATTGTTCGGTGAGTTTTGTTGCCGTTTCCAGAAGGGGTTTGGACGCGTTCGATTGTCAGGGCCCGACGCGAATGTGACATAAGCGTCTTCAAATTCAGCTTGTGGGATTCTGAGTTTGGCGACATCGAGCGTCCGGAAGGGTCTGCATGCAATCCCTTCCACCTTCCACCTGATCGTGGGGGGAGCATTTGTCCTTCTGGTCGGTCTCCGGGGCCTCCGAGCGTTTGTTTCCCTCGCTTTCGAATGATCGCCTTTCTCTCCGTGTCCCAAACTGCGCATAATGCTACCCCGCATTTACTCCCGCCGCCCAAGTCCGACGCTCAACTCAATGAACGCTGCAGTGCTTTCGCTTCGTGCTCGGTTGTCAAAGTTTTTGCTTAACGACGACAAGATGCGCCTCTTCGGCATCCGGTTCGCCCAGAAGAGAGAGGCCGAGTACCACGAGTCTCTTCTAGCCGACCGATGGCTCTCCCGTATAACCAAGGTGGTTGGGGTGGGAATCCTGGCCCATTGGGGAGGGATGATGCTGCTTACCCACTTCAATGGGCAGTTCCAGTCAACATACACGTGGGGCGTCGATTTCGGGCTCCTCGGCCCTCTCAGTGTCGTCGCCGCCATTGGATCTTTCCGAAAAGACTGGCAGAAGAGCCGGATATGGGACTTCCTACTGATGCTCAACAGCGTTGCCTGGGTTGTGGTCGCATTAATTGAAGACCATCGCTGCAGGAACGATCCCGTCCCCGAATGCGCCACGGACAATTATCCAACCAGAGCGAACGAAGGACTGTATATCACCTTCGGCCCCTTCATACAGCTCTACATCTTCAACACGCACAAGGGCTTATACGGTTTCGTGCTCTTCCTGACCGACCTGTACCTCGGCATACTCGTCTTCATGGGCGACTCCTCGCAGTTTACTCTTTACATCCTCATCACCGTCTTTCAGATCTTCATGTTCATATTCGCCATCATCTTGGACAACCACCGCCGCACATCTTTCAAGCTCCAGGTCGACCTCAACAACGAGATCTTGGAGACGAAACGCGTCGAGGAGAAGAAACGGCAATTGACTGGTTACGTGTTCCATGAGATCCGCGTCCCGCTTAATACTCTCATTCAGAGCGTCAACTTACTCGAGAAAGGAGGCGCAAAGGACTATGATGCCAGCCTCATTGAGGTGCTCAACACAGGCCTGCGCTCGATCGAGACGTTACTGAATGATGTCCTCGACTTTCAGAAGATCGCTGAAGGATTCTTCCAACTCAATCCGCAACCATGCGATATACATCAGAGCATCCTTACCGTTGTCCATGTCATGGCCGCGTCGGCCAATGCAAAGGGTGTCATTGTCTCGACGAACTTGGATCTGAACGTACCGAGATGTATCGTTTTGGATGACTTTCGGTTCCGGCAAGTTCTGGCGAACTTGATTTCGAACGCGATCAAATTTACGCCTGAACGCAAAGCCATCACAGTCGAGACCGCTGTTGTAGGGCCGTCAAATGGGGAGACAGTGGAGGTGTATGTCGGAGTGTCGGACGAGGGGATTGGGATATCAGCCGAGAATATCGCCAAATTGTTCAAGCCGTGGGTGCAGATCGATGCCCAGCTGAATCAGGGAGGCAAAGGGTCTGGACTCGGCCTCGCGATTTGCGCCAACATCATCCAGGCGATCGGCGGGACGTACGGGATCGAAAGTACCGTCGGGGCGGGATCCACATTCTGGTTCCGCTTCTCCGCCAAGACGTGCAGCGTCGGGTCGAAACCAGCGTCAAGAACACCGTCGTCATCGAAGAACTCGCCTATCCTCTCCGCAAAAGCCACGGCGCTGACGATCGCAGCAAAAAGCATCCCCTTGCACATACTGATCGTCGACGACGACAAGATCAGCCGGATGATGATGCAGCGCATCATGAAGTCGCTGGGACACACGGCCGATATCGCGTCCGATGGGCAGGAAGTCGTCGACCTGTTCGGTGCCTACCCCAAAGTCGGCGAATGCCCCTTCGACGCCATGTTCATCGACAACTTCATGCCGCGCATGAACGGAACCGAAGCCATAAAGTGGCTACGATCACACGGGTGGTCGGAGCTACTCATCGTCTCCACGAGCGGTGTCAGTTTGGTCGAAGAGGAGCGCAGCATTTACGACGCGGGAGCCAACAAGATTTTGAGGAAACCCATCAGCATAGATGTTGTTCGCGACACACTGGAGTGGATTGGAAAAAGCAGACGTGCGGCGCAGGGGCGTCCGGGTGGGCGAGGGATTACGGCCTTGAGCCGCAGCCAGGATGTCGGGCTAAGCGCGGGACGGCAGTTATCCCATCCTTTGCTTTGAGCCTCGGACCTCCGAAAAAGAGGTTGTCGTGACGGGGGCGTGGGCAACTTCGTGCGTGGCGCCGTATCGTATCGCCGCTTCGAGAACCTGGCACCCGCGGGAAGTTATTATCTATGAATCAGTGGTCGATTGCATGTAATACCGCGCGAAGAGGAGAATACCAAGTCCCGCCAATTGAGGCTTCCGAAGCTTCGGTATCGCCGCTCTTCGGCCATTGTCTTACTCCCGACACAAGAAAGAAGCGTTCAGCTGAGCGAAAGACATGTCTTCCATATAGACATTCATGAATGTACTCGTGAGGTGTGATCATTACCGGACATGTATAAAGCGGTCTTTCAAATACAAGGTTACGACTGTCGCATATACATAAGATCGCGCGCCAAAGTTTTGCATCCATTGCTACCTTTGAGTTCGCATAGATTGCACCTTTATTTCTCCCTTCTGTAAATGAATCCTAGTCATATTGGCTTGGTGTCCTGGGTTTCATTGGATCCTACTCTTTCCGCCGTCCCTTTCTGACATACATCATTGCTTTTTTCACTTGGAAATATAAAAGATAAACTGCCGAAGTTCAGGAGCCCACGGATGCCTTGAAAATGACGGGTTGCAAATTGACAGCCGTGAGTGAAATTCAGCCAATGACGACGCGGCAGTGGGAATCTTGATCAATGACGACGCGCGCATCTATAGGTCAGAGTGTGGAAGACGCCGTTTTCGAGGTCGATGGGGAGGGAGGGGAGACATTCCAAGATTAGACTAGAGAGGGCTTCCAAAACCCGATCGTTCCACACGATATGCGGAATGGCTATGTCATCGTGCTCAGTGGGTGCCTTGAGGGGCGATGGATGAACCGCGGAGCGGTTCCATAAGCTTCTGGATTGAGAGCACCCTCCAAGCCAGAACATTGATCGCTATTTGCAGTCTGAGAGGCATAGGCAGTTGCCATTCGACCGCGACGAATGTCCTCATTGCAGTATATCACTGAAGTACGCCATGGTAAACTTGCTGACTTCATCTACAATCGAAGGGATCATTTCAGCCCGTCTGCACCTCCAACATCTCTGCGGTAGTCAACTTACCATCAACATCGACCAAGCCCATGTCACTCTTCGGAAATATCAGATACAGCTCGCGGTCTCCAGACCGTCTGCCTACTATCCACGCTTCCGAAGATGTCTTCATACAAATCTCGTTGACCGCGTCTGGCCCGGACGCGCTGAACATGGGACGTGTGAGATTCATGGACTGGCAAAGATTACACAATGACAAGCCAATGTAACAATCAAACTCACCTCGCGAAATCCTCGTGCATTTGGTTCAGACACTGGACGAGGTCTGATTTTAGTACTGTGGACTTGTACATCCCAATGGAGGTTTTGAACGCAAGGTTCATCGAGTTGTAGTAAAGGTATCGGAAGTGCTGATCTGCAAACTCGCTAAACCGAGGATGAGGTAGTGACAAAGGGGTGTGGTCGAAATGTACTTGCGTACCTCAGATTTCTTGCCTTAGCCCAACCTTCCGTCAATAGTGGCACTAGCACTTTGAGATTCGGCTGCAAGAACGCTGCTAAGCGAGTATAGAAGCTGCCGGACCGAAGATTTCCTCCTGAGGGCTCACTATGTAATACAGGGAACACAAGAGTGCATTCGTCGTCGTACTAAAAGGTGAAATGATGAGATTGCAGGCTGATGCGACGAAAAGTGGTTATTTAACGCACCTGGTATACAATGAGCACATGCTCTTTATCGTCAATGAAGGTCTTATGTAGATTTACATCGTCCGAAGTGGTATCCGTTGGACCAATCAAGTAGCCAGAAAACCTTTGATTAGGTCTCAGTTTGCTTGCTATTGATCGAGTCCGTCCCGACTTTGAAGGCTGTAAGCTCGGTCTTCGAGTCGCTATGATCGGCTACCGGTCAAAGTGGATGAGCAGATGAAACTCTATGACTGCATGACTGTTTCGATAGACGAACCTCGCCTTTCCGCTTGACCTGGTTCACCAATCCATCGTACACGCGTCCAGTCGCGGGGTCCGTGAGATACGAGTACAGAGTTTGGAGCTCCTCAAAACTTTGCAGCCCATTCCAGACTAGTTGGTCATGCCATAAGAAGACTGGTGTCTTCAGTTCGGGGAAGGTTGCGCTTAAGGTGTGTATGAACGAGGCGATGTCGGTATAAGCTGTTTTCGATAATGATGCAAAATTTATACCTGTGGGCAATGGTTCAGACTGGTTGGCCGTAAAACTGCAATTTCAAACATAGCCTTACCATTTAGAGCATATAGCAAATCGAGTGATCCAAAATCTATGCGTTGTAGGTAGCTAATATAGAATTCTTCTAGGAGGTTTCGCAGAGCCGATAAGGAGCGCTTTTGACGAACATAATCCAATCCGCCATGGAATAACTACAACCAAAAGGTATGAGGTTCGAGCGCAACATGCTGCATCAACGTGCAAAACTCACCATACCTTGAATGTATTTGCACATCGCCGCAGCACAGCTTTCAAAATGCTATCCTTGATATCAGAACCCAAAAATTCCGTCACTTTCTTCCCATCCCTCAGTCGAGTCCTTGTACCAAGTCGGACTTTCTTGTGAAAGAACAGTCGTATTTCAGTAAATCGTGACGCTTTGGGGCGTCTGTCCTGCAAACACGCATCCTCGACTATACCATGACCATCCAATAGCCCTTCTCTGCCTCCAGCAAAACCACCCGGTGCTTCCGGGTGTGGACCGTCTCGCAAGGTGTATTTGGAGAAAACGTGCTGGCGAACGTGACGTCAGCAACAAGTCTGGATCGGATAGGATGACATGCGGCCTACCTTGTGAAATTCACCAAGGCCTGAGCTAACCCGACTTGACGAGCCTTTTCGTTTTGTGGAGTTGTATTAGGGTGGAACAGACATATTTGCTCCAGAGCTGTTTCGTCTTTCGGGGCCAAGGAAGGGTTGAAGATCGCTAGATAGACCAGGGAAGGTGGTTCATTTTTCCAGTCCGCCATTCTATTGAGTGCGCAATCCAGCTTGACATCGGTTTCTTCGAATTCCGTATGCTCCGCTTGCCCATGGGGTTTGCAGACTTTTGCCAGATCACCCTGACCGGAATGCCTGTGGCAGTGTGGTCAAACGTCAAATGTGGGGAGATGTGCGGAACGCGGCGGGTAGGAACTTAAGGAGATTAATGCAGAATCTCGCTGGTTTTTGTGTCAATCACGTGACTTGGGAACATTGATGCAACTGCAAACGTCGCTTCTCACCAGAAGGGTGTCATGACAGTCCGGTGTTCGTCACAGATCGCCGAGAAGCTCAGCGGCAGGAGCGACCACTGACGACAGCGCAACAGCACGAAGGAGGCGAACAATGCACAGTTCCCTCTCGAAGTCTGGGACAAAAACTTCAAACACGCTGACGGTCCAGACTCGGGTCACGCCCGCTTGCAGATTGTTCTACAAGATCGTGAATTCATCATTGGGAGGGCTCCCGCCTATACCCTGGATGCAGGTGTTTGGCTACACTGGCTACTGCGACTTGAAGAGAATCATTCCAAATGTCTGCAAATCGTTTCAACTCTTGGTCAAGAAAAAGGGACTTTCGCGTAAATTGGACGCCATTCTATTCCGGGAGAAGCTTGGCCGCGCCAGTCTCAGTCCGATGACACACATCACGTAGAATCCCAGCTTTTCGTGGATCGGATCCGAATGTTCTACTAAAATTCGGCATATCGGCTTCTACCGCAAGAACGGGTTTACAGCTCTCGGAGATAGTTCCGTCGGAAACGAAAACGCCACATCACCACCAACTAGCTAATGCGTTGTTCACTTCGGCTCTGCTCCCGGTATAATCATCCATCACCGTGGAAAAAACCGGCGAAATGTAACGGTTCTCGATGTCATGAAAGCATCGTATCAGGTAAGTCTTCTTCCGTCCGGGCCGCTCTTTCCCTGAAAGATTCGTTGACAGTGCTGCCTCGAAGGCGATGTGCAAGAAGTACTTCGATGATGATGAGCCGTACTACATGTACGACAGCGAATGGAGGAGAATCCCGATGATCACGTGGAGAAGACGAGAGTCCCGTTTCTCGTACAGATTCAGGAAGTGACGGACGGCGAGAGGGACGGAGTAGATGGTCACTTGACCTACCGTGATCGACTCGGGGAGCACACCGGGTTCACTGGGTTTAGGCCCGAGATAGGCACTACCAGTGGTGGAACGGTTGTTTTAGTCACTAACTTCATGGATAGTTGAGCGCTGCGACCGGGAAACGGGCCTCGAGGTACCATGAGATGGGTGCAAACTCTGGACGGCCCGCGACCACAGGTTTGCTGTCCATAGTTGGCTCTTTCCGATTCTAGTATAGCTTTTGTTCTTGATTAGCTTCGGCAGGCGCCTATTCGTAGTTACGTGGTTAGTTACAAGCATCTATCCTGCGAGTTTTGTGCTTGGCAAAACTTTGTGCCTGATGTTTTACTGCGTAGTATGCCGGCAACTCGCAAGCCTCAGGCGGCACTTTGTCCGTCTTAGCGTTACCCTGCGAAAGTGTCGGTTGCTGTCAAGTTGTCAACGCAAGGTTTGGAGTTCTGAGAGGTTTGCCGCCAATCCTCCAGTCAGCCTCCAGTCCCTCCCGTTACAATGCATCACTCCTCCACTCTCAACCTTTAAACTTTATTGTGTCTGCAGCAAACTCATGCTACCCGCCGAGCTCTCAGATGCACTTGCAGTCTTCCCATCACTGTCGCTATCTGCGCGTGCAGATTTTCTGAGAGAGTTGTTCCCAATCTTGCGTCCGTCGGAACTCGGCCTCGCCCTTGACTTACATGCCCAGAATACCAAGGTAAGCCGACTGCTCGCTGCCTTACGGATGTCTGGGATATTGATCTCTAGCGACCGATACACTCCAATCCATATATAGGGCGTCGACTTCGTATCATTAGTTCCGATTGAGACCGCAGTGCACATCGCGTCATATCTTCACTGGACCGACGTGCTGAGGCTTAAACTCGTCTCAAAAGCATGGAAAAGACTCGCCGATAACACCGCGGTATGGCACAGGATCGTCGTGGATCTGTATCAGAGTCATCAGCTATTGGACTACGAAAATGACGGGAAGGATCCGAAAGCCAAAGCTTTGTGGCTTCTGAAAGGGATCCGCTCATGGCAGAAGCCAACCACACCGATTACATTCCAAGCTCACGGCAGCGACGTCATGCACGTCAGGGTGAAAGGGAACATCTTGGTGACTGGGTCTAGAGATAGACTGGTCAAAGCTTGGGACATCCGCACCTTGACGTGCATCGGAACCATGGAGATGGGCAACTTGCTGCATCTAGAGTTCGTTGAGACCCGGCAGGAGCTCATCGTCGTGGGCTGCGATTTCGACTCCCGAATACATATACGGTCATTCTTTTCGCCGGATAGCTATCATATACTCATAGAGCATCCATCTGCGAATTCGGGCCTGTGTGTGGATGAAGAATTCGTATATAGCGGTGGATTGCACGAATTTGCTCCTCCCATATACGTGTGGGATATGAAGACTGGGAAGCTGAAAACAAGATTAGATACCACAACGCATTCGGTACGTTGTCATTCGGAAGAAACCCCACTCATGATCAACATCTCACCGAATCTGCCAGCCGCTCAGCACTTATTCCTTACAAACTACGCCCAAGTATCTAATTGCCATTTGTCAAAACGGCCAGTATGATTATTGGGATCGGGAATCGTTGGCCCATATGGGAGCCGGCGTAGTGCCCACGCCAACACTGGGCGACACGGACTCGTACCTTGACATCAAGGACAGTGCATCGTTGCCAAGTGAGATGAGAGGTATCGGCCGCAGATTCCTTCGCGGCAACTCTGCACGAGCATCACACATTCTCCCGGGCGTCTTCTTCACGGCGATTGCAGAAGCCCAGTACGTCGATCTATGCGAGCCTTTTCCGAACTCCAGAGCTGGAAGGCGGCTTAGCGAAATGTCCTGGATACAGCGGAACGTGAGCGAGCGGTGTATAGTGTGGGGCTGCAGAGACGGGTCTGTCACTATGTATAGGTTCGGTATGGAAGACGGCAACGAGATGATCGTCGATATATAAGGGGTCTTCGATCTGTGATATACTCTGTTAGGTGATTGAGAATGTATCAAAGGCCTCAAACATGTATTTACAAGCTGCTGTATGTTCGTCATGCCCACGTCCCCTCATGCCTGTTCACCAGTCTGCAACCAAGCCTTTAGAATCGTTGTCGAGCGAGTCCCGCTGTTCCCGTTTCGCTCATACACGTCCACCAGCCGATCCCCTGCCAGCTTCTTCAGCGCCTGCAACGTGTCCTCCGTCACAAAATCACGTTCCCCATCATCCTTCTCTTTCACGACCACCATGCCGCCCTTTCCCCGTTTCGTCGCAGGCGACGAGCTGGCTGAGTCTTTCGCCCTTGAGCGCAAGACAGCGTCTGATGCAAGCCTCATCCCATACAGCGCTCGGGTATTGTCTCTACATAATTCCAGCGCAGCACAGTAATGCTTTAAAGCGACGTCGAACTTGCCCAACGTGTATGTCACGTCCGCGTATCGAATGTGGTAGAGGTGGTTCTGCGGCCTCAGAACCAGGATCTCCTCCAGGCAAAACGCCGCCTGTGGGATCAGGTTCTCCGCCAGGTACAGTGACGCCAATTCTGCCCATCCTTCCACGTCCTGCATGAAGGCATCCACGTACACCACCAGCTTCTCGATCGCTTCGGCCCGCTTTCCCTGGGACACCAACAGTCCTATCAGGCGCTTGTGTATTGTCACGTTGGTTTCGTCTTCCTGTACCGCGGCTTCGTAGATTGCCTGCGCGCCTGCGTAATCCTTCTCTGCTTCTTTGATCAACCCCTGCAACCTCTGCATGCGAATCGAGCTTTTCACAGGAAATTGTTGTTGTAAGGCCTGGAACTGCTTTGTGGCGGATGGGACGTCACCGGCGTCCAAAGCCGCGATGAGCACCTGCTCATGGACGGCAAGGCGCTCTATCGTGTCGAGACTTTGCGTTGCAACGAGCTTGGTGCCTAGCTCGACGATCTTGGTGGGGTCGTAATCTAGGTGAATGTCTGTGTCGTGGATGCCGGGCTCTGCGGTGCCGAGGCGGATAGCGGCCAGGTGTTCTCGTGCCGTGGCGGCATTAAAAGGTGAAGGAGACATCTGCCGTGGTGGTTGCCGTACAAAGTGGGGAACTAGAGTGGACTATGAGTAAGCCTTCAGACAGCTGAGCGGCGACGATCGGGAATATTCTGTAGGCAATCGGGGGGCTGGTGTTGGGCTTGGATGGAAGTGCTGCCGCTCTCGGCGTGGTGCTCGAATAGATTGCACCGGCGTCACGTGGCAGTGAGAGATTTAATGGAAACTTTCCCCGCTTCTTCAACGAACTTCCTTCTGGAAACTGTGCCCCACTCAACGCCAAAGGACAGTTTCATCGCCATATATACTACATACTCAAGGTTCTTCAGAAAGCAGAGAATCATTCCCGAAAACCCGAAACGTAAAGAAAAGTATGGCTGGCCATCGTTCTCGCTCTCGCTCAGCAGATTCTAAGACATCCCCCGAATTCAAACGAAGAAAGTACGAGGACGACGACCAAGGCGCCGACAAAAGGTCCTCAAAAGACGGTGCTCGAGATTCGAAGGATCGCTCTTCATCGAAACGCCACCGCTCCGAACGTGATCGCGACTCCAGCCGCCGGGACCGTAGTAAAGAGCGGTCCCGTCACTCCCGGGATACTCGCGATAGACACCGAGATCGGGATGGAGACAGAGAACGGAGGGATGACAGAGAGAGCGCACATGCCGCAAGTAGTTTCCCGCCCCGCGGCAACGGCCGTGATGTACATCAAAATGAGCAGACGGTAAGATCGGAAGGACGAACTTCCCACCGTCCATCGAGCGATGCGTTGGACAACGGTAGAGTGGACCAACGGCAGCAGAGTAATGGTCAGATCCACTCAACAGGGCGAACAGATCTTGCAAGTACCCAGTCATCCGCCAAGGTGAGCTGGGAAATGTATTTGCTTTCAAGTCTGTTCAGCGATTTACTCTACCTTTGCCAACTCCACAGAAGGAAGATCTGAAAGCCGAAGGAGGAACGTCGAAGGTAAATGACCCAGAAAGCTGCGCCCTCAAATTATTCCAACCATGCATAACCGCCTTTTCATCTGTGCAGGTTACCACTGCAGCTACGGATGCCGAAGAAAAGTTACGACAGCGGAGGGAAAAGATTGAGCAGTGGCGTCGTGAAAGGCTAGCCAAAGAGGCGGCTGAGAAAGGCGGCGCGGAGAATGCAACTGCCTCACCGGGCAGCCCGGTTGTGTCCAGTCCGGCGGTCAAGCCAGAGGCACAGAAAGCAGAACGTATGTGTCACTCTTTCGAAAATCTACTTCCCATGGTATTCAAGTTTGGCCACCGACTAACCTCTGCGTTACCAGTTCAACCTGTTTCGCGAGTGCCCTTATCCGCTGCCAAGCCTCATGCGGGGAAGGCACCTCTGGCTAAAGTAGCACCGAAAATCTCGTTTGTTAAACCGGGCAGAATCGGTATTTCGATGAAACCGACTTCGTTCGGAAAAGGGCCCTCAGTAAATTCTAGACCCTCTGCCTTCGGTTTGGACGATGACGACGATACTCCGAAGATGTCGACGTTGCCTGGCCGGAAGCTGCGCATCGCGGGACCGGACGACATGGACACCGAAGAGACGGCTCCCGTGCCTGATGATGGTGGAGAAGATACACTGGACGCCTTCATGGCTGATGTCAGCACAGAAGTTCAGAGACTCAACGACGAAGACTTGCAAACTCAGCAACAGAACCAGTCGACGACACCAATGGACGTCGTTGAAGGCGACGATCAGGCGGAGGATGACGGTGATCAGAGCGATACACCGGAAGACTTGATCGCTGCAGCAGCCAAGAAACTGGCAGCCAAACGGAAGGATCTCGCTCCGGTAGATCATAGCACGCAATCATACGAGCAATTCAGGAAAGATTTCTACATAGAGCCCCCGGAACTCGCCGATATGACACCTGAGGAGGTTGACGCGAAGCGCATAGAACTGGACGGTATCAAGATCCGTGGAGTCAAATGCCCGAAGCCAATCGAGAAATGGACGCAGTTTGGATTACCTGGTGGAGTGGGAGACGTCATTCGTAAAGTTCTCAAGTACGAGAAACCCTCTTCAATCCAAGCCCAAGCGATACCGGCGATCATGAGTGGAAGAGACGTCATTGGTATCGCCAAAACCGGATCTGGCAAGACGATTGCGTTCCTGCTGCCCATGTTCCGACACATCAAGGACCAGCGACCCCTTGAGCCCCAAGAGGGGCCTGTCGCATTGATCATGACACCGACTCGCGAGCTTGCAGTCCAAATCCACAAGGAATGCAAATACTTCGCAAAGGTGTTGAACCTCCGCGCAGTATGCTGTTACGGCGGGTCTCCAATCAAAGATCAGATTGCTGAACTGAAGCGTGGCGCTGAGATCATTATCTGCACGCCCGGACGCATGATCGATTTGCTGTGCGCTAACAGCGGACGCGTCACGAATCTGAAAAGGGTGACATATCTCGTATTGGACGAGGCCGACCGCATGTTTGACATGGGCTTTGAACCTCAAGTCATGCGGATCGTCAACAACGTGCGGCCAAGCAGGCAAACCATCCTGTTTTCGGCAACCTTTCCTCGGAAAATGGAAGCACTTGCCCGGAAGATTTTGAAAAAGCCTCTGGAAATCACGGTTGGAGGACGCAGTGTTGTCGCTTCGGACGTTACGCAGATCGTGGAGGTCTTACAGGACGATAACGCGAAGTTCTTGCGACTGCTCGAGATTCTCGGCAAGACATTCCACGAAGACGACGGGGCGAAGATCTTAATCTTCACGGATCGTCAAGAAGCGGCGGACAACCTGCTCACCCAGCTTCTACGTAAAGGCTACCCTTGTCAGTCTTTACATGGAGGCAAGGATCAAGCCGACCGTGATACCACAATTACTGATTACAAAACGGGGAACACAAACATCTTGATCGCCACGTCCGTCGCCGCACGTGGGTTGGACGTTAAGCAACTTAAAGTTGTTATTAATTACGAGTGCCCGAACCACATGGAGGATTACGTTCATCGTGTTGGGCGTACCGGTCGTGCTGGAAATAAGGGTACTGCGTACACATTTATTACGCCTGAGCAGGACAGGTTCGCGGTCGACATCATGAAGGCCCTTACGATGAGTGAGGTGCCGATTCCGGACGATCTCCAGAAGCTGTCAGACGCGTTCATGGAGAAAGTCAAAGCAGGCGCTGCCCAATTCTCCTCCTCTGGATTCGGCGGGAAAGGGCTAGAGAAGTTGGAAAAAGAGCGTGATATCGTGAAGAGGATTCAGAAGAAGGCGCACGGTGGACAGTACGAGGAGGAAGAAGAGGAGGAAGAGGAAGAGAAAGAAGTCAAGTTCGAGGCCAAGGCCGTCCCATCGGGCGCCGCCCCTCCTCGAGAAACGGCAGCTCCAGCCGCAACCAACGCCACCGGCGGCGACCCGCGGTTCAAAGCCGCCGAAGAAGCCGCCGCGAAGGTCAACGCCTCGATCGGCGCCACCGGAACCGCGCGGGCCCTCGACATCATCGCCGAGATCAACGCCAAAGCCAAAGCCGGAAACGCCGGTTTGCCCGGGTTCGGAGGAGCGTCCGAGGACAAGAAACAGTCTGCGGAGGCTGCCTTTGCGTACGAGATTGAGATCAATGATTACCCCAAGAAGGCTCGGTGGCGCGTCACCAACAAGGAGCAGATCTCGCAGATTAATGAGCTCAGTGGTGCGGCTATCACTACACGCGGGACCTTCTTCCCGCCGGGGAAGCAGCCGGGGCCGGGCGAGCGGAAGTTGTACTTGGTACGTCCCGCATTGCCGTTCGTTCCTTATTCTGAACAGTGATTTTAACTTACGCTTTTCTTTCGTTTCCCTGCAACCCCACAGTTTATCGAAGGAGACACGCAACTCGTCATCGACAAAGCCAAGGTCGAGATCAGGCGCATCATCACGGAAGCTACCATCTCGAGTATGGAGAGCGAAGCCGCTGGTGGGGCTCGATACTCTGTTGTTTAGATTGTGGAACGAAGGGCGGTGTAGCTACTTGCTAGGTAGTGTATCGTTTCTGCGAATAGCATCGAAATGCTTCGGATTGGAATAAATCTCACGCTGCGATGGAAGTCGCGCCTTGAATTCGGGAACCTCATGGGAGAGAGTATCCTCCCCTTTCCTATTGTGACGTCGCAGCTGAACGCAAACAGGGGACGTATGCGTCTCCCTGGGCTAAGTGGCTGAAGGGGTGATGTGGCCTCTGCTTGCTGGGCGGTGCACTTGTCCCCTTTTACCCTTTGCGGCGGCGGTGGCGGCTGGGGCAGCAGACAGCTTTGTTCATATCTTCGCGTGCTAGTCGTCCCTCAATCCCTGGTGGATGCATTTACCATCGTTTGGGGGGCGCACCAGTAGGCGCAGTCTCAGTCTCCTGCACCTGCTGCCCTCTCCTTTTGCTGCCGCGGCCGCCGCGGCCGCTGTCTCTCCTGCTCCCACTTCCTCCCCTACTCCCCCCTCCTTCTCCTTCTCCCTCTTCGGCTCCTACTCCCGCTCCCACTCCCACCCCAGATCCAGTTCCAGCTCCAGCTTCTCTTTCTGCCCTCCTCGTACTCCTCCTCCTCCCGCTCCGGTTCCTCCTCCTGCTCCTGTTCCACCGCCCCCCGCCCGCCTAAGCGGCTGCTTACCTTACGGAATCCCTGCGGTTCCATCGACGGCCAAAATCCCATTCGATTGACCCATCAGCCAAGTGCTTCGACCCGCCCTGTGCGTAAACTTACCGCCATGCGCGTCCTCTCCCAGCGCTAACCGGCGCACTTTCCATCCATTATCGTCTCGTAAGCATACCGCGTCAAACGATAAATGTCATGTCAACATCCCTCAATATCGCCCCCGAATGTCGCGATGGCCATTCAGAGTCAGTACATGATGATATTTGCCTCCACGTCATGTTCGCCTCTCCGCTGTTCACAGGTTTGGGCGCAGCTAAGTGGTCTCCTCTTACCCAAAGAAGTCGAATTTTCACATAGCAATCGCCGCAAAACGCGAAACACGCGCGTCCAGCAACAGAAGAGTGGTGGAGGATGATGCGTACTGTACAGTCTGTTGCCATAAAGCAGGTCGCACCTGGCCGTGCGCAGTCGGCCCCAGCAGTGGTTGCCTAGGACAGTGACAGATGTAGTTTAGATTAGGGGTCTCGTATGATGCAATGATCAGCGGCGAGGACACTTGGACACTCACTTAGTTTCGTGGGCGACCTGCTTTATGGCAACAGATTGTACGTGTATGTACTGTACTGTACACGTATCTTAGCGAACGAACGTCTAGCCTAGGAGAAGAGGAGGACCTAGGCGTCCCCACCTGGGATAGCCGGCTGGTAACACGCGTGTGCAGAGGGAGATGTCAGATTCACGTACGTGATGTACAAATGAGGCGATGGCGATGACATTTTGCTTGACCTGAAAAAAGTCGAGCTTGCGCGTAGCCCTGGCATAACAGGGTAACGGGCAAGAAAAGAGAGGAAGTTGATTGTTGCATACGGCATCCTTATCCGCCACCCACCTCTAGGCGTTGCGCGACAAATCATGGCAAAAAGTGAAAGAAGACGAGACCCAGGCAGTTCGGCAAATTCGAAGGTCACAGTGTCGGGAAAAGGCACAAGGGGCATAAGCAAGACCCGATCCCGTAAAGCAGCCAGCAGCCACCCGTCATTAGGGAAAGGAAACCACCGCATTGCTGAAACCACCGCATTGCTGAAACCACCGCATTGCTTCAGCAGGAGATAGTCGGACACTTACTTTGGCTACCGTTTCGGCACTTTTTGTGTATCCCCGTGGGCTATGGAGATATGGACGAATGCGGCGATGGAGCAAAGAATTGAAATCTGTGTTCCATGTTGCAGTTGTTCACCGCCGTGATTCGCAATAGAAAAGGTAGGACGACTCAACGTCCCTTTCTCATCCCTCGCAACAAGAAAAACATGCGAGAGCAAAAGTCTAGCATTCTCACATTTACATTTACATTAAATATACACAAGGGGCTTGTCCCATTCTACGTCCCACTTTCAATTCTTCTAACCTAAGCAATACGCGCTTGAGGCCGTCCTGCCATATACAATCCCATCCATTCCCCTCATGATTAATCTAAGATATCATCATTCGGGACCATCATCGTGCATGACAAGCACCGACTTCCTAAACTTGGCCTGATCCTTCCATTGCTGAGCTGCTTCTTCGTTTAGCGGGCTGTTGTTGTTTGGTTCTGCATTTGCGAGTTAGCGCAATCAAAAATCAGCATTCCGAACTCAGAGCCTCCAACGCAAGAGCAAGGTTATCATCCACTTACCTCCCAGCAAACTCTGCAAAGACACCAATATCGTCTGCACAGTGTATACCGCCGACCACTTGTCCTTGAGGATATCCAAGCAGATGTGCCCGTTGGTGTCGACGTTGGGATGCCAGCACCGGGTTCTAAACATAACGGTTGGGGGGGTGTAAGGGTAGGAGGATGGGAACTTCATGGATAGCTTGTACTGTAATTTTTCGTAGGGCTAAATGGGAGGTATACATTGTCAACGATGGTTTCTATGTTCGTGCATGTTGAAAATAGTTACGCTTACAGTGCCGTCCGGCCCGGTGATAGTAGCTGTCCAGTTCATAAGGTCATCGCCGTCTGGGAATGCGGAAATGCCGTGCAGACCACTCATCTGAAAAAGCGTAGGCGACGGGTCAGCCTCAGCTCAGCCAACAAATTTCCCGAGCACGTAGTCCGTGTTGCGTTACCATGAGAGTCATAAGCTCATTTTGCAGCCTAGGTGGAGAAACAAGGGAGGGGAATACTCGGGTCAGCGGCAGTCGGGAACTCCTCCTACAGCAGGACAACCTGGACTTACCTCTTAGAGACGGTAGCGGCGTCTCCTCCTGGCTTTCCGCCGGCTGTTGCTGGACGAGCTCCACCGTTTGACAACATATTCGAGTATCGTTTGGGTATGCAAGAGGTTTGGGGGGGAGGGGGGGGGGCAGTTCTGTCAGAGTTTGCCTGAGCAGCAGAGCGAAACGCGTGGGTGCAGGACGTCCGAACGACAGACTCCAAAATCAAGTTGCTTATTCAACTCGAATAACACGTCACGTGCTGGACAGGTCCTGCCACTCGAGCGATCCCCTTATCCGCCCTCGTCACAACCAACCGACACAACATCAACCCCCAACAACACAACACAACAAAATGCTATCCCTCGCACGAACAGCCGCACGGACAGCGGCACTCGCCAGGCGCAACCCGCCCTCGCAACTACAGTCGGTCCGCAACGGCGGCGGAGGACACGGGCCACGGGGGCAGGAGCCTTCGGGATACTTTCTCGGTAGACCTGTGAGTTGATGTCTTTACGGCGCGAGGTGAAAAGGGAGAAGAGGAGACGTGAGGAATAGGGGTGGAGGCGGGGGTGAAGGGGAGTGGAGCGTTCTTGGTGACGCGGAATTTGGGGAGTCGATGTTGGGTGGGAGGTTGTTGGCAGATGCTGGGAATCCGCCGCACGTCGACTTTTGAGACAAATTCAATTGCGTTTACCTTCGCGTCTCCATAAGGGGTTGTTGGTGGGCGCAGGAGACGGCTAGAGTCTCCGTAAAACGCAGTTCGAGGAGCCAGCGAGGCGGGGAAACTCGACGCCACGCCACCGCAGTCACTAACCTTGCCACTTCCACACGATCCCTTCTCTCACAGGGCGGCCAAAAGCACACGTGGTACTGGTGGGAGCCAATGTGGTACTTTGGATACTATGGAGCATTCGCGACCTTTTTTGTGTTCCAGATCTATTCTCCGAAAGTCAGGTTAGTTGGAAATGGACGTGTTTGAAGCGGTGGATGGAGTTGCCTGGTTCGGAAGAAGGACATACTCATCATTCCACTGATTACATTTCTTATTTCGTGACTACAGCGTAACAGACGCAGCAAAACTCGAAGCCCACCGCCGGATGGCCGCACGCGGCGAGACGTTCGGATGGCCGTTCCCGGCTGACTACTCGCTAGTGAAGAACGACAAGTAGGGGTGCTCGGAAGACGAAAAACCCAGAAGGAAGGCGAGGAGGGGTGTTCAAAACGTTTCGTGAACACGATTCTCGACCTCTTGTTCTTTCTTCGACAGTTTCAATATATACCATGATGTGCTTTGATTTCGGGTTTGACGGAGGGTTGTGATCACGGTCGCTGATGTGGTGGTTGGAATGCGGCCGATGGCCGTGGTGCTTTTGGATATGTGGATTTGGGTTTCTGCCGCTTTCGCTGACAATAACCTGGACGGGCGAACGGTATATATATCGGTTCTGCGGGCCTTGATTCGCGAGAGAGCCTTTCACGGTCGGGGAACTCCCCACAATCTTAGCAATCCTCTCCACATCCAGTCCATCCATTCACCTGCTCACATCTACATAACACTACAACACCGAAACCCCGAATCTGAACATCACGCACAATATCATAAATCAAAAACAATATGAGACAAGATCGAAAAAAAAGACACAAGAATCGCCCCTATATCCTATCTGCAAAGGCGAAAATGGAACGCACTAAGGGGTCGGCCTCTCTATACTGTGCGCCGTTCAAGGGTGGTGGGTTGAGAGATGCATGGGGTAGGAAAGAGCATATACGCAAATTGGTGTGGCCGGGTTTTTTTCTACATATGCTAGGCGGGGGCAGAGCATTCGTAATTCTCCGCGATATGGGGTGGGGTAAGGTGGGTTTAGAAGGCTTTTTTCTTTTCGTCGACGGAGAGACCACCTGTTGGGGGTTGGATGGGGTTAGTGGGGTGTGAGGAGGGTGATTATGCGGATGATCATGTAGGTACCAGGTCCGAGGTTTGTGAGGAGCAGGAAACCGCCCATGATGGAGAGGGTTTGGAAGAAGTCGTATTTCAGGAAGTCGCTGAGAGAACGATGAACCGTGTGAGCCAGGTTGAATACGCAAAGATGGAGTACAGAGACGAGCAAGCATACCGTTGTGGGTGGTTATGGTGCAAGTTCCACCAGTTGTTCAGCACAACATTACTGATCGACAAAACCGAGATCAAAACCCAAGCCGACCACTTCGCCTTGAATCCCACGACAACCATGACACACGAGACGAACGCAAACGCAGTAACAATCACACGAAGCGCCGAGAACTCTCCCGCAAGCAGGAAACTGAGGAACAAGCCCACGAGCAAGATCCGGCCAAACAATTGCAGGTACGTCGCCTTATCCGTCTCGTTCAGCGACGGCAGGCCCGCAAAGATGGTTCTTCGCTTGCCCGCGAGCGAGTCGGCGAGGAGCATCAGGAGGCCGCCGGCGACAGACATGTTGCGGAAGAAGAAACCGGAGTCGAAGATGAGGCCGTAGCCGATCGATTGGGAGACGATGACGAGGGCGAGACCACCAACGGCGACCTCGGTGTGCTTCTTTGCGATGGCCATGATCGAGCCGACGGTCATTACTATCACGTTTAGGGCTAGGAACACTTCCGCCGTCAACCATGGGAAGCCTAGAGCAGAGGGATGTGAGATCGCGAGCTCTGCAGGATGCGGTGCCTTGCCACCGCTCCTCCGTTTCCATGCTCTCCATACCCCTATGCCGTTGCAGGTAGAAAATCTGGTCTGACCACTGCGTGCTGTTATCGTGACAAACAACGTCCTGTTAGCACAGGACTGGCAGAGTGATCCCTCCACCCTTCAACAATCCTCTCCTCCAGCACGCGAAGCCGTACCTAATCCTCAACGAATCCTCCAAGAACGTCACAACCAACAAGAACCGAGCTATTGCAGGCAGCCACGGCTTGATTGGCCCTGCGACCTGGTCGAGCGTCTTCTCGAACTGATCCGTATATTGCTTTACTACGTCCATGTCTTTTGCGTAAGAGTTCGCGGATGTGAGGCCGCTGTTCTGAGAAGTGTATTGAGGCCGATCCGATTGTTCGGTGGATGTAGCGGACTGATTGGGATTGCAGAGTGGGTGTGAGCGCGAACTCCCAAGATTCCGTCTGAAGACGCGGTAAAGACTGCAATTGCTCGCTGCAAACAGTGCGTCCTTGATGAGGTTCACTGACGCTTGCGAACGTGACGACCAGTTCACCTGCTCCCCCTTCGCCGAACTCTATAGGCTCCCCTTTATTTGCAAACGTACCTTGGTGGAGAGCGTAATGTCTGTCCAGAAAGGCAACCCTACGAGCTTACAGTATACATATGTGACCCCAGGATCACACCTCATATGTTCGAGCGAGAGTGGAGGCGGTCACGTGCGCGCGCGCCTTTGAAGCGGGGATAATGGGATTGCTTGATCTGATCGGTCACCGGCATTGGCACTTTCTGGTTGGCTGCCCCCAGGCCCTGTGCCGCGTCAACTTCATTGCCCCGTCATTTCGCCATCACCGGGAGGGTCCTCCAAAGTCGCTCGCTCTCCGCATCGCATAAGTTTCGCTTATTACCATTGGAGCCCTCCATATGTGTATCGATTCTCAACGTTGAGCTAACGGGTCCAATTTGAGAAGCAGAAACGGCTTCTTCCATTATCACAAGATTATCACAAAATTTGGGATCAGGACGACACGAATATGAGGAGAAAAAGGTTTCTCATAGTGCATTTCAAACCTTTGCGATACCATGACCAAACTGAGTTGAACATTGCATGTGCCGTCCATGGAATAGAACCCAGCATGGCCCACCTCGTCCTTCAGGAATCCTTATTTTGGCCTTTATCGTTCATACGTACGTTAGCGATGGAGCCTCCATTCAATATCTGTGCGTTTAGTATTGACATCGAAGTGTTTGCATTCGTCCAATTCGGCGGAGGCTATATACATCAAAATGACTGGAAAACCGCATCAATGACCCTTGGATGACCGACTTTATTCACAACAGATCGAGTCAAAGGTATCATGAGCGCATGGAGCAAGTCTTCTTGTGGGGCTCGGGATGACCTTTTGTTCAGTCCTTCTTCTGGCACTTCCGAGAGCAGTAGTACGCCTTAGCACACCTGCTGCACCGCTGGAAGCGCGGTTGTGTGGACTGCTCATAGAGCCTGCAGTCGCAATTGCGGGGCACATGAGCGTACTCTTCAGCAAGCAGTAGCTCCACCGCGGGGACACCGACGTAGCCCTGCTTGAGTATGGCGTCCGGGATGACACGAATGATCCCTCGGCGGGTGTAGGTTTCAAATGCGCCCTTGTTCTCGCTGAAATTCTCGAATCAGAAGGTAATGCGGCCACTGGGCAACGTGGGCGGCGGGGTTCGAGCCGTGCAAGTCAGGTTGGCCAGGATGGGTCTGTATTCTTCAAAGTTGAGGTCATCCAGGAGCGAAAAGGATTTTGATAAACACCGATGTGTCGTCAACCCATAACTTCCTCCCTATCCATCTTTAGTACGTCTAAACCCTCCACCTCTCCACCCTCAAAAAGCAGCAAACCCTCCACAAAGACCTCATCCACACTCAAACACGCAACGACGCGCATCTGGCGCGGATGGCAGCCAAAGAACGGCGGGAGTGTATCTCCCAGGGCCGTGATTTGCACCCGTGGACTGCACCGGGGACGGCGGGGGCGGCAGATAGGTGTGAGGATAGTGGGTGTTGGAGGAGTGGCTTGCATAGGGAGGTTGGATTAGGAAGAGGGCTTGATAGGAGTGTAGATAGGTAGAAAGTAGGGCGAGACCACGGGTTTAGAGGCCACGTCGGAACTCCACGTTGGCGAGCAGTTTGCACCTTCCTCCGTGGCCAACGTGTGACCACGCCGTTCCTCCGCACGTTCCTTATGCACGTTCCTCCGTGGCCACGGCTGCTTGCGCCTTCCACGGAGCTCAAACTGCCATCCACGGAGCTCAATGTATTATACATGAGATCTGACTAAAGCTCAAATAACGCACGGCGTTTGGGAACATCCGGCTCAATCCAGTCTCCCCGAACAACATCATCCATATCCACGTCCCCCGAAGTCCTGTCGAACTCTTTTTCTTCTGCAGCCATGGCAAGAGTTCGAGCTATAATTCTTGATATCGCGGTTCCATTTCCTGCACTGCCGCCCTGCTCTGCGCTTCCGCGTTCTGGTGACCAGAGTAACCGCCAGACCACCAAAATCTCGTATCAGTGACGGGGAACCCCGCCTCTGCCGCCGCTTCCACCTTGAACGTTTGGAAGAGCATGGGACCCACGGTAGATTCTTGCAAACTTAGCGAATGCCACCCGGGCGTGGTAGAGAAATGCGAGCGGGAAAGCGGGTAGAGGTCCAGCGAATGTGATGGTAACTTCAGAGAATTGCGCTATGTTGAGCAGATTGACGAAATGATAACTGTGCGGCTCTTCCCCGGGAACGAAAGCGACCCAGAATCTATCGTATGCTTCGTGGTGGTTTGGACACAGCACGAACATGTTGCGTATGTCGTTCCGCGCAAAATCTTTGGGCAAGTCTCCGCACTCGATGGCAGCGGAGACTTGGAACGAGGGAGTCCTTCGGGGAACAATATGTGCCGTCTCGCCAAACGGGAAACGGCATACCAAGCACTGTCTCCATCCCGTTCCAAGCACCATCGTCGTAACGTTGTCTCAGAAGCAACCGAAGAGCGTCTCGACCGTTGGGGGGTAAATGGTTCGGACGTCAAAATAGATTCCATTGATATTGTATGTTTGGGACAATGAGACGGTTCTTCAGAAGTACGCTTGGGGAAATGTGCAACAACGCTTGGCAATTTATACATCTGGACTTCCCTTTTTGCGAGGAAGCGGGCGATGTTTCGTGCTTACGTCACCTAGGGTGGCGCAGTTCAAAACGCGGTTCTCACAGCAGGCAAGAGGGCAAGAGGTCTGGGACCCAATCCACGCACGCCTGCTTCTGAGCTGCACATGCAGTCCAACAACTTTGAAATTTAGGCGCGGTGATGTCAACTCGTCATGCAAATGGCTCCTCCGCCCCCCCAAGTGTCCCGTGGCCAACAAGTATTGCCTTTGCCACTCGCCACCCTTCCATTGACTATCCGTTGCCAACCTGCGTCTGGGGAGGAGACGCCACGAGAACCCGCTCCCAGCACTGTCTTCAGTTTCGGAAGCCCTTGTGTGAAGTCGCCATTCAACGATAGCTCGGTTCTCACGAACGCATAACCGAACTCCCACGGGCAAACCGACGACGACCAAGCACCATGCCTGCTCTCTCTTGGAGGCAAAAGTGGGCTGAGAAGGGCGGGTTTGTAGCTGATCCACAAGGATGGAGTCTTCCGTCAAAGTATGTGTTTTCGGACTCTCGGTCCTTGCCGGCCTCACCCTGAGTTCCGTCTGCTTGGCCTCGCTCTACCGTTCGGTCAGTTATTTACGGTCGTATACTCTTGATAGACTTGACATCCCAACGAAATCCCGCCGCAGCTACGTCCTAGCCCGCATCCTCGACTGGGTGCTCATAATCGTGTGCTTGATCTTGACCCAAGTCTTCTACGCCTATGTTACCAAGCCAGAAATTTACTTCAACGTCAATGACCAATTCTACATGGCACCCGTCCTTCCGGACAGGGTATCTTCCTTTTTATCTACGGTGGTCTCGGTCGCCATCCCTATCGCACTGATAGTGATTTTGAACTTGGTGTTTTACACCAGTTGGCCGGATATGTATCATGCTGTGACCGGGCTGGTTCAGGCTTTGGGTAGGATTCCGTAGAGCGAAATCCTACATCTGACGATGTCACCCACATCTCTCCTTCTCGACAGCAATGACGATGGTCACATGTTCGTTCCTTTGGGCCACCATCGGCGGGCTTCGTCCATACCACATCACGAAATGCGATCCAGATCCAGCAAAGCTCGTTGCAGGACAGCTCTATTATACCGAGTCTGTTTGTCGCACGAAACTTGAAAAGGTTGATTTGAACGGCTTTCCCTCCGGACACGCGGGATCGGCATTTACGGTGCGTGGTTTTGTTCTCTGAAACCGCTGTCTGGCATTCGTTGCGCACCCTGCTCAACGACATTCTATCCCTCAGTGCTGGGTCTTCCTGTCATTCTGGATGCATGCAAAGCTGAAGCCATACAATGGAACAGCACAATTCTACAAGGTAGGGCTGCAATGCGGGATCTCTGTCGTTCCGCAAAAGCATGGAAAACCACTCTGACATGCGGTATATGCATGCAGCTTCTCGTCACATTCATCCCACTGATCGTGGCAGGGTACATCTCGCTGACACGCATCATGGACTTCCACCACACTACCGGACAAGTTCTCACCGGTATGGCGATCGGCATCACGGCGGCTGTCTTTGCATACAAACTCAACTATCCGATGCACGGATGGTTCTATGGGGAGCGCCATGGGAACGGGGACGTAAGTGTTCGGCTCATGGAGTTTCCCCTTTTGGCGCACATCTTGACCTTTATTGGCGGCTATATTGCAGATCCCAGCGTATGTTTTACCGCGCTACACACCGGCCCGCAGCGGCAGGCAAACGATGCCAGATGGGACGGTCGCCCCGCGTGATTACTCGGCGGAAGAAGGCTCGCGTGCTAACCTGCAGAACGAGATGTCTGGGACTGCGATTCAAGTGGATTAGACTTCTCTCATATAGAATCCCTATGTACATAATACGTCTATATACTGTATCATATTTTTAGAAAATCTGCCGCATGCGTGAGGAAAGTTGATTAGGGGGAAGGGCCATTCCTTCTTACATTGAGTTCGGACTGTTCGGACTTTCAACTTCCGGACACGCGCTTGTGCCCTTCTTGCCCGCCTTTTCCTCGTCGCAAACCCAGCAGGCATTCTGATCTTGAAACTATAACAACGACAACCTCCATATCCATCAGCGAACGCACGTTCCCGGCCTCCGCTCAACCAAGCGCAAGCTACCACCCAACATGCGGCGGAACTCCGAGTCGTTCACCTTCACAGGCCAACCCTTAAACCGTACAGCAGACGGCCCCCTATCCTCCGCCACACCCAGCCGCGCAACCACCCGCGGCCTCTCCAAAAAGGGCTTCTCCAACAAACTCCTCTACCCCGGCTTCCGAAAAGACGGGATAGACTACCACCTCAACGACTGTGTCCTGGTCGAGGCCGAGGACCAGGATGAGCCGTACAAGGCGATGATAATCGCCTGCTATCGCGATGAGGAAGGGACTGGGAAGATGGATATTAGGTGGATCTATGCTGCGTCGGAGGTGGAGAGGCAGTTGGGGACTACGGCGGCGAGGACGAGGAAGTGTCGGGCGCTGGAGCTTGACCCGGCCGGTAAGTTTTTCCTCCGGCGGCTTCGATCTCAAGAACACTGCGTGCTGATGATCATACACCTAGACAGAAATCGTCCATACAGACATGAAGGAGGTCAAAGAGGACATTGAGCACATTTGCGGCAAGATCGAGGTGTTGTCCCGGGACGAATACAGATCGCGATACCCGAAATCCAACCCCGACGGAATCTACTTTTGTCACCGTACGCTCGGGTCCGCCCGCGATGTGAAGGCGTGGCCGATGGATTGGGAGGCCTTTAGGAGGAATGAAGACGCTCCACCCTTTGAAAAGGCGGAGGCTATGCAGAAGAGGGAGGGTAAGGCGAAGGAGCATGCTGCTGCGCGGACACCTGCGAGGACGACCAGGAATGAGACTGCTGCTGCGACGCCTGCTTCTGCGAAACCGAACAGCGTGAGAAAGGCAACGGGGCGGAGAAAGAAGGAGGGATGGACGGAGGAAGAGGTGGGACAGGCTGCACCACCGAGGAAGTCGCGTGGGCGGAGTAGCGTAGAGGAAAGCGAGGAGGTGCGCAAAGGTCTTTGCGCATAGTCTTGGTAATTGAACGTTGTCTAAATGGGCGTCTCTTCCAGCAACATCCCGCGTCAGAGGAAGCGGAACAAATAGACGGCGAGGAAGCTGAGGACGCATCAGAAGCTGAAGTCGCAACACCCATCAAGAAGCGGAAACGAAAGGAAGTCACATATACCCCAAACAAAGCCGCCACACCCTCAAACCGACGAATGCCGCTCGAATCGCTCGAACAATGCACACCGACACCGCGAATTACCGCCCGCAACGCTTCTGCCGTGAGTGCCTCCGGAAAACGAGCCACCCCTAGCAAGCGAAAGCCGAAACTGGCACCCACTCCTTTACCGGAACGCGCACTCGAGCGGTCAAAGGCGAGATCGGTGTTTGAGCGCGCCCGGGAAAAATTGCATATGTCTGTGTACCCGGACGCGCTGCCGTGCAGAGAGGACGAGTATGCGCAGATCTATTCGGAGCTGACGAGTGCGATTGAGGAAGGTTCGGGCGGTTGCGTGTGTAAGTGTCAGCCTGATCACACATTACGATTGAAAGAAGTTCCTTTGTTTGAGCGTAAGCGTTTTCGTAGACATATCGGGTGTTCCGGGAACGGGGAAAACGGCTACCGTCCATGCAGTCATGCGAGCCCTCGACAAGGCGGTGGAAGATGAGGTACGCGCCGGCCACGCTTCGCGAAACAGACACTTGCAAATCTCAATCCCTCTTCCCTTTGCAGGAACTCTCGCCATACCGCTTCGTAGAGATCAACGGGATGAAGCTGACGGAGCCCGCACAAGCCTACTCTGTGCTGTGGGAAGCCCTGACGGGCAAGAAAGTCAGCTCCACACATGCGCTTTCCTTGCTGCAGAAGCATTTCACGACTCCATCTCCGAACCGACAACCCACGTAAGGATTTTTGACCTAACTTGCGCCGTGTCTGGAGCACCTTGCTGATTACGTGGATTCATCATGCAGCGTGCTTCTCATGGACGAGATTGATCTCCTCGTCACGAAAAACCACTCGATCATGTACAATTTCCTGACATGGCCGGATCTACAACATGCACGGCTAATCGTTGTCGCCATTGCTAATACGATGGACTTGCCGGAACGGATGATGATTAACAAGGTGTCTAGTCGTTTGGGTAAGATGGTTCCTTCCGCGCAAATAGGGTATGATCCGATCTCCTGACTGTTGTAATTTACCCAGGATTGACGAGGATCAACTTCCCGGCATACACGCACCAGCAGCTCATTGAGATTGTACAATCACGACTGGAAGGCGTGCAGTGTTTTGAGAAGGATGCTGTGGAGCTGTGTGCGAGAAAGATCGGAGCGGTGTCTGGGGACGCTAGACGAGCCTTGGATATCTGTCGGTAAGTACACCAGTCCACCCTTCAAAAACCGTCACCACGCTCTCACGAGATGCCTAACGCGAGGGCATCCCAATTCAGTCGAGGCGTAGAGATACTGGAAGCGAAACTGGAAAGCGCCGCAGAGGCCGGGACGCAGGACAACAAGCTCGTGACGATGATGGTGATCGACCAGGCTGTCAAGGAGATGTTTGCGTCGGTGGCGGTGCAGTCGGTGGGGAGGGGGAGCACGCATCAGAGGGTGTTTTTGGTTGCGCTTGTGAGGAGTGTGAGAAGGGCGGGGATTGGGGAGGTTGAGTATGGGCCGGTATGTAATCGCGAGTCACGTGGTCCGAATACACAAACTCATGGCACTGGGTTTACCTCATTCTGATCGCCCAACTCATCCAGGTCTCAGACGAGCACTACCGCCTTTGCGACATGGGCAACCTCCCCGCCCCCACCGCCTACGATCTCTACGGGATCTGCGCCCAACTCCACACTTCGCGCCTTATCCTGTTGGAGCAGCACCGCGCAGGCGACAGGTCGCAGAAGCTACAGCTGAATATTAGCGAGGAGGATGTGGTGACGGCCGTGCAGAATGGAGGCGAGGCGTGGTTGAAGAGGCAGGTGCAGAGTCAGTAGGGAGGGGGATGGTAGATGGTTGGATTTTTTGGGGGCATTGGGCGTAGGGTGGGGACTTCGGAGCTAGCTTAAAAGTGGACGGCCTGCTATGGTTTTTGTAAATCATTTGTTATTGACTTATAATCCAAAATCGTGTTTGCTTTCAGTTGCGCCAGAATGTATGTACATGAATGTATGTACATGACGCTACGCTGTTTGGGTCGTTTCTACCAACCATGTCTGCTTTGCATCGGAAGCCTCCCGACTGGCTTTGCTATTCTCCAAATGTAACGTGCTGGCGTCACGGGTTTCTCGCTCTTCCCTAGACTACAGCGTGGCCGCTTGACTGACGCGCTCCGAGGCCATATCCAGTGTGACGGATCAGATTGGGAAAGGGCATCCGTGTTACGTGCCATCGCGTTTCGTTGTGCTATCTTGTTTCCCCCAGAAATAGAGAGGTCCCGGCCGAAGTTCCCAAAAGATAGAGGCGTCCGTATGCAATGATGTTTTGTGGCTTGCAGCTCGCGTCCACAGACCGAGAACTGAGCCGGCCTCTATCACCTAACTGCCGATGGAATATCCGCGCCTAAATCAACGCCAAAGTCGTTCTCGCAAAGTCGCCCCTAAAGTTGTTAACACTCGGAGTCACATTCTGCAGCCTCCTGAAAGCCTCATGAATATGTCCCGGCTGCAGGGGTTTCTGCACATTCGTCGGTTTCGCAAACAGCCCGACATTCTTCTTCTCCATCTCCCGCTGCTCGTGCTCGATCTCGTCGACGCGGTTGGTGTCCCACTGCTTTTTGACTTCGAGGGCCATCTCTGTGAGCTTGCGCACCATTTCGTAGGCAAGGAAACCCCAGATGTCGATTACATCGCCGTTGGGTTTGTTTTCGTAGTATCTGGAGGGAGTGGAATAGTGTGAATCGGGCAGAATGCAATGAGAACTCTTTTTCTATCAAACCTCAACCTACTTTCCCAGTTCAGACCATTTCTTGAACCGCTGAAGACGCTTGAATACGAACGAAGCTTGCCGACATTCAGAGTAGTACATGTATTCCTCCTTTGTCATCCTCCGTGTGACTTCATCTGCTTCCTAAAGGGACCGTTACAAACAGAACGGACTGGCCTGCATTGAGGATGTATTTCATACCTTCAACCGAGCTTGCTGCAAGTCATCTGCCATCTGCTGGTCCTCATCATCGTCGTCTTCATCGTCATCCTCCAGCACGGTGCCATAGTAGTTGATCAAGTCCCATGAGAATTTCAACTTTCCCTTAAGCAACTCCGGGTTGTTTCCTGAGAGAAGAACAAGATTCAGCGACGTATTCTACCCGAGTGGCATATATCGCGGTAATCCGCTCTCTCTCACCGTCGGTATCATCCTCTCCCTCTGCAATATCGATAACATCATTCGGGTCCCTCTTCTTTGCGGATTTCTGAGCGTCGCGGAACGCCAGGTACGTGCGCAATGTGTTGACTTTCGCGCGATCGTACTTGATAAGGGAGATCACATCTTCCGGCGTCAGGAACCGCGAGCCTCGTTTCGCTGCTTGCTGGACCGTACGCACTATCTGTGACCGTGGACGCGACGAGTCAACTTTTCGCCTGACATTGCTGAACTTCTAAAGAGTAAAGTGACGCCCATACAATCTCTATCGTTTGTGTGCGAACAATTTCTTCAACGACGAGCGTAGTGTCGTCCCGGGGGTCGGTCACCTCCCCGTGCACATACATCATCTGTCGGGGAGAGAAACTTCAGTTTCCGCGCCTTCCCAGCTATAACAACACTCCCAGCCGAGCTCCACGTCGCTCACGATACCTGTGCTATCTCCGACTGGTATAATGCCTGTCGCTAAACGAATATAAAGTCCATGGTCAGATAAGTACTTCGCCTCGCCTTTGGGGAACCAGAATGTCATACCTTGGGCATCGTGGCGGCTTATTCTGCTGATGGCCTTCGAGGGTGCTAGGATATTCGGCCCCCCAAGAAACACGGCTGAGACTCTCTACAAGCTGGAACGAAGGAGTATGTGTTGTGTATCTTACTATGCCTTTGCAGGAGATCTGTCGTCGGCGTAAGTCAATGTCCTAGAGGCCTGGAGGAGCCTGGAGGAGTGACACACGCGCCGTCCAGCCGTCCAGTTCTCGCTTCGAGGAGGAGCCGCCCGCTAGACTGAGAACCCCCTGAACCCCCGCATCGACAACAGGCTTTCCATAGACAGGACATGGCCTTCTCAACCCCCTTGCTCTACCTCATCCTCCTGCTACTACCCGCTGGCGTCCTCGCCGCAATGTTCTCAAAGAAAAAAACCCCAGAGTCCTTCAACCCGCAAAACAAGGTAGTGTCCCACATGTCAATTTTATTGCATGTCTTCCAAATTCCCACTCACACTCCTCCCTCCTCCACTCTCGCAGCATGTCTACATAACAGGCGGCTCGCAAGGCACAGGTCTCGCCCTCGCCAAGCTTCTCGCCGCCCGCGGGGCCCGTATCACCATCGTCGCGCGCGATGTCGCGAAACTCGAAAAGGCCGTTGAGGAGATCAGGAGGGAAAGTTCCCTCGCTACTGAGAACAGTGAGGGAAAGCAGGTGGTCATATACGAGAGCGCGGATCTGAGGAACGCGGAGGGAAGTGCGAAGGCTTTGAAGAATGCGGAGGAGCGGATGGGGGCTAAAGTCGATTATGTGTTTTTGTGTGCTGGTAAGAGGATTTGGGGACGCAAGTGAAGCTTGGAAGCGGGGTTTGACGGTAGGAATTTCCTTGATTATTCAGGTGGGGCGCAACCGGGCATGTTCATCGACCTCCCCGCCTCCTCCCTGGCGCACGAAATGGAGCGCGACTACCTCACCGCCGCCTACACCGCCCACGCCGCCATCACCTCCTTCACCACGCACCCTAAGCCCCACACCTGCCGGCTCGTGTTCGTCAGCTCCATCCTCGGCCTGATGGGCTTGGTCGGGTACACCGGCTACAGCGCCGCCAAGCACGCCATCCGCGGACTGGCGGATAGTCTGAGGATGGAGATGCAGATGTATGGGATTAAGATCCATATTTTTTACCCCGGCACCATTTACTCGCCCGGGTATGAGGAGGAGAATAAGACGAAGCCGGCGATTACCAAGAAGTTGGAGGAGGGGGATGTGGGCGTAACCCCCGAAAAGGCCGCCGAGATTTTGTTCAGAGGCGTTGAGAAGGAGCAATATAGCATTGTGTGTGATTTCACGGGGGAGCTGATACGGAGTGCGACCAAAGGTGCGTAATCCGTAGACTTCCTTGGACTTTGAACGCCACTCCGTCAGCTTCTCACGCTTCATCTTCCACTTCCCTGTTTCTTTCAGGAGCGGCACCAGCAAACAACGGCGTTATGGACTTCATAAACACAATCATCGGCTTCATCGGCCTGACATTCTGGCGTAGTGACTGCGATAAGCAGATTCGTTCACAGCGTAAACGCACTTAGATAATGTGTCTTTTTCATAGAGTTGAGCGGGGCTCATTCTTGTTGATGGACGCATGTATATCCAGCTGGTGGGGAGTAGAACGACGCAGGCGTGTTTGGGGTGCACAAAGGGTGTATAAAGCACCAGGATATTTCTACCGTTGCCAGCACTGCTATTGAATCGATCCAAGCTTTGAACTGCTGACAGGCTCCGGCAACCGGAGGAAGTAATCTAGACGGAGCGAAAAGCCAGGGCTAATCAGACTGTGTTCAAGCATCACAACCACCTCATACTGGGCGAAATCTTACCTCCATTCTGGGTGATATACCTCACCCACGGGAACGCCTGGTATCCGCTCTTATCTACAACCTTCAGATACCGAACTTGGATGCCCGAGACTGTGAAATACGGGATCTCGAATTTGACCGATATTGGGGGCCGTTTGTTTGGGTCCTCTGCATAACGAAATGGGGTTCAGTTTGTTTGTTTGTTTGTTTCTTTGCTTGTTCTAACGTGAACAAAGCAGGGTGTGGGAATCTTTCTTACCGCTCCGAACACTTGGGAGTCCGAAGTGCGCGCGCATCACGTAGTCCTTGCCACCGGGGAATTGCTTGATTTTCCAAACCGCGGCGTTCTTCTCGGGGGCGTAGGTTACCGAGCCGACCGTTGCCTGCCGACAAAATCATAATCAGCGGAAGCTTCACCAATCCATCGTATGGCAGGAACGGAACACCAATGCCGTACCCTAAATTTGGGGGTATCTGCGTCTTCGGGGACGGGGATGATGATTTCTACGTTATTGGCTGTTGATTTCCGTTTGAATTGCCCTTTTGCCTGGAGTTGAGACGAGTTCCAGATTAGCCGCCTGTCGTATGTGTAGGACACATCATGAATAGGGGCTCACCTTGATCATGTATTCAACGCGAGACCCGCTATGTGATTCTATTACCGCTTCGCACCAGATCAACGGTTTCACCTGTACGCATTTCGATCAGCGGACTTTTCTTCCCTACATCAATCGCCCTTTCAAGTATCCGTCACTCCCCCGTCACCCACCTGGGTATTCAGCCGGTACGACATCAACTCAAACTCCCCGTCGGGCGGTATGAACGATATCGTTCTATCGCTTTCAAACCGTGCTAGCCGCACGCATTGATGGAACTTCATGTCCTCCATCTCGACCGCTTTCCCTTTTCCAGCCGCTGTTGGACGCCGATGGGGTTGCTAAGCACAAAGCAAGAAGCCCCGAAAACGCATCGACATCGCTTACTTCGTCCGGTACTCTCAAACAACACCTTATCATTCAAACCCAACCGCACATCCGGCATCCCACTGAGGTAGCACTTCATCTTTACAGCACCCAGGATCTCGCTCCGCAACACATTCCCGTTGGCGTTGACCAGCAAATTGACCGACTCCACCACGTCCAAGAACACCTCGTTCTTTCGGTATTTGATCCCTTCCGCACGCCACGAGACCGCGTTAGTGACTGCCATTGGTAGACGGGGTTGCGATTCGAGTTTGTAGGATTCTTGGGTGATGTATCTGCGGAGGTGCCGTCTTCATCAGCCGATATGCTCATCTTATTTGTGAAATGAACAATGCCATCCTCACTCTTGCAGAATCTTCGACTCCGTCGTTTGCGGATACCCAAAATCCATCATCTCATCAAGCAGTTCGTAAATAATGACGAAATTGTCCCTGATCGACTCCTCTTCTAGCTCTTTGAAGTACTCTTTGAACACCTGTTTGAGAGGGCAAGCACTATGAGCGAACGCCTACATGCAGGCTTGTGCTCATCCAAAGCGCGCTCTCACCTCGATAAGTTTATGAAGGAACAGAAGGATGGTAGCGGCATTCGAGTTCTTTCGCGTTGTCGCCAGCACTAGTGAGAGCAGTGTGAGGCGGTGAATCCCCTCTATGCCTGATTCCATCCACATCTCGTTCGCTTCAGCACTCACGGTAGAGATTGATATGCTTGACATAGAGGAAGTGTATGCCGTCCTCCGTCGACATTATCGGCGTTGGTGTTTGCTCCTCCTCCTCGACTTCCTGAATTAGCGGCATGAACTTCTCCACGGCCGACATGGGGATGTCTCCTCGGTAGTCTCTCGAAATCAGGACCTTCATGATGGACACGACGGTTATGAGTGGGTTCTCACCCGGTGGGAAAGCAGTAGAGGCTCGGTTTGCGGGTATCTACCTTGCCCTTGACGTCCAAGATGTAGACTGCACTGGCGACCATCTTGGGAATTGTTTGAGTTGGCGAATAGAGGAGGCTGCGAGGTTCTTGAGTATATGCCAAAAGCAAATTCCCTTAGTTCACCATAGGCAATCAGACACTACTCGACAGGACAAGTGCACTGGGTTGAGGGTTGGAGGATGCTGGTGGATGTGGGTATTTTCTGACCTGCAAAATGGCCGTTGCAGGGGGATTCTTGCCATGAAGGTGAGTCAGGACATCGCCGCAATAAGGCGCGCCACCTCAGACTACCTCAGATTCCCACCACTTGTTGAACGCTATGTCGCTGCACAACTCTATCGCATGTCCGTCGCATAGATAGCAAGATACTTGCGCCCCGCTTCAAACACTAGCAAGATGGGTCAGGGGTCTTCCCGCTTGACGGCGGAGGAGTTTGACGACCTGAAGTCAATATCAACCTGTAAGTTCGTCCTTCAAGCTTACCACAAACGAAGTCGGCATGTTTTGTCGGTTGACACTAACCCGCATCCCTTGCAACAGTCTCGGAAGCACAAATAAAAACCCTCTATTCTCGTTTCCGGCACCTGGACAAGGACAACTCCGGCACGATATCATTGGAAGAAATGACGGCTATTCCGGAACTGGCTATGAACCCTCTGGCCAACCGGGTAGTTGCGGTGTTCGACCTTGACGGGCGAAACGAAGTCAACTTCAAGCAGTTCGTTGCGGCCTTGTCGGTATTCTCGAAGAGGGCGAAGAGGGAACAGAAATTGAGCTGTAAGTGAGAGGGCTGATAGTTCCACAATGTGCTTTTGCCCATCGGTTTGGATAAAGAGTGATCTAAACCCTCCCTCCCATTACAGTCGCATTCAAAGTGTACGACGTGAACGGCGACGGCGTTATCGATTCCAGCGACTTATACCACATCCTCAAACTCATGGTGGGCTCGAACTTGCCAGACGATCAGGTGCAAGCTCTGGTCGACCAGACTCTTCTGGATGCCGATGTCCTGGATAAGGATGGAGCTATCTCATTTGAGGAGTTTAAGCGAGCCATGTTCAATGCTGATCTGGAGAACGTCCTCACCATCGAAATCTGAGTAGCACATCAATTCAAATACACCAGGCTTCATTCACCGTACATAGTAGTGGCAACGATACCAATCCTTTTGTAGATAGATCGCATTTTCTCCCCTTTACATTTTACATATGTTTTTTGTACGTATCTTAGTTTTGTTCTCTTTTCCCACTGAGCACCGCCCACATCCCAGGCAACGCTTGGCATACAGTATATCAATTCTGAAGACATCCCATCGGCGAGCGATGGAAGCGAGGCTTTCTTGTGACATCTTCGAATCCCGACGATTATGGCCAGCGGGTGCCGAAAAGGAAAAGATGTCCTGGCGGTCGTCCGTAAATGGACATCGTGACAGCACCAAACGCGCCTTAACGCGTTGGCGGACCGAAAAACTCCCCCAACAATTGACCGAGAGTCATGTGGGGTCCCACCGATTCACACGCCGATTTTCACAGATCATTGTCCGCAACATCCTGTTCAATCGCTAATCATTTTACATTAGGCGACCCCACTCCGCACACGCGTCTCCATCGACCCCCTGAGCCTGGGATACCCCATGAGAAACGTGAAGGGAACAAACGTCCCCATCGTACAAAAAGGCAACCCAGAAGCAGGCTCCATCCCACTCGACGATCCCCTCACGGCTTAGCTGGACGATATACCATCTGCGCTTATATATCTTCCCGTCATACTATGGCACCTCCTGCTTCTCGCGCGGCCGTATGGGGCTTGATGGGAGCAGTCTCCGCCGCAGGAGCTAGATGCCCCTGCCATGCACCCGCTGTCAGCAAGGTGCTCAAAAGGCATGGTAAGGAAAAAGGAGCCTCCACGGCAATCCATATTTTGCTTTCTCCGCCTGTCAGTAACTGATCTGGGTCTATTGACGCGCTTGTAGCTCCTGGATGCTCTCACTCCCATCACAAACATGACCACCACCAAACCTTTGCGACAGCCAAAGAGGAGGGCGACTACGCGTTCGAGATGGCCACTTCCAGCATCCGATACGGGAAGGGCGTGACGAAGGAAGTTGGAATGGATTTGGCGAACATGAGGGCGAAGAAAGGTTCGGAATATGCGGATTATCTATCGCGCTGAACGAGCCTTGGCTGACATCGTATTAATGTCCCATATCGTAGTTGCCGTGTTTACGGACCCAAACCTAGCGGAACTCCTGCCCGTGAAAACCACCATCAAATCCCTGCAGGACGCCGGCGTGAACTTTGTCGTGTTCGACCGGGTCCGCATCGAGCCCACCGACGGAAGTTTCCAGGATGCCATCAACTTTGTGCGAAAAGAGCAGCCGGATGCCTTTGTTGCTGTCGGTGGTGGATCGGTCATTGACACGGCCAAGGCGGCCAACTTGTACCTCTGCCATCCTGAGGAGGACTTTCTGGCGTTTGTGAATGCTCCCATTGGGCGCGGAAAGCCGGTGTATAATCCTGTCAAGCCTTTGATTGCAGGTACAGATCTGTGAATGAGCTTCCGTCGCATCGCTGATGGAAGGTTCTGCCTACGGCATGTCTCGTTGCTGACACCCGGTTTTCAACCCTTGATAGTCCCCACGACGGCTGGAACGGGATCCGAGACGACCGGTGTCGCGATCTTCGACTACAAGCCCCAGAACTTCAAGACGGGCATTGCTCACCGCTCATTGAAGCCCTACCTCGGTATCGTCGATCCTTTGAACACCCGCACGATGCCTCCTCAAGTGCATGTTGCCAGTGGACTCGACGTTCTATGGTATGCTACTATTTGGACTTCTACTATGATCTCACAAACCTGCTATATGAAGAACACTCCCTGTCTCTAACCCTAGCCACTCCCTGGAGTCATACACCGCCATCCCCTACACCGAGCGCACCCCTCGCCCCAAGAACCCCATCGAGCGCCCCGCCTACCAAGGCTCCAACCCCATCTCCGACATGTGGTCGCTCAAGTCGCTGAAGATGTGCATTGACAACCTACACCGCGCGTACAAGAACCCTGACGACCACCAGGCCCAGGAACAGATGATCTTGGCGTCTACATTTGCGGGGATTGGGTTTGGAAATGCTGGCGTGCATTTGTGTCATGGTATGAGTTACCCTATTGCGGGTGGTGTCAAGAACTACAAGCATAAGGGTTACAAGGTTGATCACAACATCGTGGTATGTATGGCTTTCGCATTCTCACTTATTTATAAGTCAATGGGATGTTTACCAATATGAACACCGTTCCCCCCCGAAACAGCCCCACGGCATCTCAGTCGCCGTAACCTCCCCCGCCGTCTTCAAATTCACCGCCCCCGCCTGCCCCGAACGTCACCTCGAAGCCGCCGCCCTCTTCGGCGCCGACGTCTCCAACGCCAAGCTCGCCGACGCCGGCCCGATCCTCTCCGACGCCCTGCGCACCTTCCTCCACAAACTCGACGTCCCCGACGGTCTCACCGCCCTCGGCTACGACTCGAACGACACGAAGATGCTGGTTGAGGGCACGTTGCCGCAGCATAGGGTTACCAAGTTGGCGCCGAAGCCGGTGGATTATGAAGTTATTGAGCGGTTGATTGAGGATAGTTTCAAGCTTTACTAGGGACGGCGGTACGGTCACGTAGATGATTTGTTTACTATTCTATGCATAGTCAGTCGGCCCTCAGTGTAGACCATAGCCGTACTTAGACGCAATACCCTTTCCATATTCTGTATTCCATCATCTTCAGAGAGCACGACAAAAAGGATTTTGAAGTTCATTGTGAAACAGGATGCTCCAATTGAAGGGTGGCAAACCAGCGAAAAGCCGGCGGCCGTAAGCATATAAGCATATGAAGTGTCGATGCATGATAAGCAATATACATTTGAATGAAAGTTCTGAGAACAGGAAACTAATGAGTCCGACCGTCCTTACACTATCACAAAGCTACGTAAACTTGGAGGACCTATACGCCGCTAGGTATCTATCCGCATGACCACACCCGCCACCTTCTGTGGGCCTCCTTGACTCCTTCTACTCGCTTAGTCTACTCAGCCCCACTCCCGTTCTTTTCCTCCAACTTCAACCTCAACTCCCTAATCTCCTTCACCAAAAACTTCAAAGTCTCCTGCACGCCCGCATCCTCTTCCAACTCCGGCGCCTCGATCTTCTTCCCCTCCTTCTCCAACCCCTTCCCACCCGTCACAGGCTCGCTCTCCACAGGCGCCGCATCCTCCGCCTTCCTCAACCTCCGCTCCCGTTGCTCCTCTTCGAAATCCTGGTCCTCCTTCACCTGGTACAGCTGCGCCGTGAGCTGCGGGAATGCCTCCTCGGCGATCGCGATGGCGAGGTTGGCGGGGAACACGGCGAGGACCCACACCCATCTGCGCAGAGCGAGGTACCGCTGTTCCGAGAGAAAGAGCGAGGGCACTTTGAGGAAGGGTTCGACGAGGTTGGCGGGCGGGATGAAGGGGTACCGCGTGGCGTCGAGGTAGAGGCCGAGGACGTTGACGGTGAATTGGTAGACGTGCTGTTCGGTGGCAGTTTCGATGATGGTGGAGTAGGATTGGTTGAAGAAGGCTACGAGCATGTTGAGCATGATGACGGTGCCGAGGATCTGGAAGAAGATGAGGAGTGGGGGTCCGAGGACGTCGTGCATGCGCTCGGCGTCCTCGAAGTCAGGGGCCCTGATGATAGGCGAATGAGTAAGCTGTTCAATTGCCTAAACAAAAATCTCGTGTGTCAGATACTTACTGCAGGAAAGCCTTGGCTAACAAGTATCCCCCCTTAGCGAACCCAGGTCCCTCCGATGGCGATGCACGCGCTAAACCAGCAAACGCCTGAAAACACATGTTTGGAGTCAGAGGGGTGGTCCCGAAGGGCGGTAGATGATGAACATACCTGGACAAACCCGACAAGCACAAAGAAGAACATGACGAAAAAGTAAGCAGCGTCTTGCAACATGGAGCGGATGATGACGACCATCTCTCCAAAGTATCGGAATCTGAATTGGCAATCATGAAGTTTTAGCTCTCACGTGGCATGAACTGATTTTCAGCGTCCGCCCATTACTAACCCAGCAAGAACATGAATCGCACGAGTCCACAAGAACACAGCGTTACACGCTAGCAGATCATAGGACAAATCGGTTGGACCCGTCAAGATCTCCTCGCTGCCAATCCATTGAGCGTAGACTTTGGCTCCAAAGGCGATTGAGAACAGGACCAAGCTGATCATGTCGTTGCAGTTGAACTAAGGAACGGGGGCCTTCCTATGAGCATTTGAGTTCGGCGTGTGTGATTATGAGGGACCTGGGGCTTACCAATGTCAGGAAGTACAATCCTGTGCCTTGTGAACGGAACTGATCGTATTGAGCGTTAGCCGAGTAGACGGTAAACCAGAGAGGCAACCAAGGGCGAACCTACCTGCTTGATCTCCGTGATCATATAAGACCCAACCATGATATACATGATGATCTCCGCCGCATTGAAATGCGGGGTCCGGTAGTTGACGACAAACGTGAACACCATCAACAGCGCGAAACTGAACATCGTCTCGGCAGCGTATCGGTATATCGGGACACTCAACCGGCCTTCGGGTAGAGCATTGAAACCAGATCTGATCTGCGTGGGCCATTGGTAGCCCTGGACGTATCCGTCGCCATCACGACTGTCTTGTTTGATCTCCCATGATGGGCGGGGGATCAGGAGGCCGCGCCAGATGTACTCGACGCATTGCTGCACCACGATGGTGTTGACGAAGGAGACCGCGCCAGATTCGACAGCGATGGAGAGTGCTATGTCAAACAGGGCTTTATGTTAGCTAATTGCCAAAGTCATAGTGATGGAGATGTAATGGAAATGTAGCAACACTCACGGCTCTCCTGCTTGTGCGGCGCCTTCCAATTCGTGAACAGCGGCGTAAGCACCTCTACAAACAGCTCTTCTCTCCCATCCTTATCCTCCGCGAGATCCTCCACAATCCTAATCGCCATAACCTCACACATGTACGCCCTGGCTTTCAGCAGAGAACTTCGGTGAGTGCTGAGCTTTGCACGTTGGTTTAGCTCCCGGCTAGCGGCCAGTGCACCGCAAACACAGGCCCGCGGACCGAGAATCTTGAGCTCGGTGATCATGGCGTCCGTGACGTATTCTTTGGACTCGGCGATTTCATCGTTTGAGACCGGCTCCACTAGGCGGTTGCGCGCAAACTCGAGCGCTCTGAGAAGCAAGGAAGTGTACACGACCTCGCGTCAGTCTTTCAGTCGGTGGCTACAAACGTTCGCAAAGTGCAAGCCCATACTTTTCGTAACAATCCTTAGCCTCCTCAGCACGCAGCGCCCGCGAGCTTCCCTCGGACAGCAAGCGGGTTTCTTCCAAAGTGCGACCATCCCTAGTAGGCCCATGGTTGTGGACTCCACGCACCCTGTGTCCTGGCATCTTTGTTTCCTTTCGACGCTGTCAGACGGTCTCCTAAAGCTTTCTTCCAGCGGAGAGGGCTGCTGCTGCTAGGGAATCAATTGGACAGATCTATATAAGTACTTTGCCTTCGCCAAGCTCACAATGTCTTTAGGTTGACGAGGTCCCAGCAGGACGAGGCTTTTATCACCGTTTTCGCCTGCCACACGTCATGGTTGTTGACGCGCGCCCTGCTGTCCGGGATGTGGTGACGTTATCCCGATTCCGGAGGCTTCAACCATAAAAGTCTGAATTCACCATGCACATGTTACAGCCATTCCGATATGGGCAGGAAAGATGATGATGCAGGGGTCTGTACATTTCACGATACGCCTTCGAATGCCACAAAAGCAAAGTACATACAGAATGAAAACGTAAGCTAATTATCAATGGGGAGATCGTCCAACGCCAATGCGAAAAAGGAAGGACTAGCGAAGGTTTATACAGAAACAAAGAAAAGAAGCCCAAACATGGTATCCAAAAAGGGAGCTGTCCGGTGGATTGTCCGATCACCACACAAAGAAACTATCCAGCTCGCTATCGTCGAATGTGACCGCACGTCGCGGATTCGTATGGTGACGACTTGCCGTGCCGCGTGGAAGCCAGGTGGGATCTAATGAGATGGGGAAGAATCGAAGATGAGATCAATGCACTTGGTGTTGCAAAGACATCTCCACAAAGAACACACCAATCAAACTCTCGGCGGTATCCGTAACCCGCCTCCTTCCCTCCTGGTCGCCCGCAAACGCGTCAACCCCGGCGTCTCCGGGCCTAGTGACCATCTCCGGTCGCCTCGCAAACATCCTCCCACCGGCGCCGGGACCAGCCGCAGCGGCCACGGCGGCGCCATCGCAGGCGTCCACGAGCTGCAAGTACGTCTCCACATCCATTCCCCGCTTGTCCTCGTCCTCGCATTCGATGGCTCGACGGCGCAGATACTGCATCATGCGCCGCCGTTCGGCCGCGGTTTGCGTCGAGGACTGGTTGCGTAGAGAGGACGTTATGAGTTGCGAAAGGAGGGAGGTGTGCGATGCCGGTGGCGTGAGGAGAGTATGTTTGGTGAACGGCGTAATGGGAATTGGTTCGCTGCGACAAGGAACCGTTTCCGGGGAAGATGGGGAATCGAATGATGAAGGGCTATTTGGCGGCGCGGCAGGCATCTCCAGCGAGGCCACCGATAATCCGACGCCCGCATTGGTTCTCAAAAGAAACTTGTCGATGGGACACTCCTGTTCTACCTGCGCTCCATCTCCTTGCCCATCCTCTCTCGAAATGATCCTCAGCCATTTCCACCTCCTCAGGAAGGATCCTGGACACGCCATTGGCCGGCCCCTCCAACAATGGTAATGTGGCTCCCACCCCGAGGAGGTATCGATGAACCCCCTTGCTTCGGCGCGGTGAATGGCGGCTGTGATGAGATCGGCGAGTGATTCGCCGAGGAGGGAGGAGATGCCTGTGACTGAGTCTTTCTTCCAGCGGGCGTAGACGGTGATAGGAAGCTCGACGATGGAGCTTGGGAAGCAGGATGTTAGGAAGGAACGACGGCCGGGTATGGACAACTGTTGTTGATCAGAAAGACTTGGTGGTAGCAATTGCTGCTGTGGTGGTGGTGGTGGCGGAGGTGGTCGTGGTTGTAAAAGATCCTGTGCTGGTTCCAACCGATTTGTCATAACTGGTGCAGGCAATATTTTCGGTGATGTGGGAGGGGTCGGCGGGCCGGAATTTGGCGGCACCAGCCTCTCTTGCGACACATTCACCGCATTTGGCTTCCGAGACCATATCCGCCAGCTGTACATGAAAGAAGCGAGACATCAGCGAAAATTCATAACCTGATGCGGAATTACCTTGCGCAACCGCAGTTCACTCCCCTACCTAGCATTCTCCACCCTCTCCACACTCGCTCCACTCCCGGAAAGATGTGAAATGGCCTGCACAGTCAACGCCGCCTCCTCCGTCGACGCTTTTCCAAAATACGTCTTCCACATCGTGCTCAACGGGCCATCGTCCACTCGGCCTTTCACGCCTCTCGTGGCGGTGTTAGTGGTGCTCTTGACGTCCATCGGCGCGCTACTCTTCCTCTGCACAGCGGCAGAGTAGGCCGGCAGTGGGGTGCCGGGCTCTGTGACTGAGTGCATCTCGGGATGGTAGAGATGCTTGTCGCGTAACGGGGTGTGAGATGGCCTCGACGGAATTGCGACACCCGGCATTTGAATATCAATCTTCCTAGTGTGACGCGCAATGAACGCCTCTCCCTCACGAATAATGATCAGGAAGACGCCTGCCCTTGCCGGTCGCCCGCTTTTGACTTGACTGCCTTCCACCCTGCCTTCCACAACTGACTGCGCGTCTGTCAGTGTGGCAGTGGACGCTGTGTGGGGTGAGCAAACGACGGCGACCGGGAAAAGCAGTCCCTGAAATATTTGCGTGAATCATGAAAACGTAAGACTCGAATGCCAACAACCTGACGAATCGAAAGCTTTTACACGACAGGGCAACAACCCGGGCCGGCGCGGACATCTCTCGGACAAAAGGCACACTCGGCGAACTTGCACTTTCCCCTCTTCTGAGTGACCCATATGTCCGGCATCTCACACCCCACTCCCAAAGCACTTCACCACAACACATTTTACTCACCACCGCCCCCACCGTCCACCATGTCCCACCTACACGCCCAAATGAGCCCCGCATTCGAAGAAGGCCACGCGCTGGTCGCCACCCTCCTCGAGAGCCTGAACCCGGCGCACGAAACGGCGCTGATCCGCAACATCGATAGCCTGAACGCCAAAGCCGCGGAAGCGATGGGCGAGGTTGAGGAGAGTATGAAGGGCACGTGACAAGGTAAGCGGTCATCATCTCCCAATTCCTCCAACTATACTTCAAGTGAACATTGACATTGTCGGGTTGACATTGTCATCCAGCACTCAGCAAACACCATGCCCACCTGATCGCCTCCACCGCTCTCCCCAAACCCACCGCAACAACCGAAACCCACAGCGCGCGGATGATCAGCATGGACCGGGCCAAATACACCCTCGCCAAGCAGGCGGGCGAGCTAGACAAGACGATCGAGGGGTTGGAGGCGCAGTTGGCGGAGTTGGAGGGGGAGGTTGAGGGTCTGAGGAGGGAGGAGGAGGACGAGAGGGTTGTGCCGCCCAGTCGGGAGCAGTATGTTTCTCTTTTTGGGGGTTTTTCGTTTTGGGCAGCGCGATGCGGGTGTTGACGAGGTTTCTTTTTTGGGTATAGGTTGTTGTTGACAATCTTCCGGGGCCTGGGGATCGAGATGCAGAAGGACGCTATGGGAAAGTTTGTCAAGTGTCAAGTTTGTGAGTACCATCTTTGCACACTCGGTCAAACCCCTCATTTGGGTCCTAACACCACGCTTCCCTGATTTAATGTCCGCCAGGCAAACCAAACAGCGCGGAAAAAGATATCTACATCCAGGAGTTTGCAGACAAGTTCTCGCGATATTACTATGCTAATGTGCTGTGGGATGCTTGTTTTTGAGGGGGATCTCATGTTCGGGCCGCTCTTGTAATCCGCACTTGTATTTTGTACAGTATTTTTTGGGACTATAGACAATATCCGAGAAGAGGACAACCCGCTATAGGGGCAAACCGATTGATGACTTTGATTCATTGCCCGTCGGCTTTGGGCTTCGGTTTTTCGAAGTGGGTCCTTCTCCAGGTCGAGCGAGGAGAGCGAGGACGGCCATGGACGCCAGTGTCTTTGCTTATAGCGTTACCTAAGTGGGGCCTCCCAAGCAAACTTGGAGTAGTTTAGTGGTTATAGAGTTGTCACAAATCCGCCCTCGGCCAAATCTCACATGCCGGGGCAGCCGGGCACTGAAAACAACCCCAATTGGTGTAACACCAATGTGATGGAAACAATTCCCGTTCGGAGATTCATAATGAAATGAAATAACCTCACGCGCTCGGTGCACCACCGCGGCTCTCCGGTCAATACAGAGAGTCCGACGGGGACGGTGGTCCCTTGGGTGCATGAACGGAAATCAAAGCAATTGGGAGATATAATATAGTTGATGTGCATAGGGACGTAATAACAAAAACTCGGGGAGCAAAACTTGTAGCCAACAGACAGATAGGTGTCGGCTAGGTTCAGAAAGCAAACTATGCTAGTTACGGACCGTGATAGTAGGTCACAACAGCCGGGTTGCCGGCATTCAGATAATGCCCGCGGGACGACGCCAAAAACGAATGACTCAAAGGCTCAAAACCGAGCGCAGTAAACAAACTTCAATGCAACCACATCAGACACGAGAACCCGGGCGCTTCGCAGGGTACGGGAACGATCCAGCCGGGCCGCCGACCTGATGCTGAGCAGGCAAATCGCCGCGGAGGCCGCCGTACGAGGTAGGAGTGCTTCTACCATCCTCACCGCCGGGTCCATGGAAGCGTTCGAGCAACCTGCGGTGCTCTTCCATGCGAGCATGGTCGCGTTCTTCCTCGGTCGGGATACGTGTGGCGAGGTAATAGATGGGAAGCAGGCCAAGAAGCTACATGGTGAAAGGGTAATGGGTAGAAGATGCACCTGCAGACGCATTCATAAAAATGAATCTACAACCACACCTGCAGAGCACCAAGGCTCAAGATCGTAATTCCAAAGACTTTCTGCCTCTCGCTCCATTCCTCCTTGATCGGGCCAATGCACGGACGCTGGTAGGCAAAGTCGGGATGCCTGGAACACTTGTCCTGAGCGCGCTCGGGCTTCGGATAAGCGCGATCGTCCAGGTAGTTGAGACCGCAGCATTCGTAGTTCTCTTGGATGTCGCGGAGATACTTGGGTCGATTGAAGTACCTAATGAATGAAGAGGTGTAAGTGCGTCGGCCTCTACCACGTGTACCCTGGATGAGATGCAGATACAAATAGTTCCAGCGACGATCAGCAAGCTCGTCAATCTAGATTGTGAAAAACGTGGTTAGGATCTTGGTTTCCCGTTGGAACAGAATCAAGATGCAAACCCTTACCGCATCTCCGCGAGTACTCAAAGCGACAATGCCAATGATGTACTGCAAGAGGATGAAAGCGAGCAGAATCCAGAAGTAGCACCAGAGCGCGGTGCGCATCTCCGCAAAGGAGCTCAACGAGCCCAGGACGGATATGAGAATCACAGCGGAACCGACGGCGATTGAGATGATGGGGAGCGTCATCGGGACCATTGCGGAACCTTGGAGGTTGGGATATTAGGACATAAATCTCGTCAATCACCCCGTCGGAAAGATCGCGAGCCAGTTGAAGGGCACAAGCTTACCAAGAGGGTTCAAGAGCCCATAGACACCAATTCCAATCAAAGCAACACCGGCCAGCTATCGTCGTAGTGTTATATATGTTAGGGTCCGATCAAGCATGGCAGCTACCTCCCGTGCACATAGTTCCCTGAAAAACATACCGCCGTCAAGCAACTGACAGCAAACGACGTCCACTTCGACGCCTGCAACATCCCCTGGCCTCCGCCAACGGACGAGAAAGGGTTGTAATCAGCACCGCCTTTGCCCATTGTAAGTGTTTCGGAACTTGAACTCGATGTTGAACGCGATGACTGTTGTTCTTCGACTGGGTACGGCAAGATGGGGGCCGGGGTTGAGGAGAAAGGGAGTGATGAGGAGGGGGAGAGCGCTGCTAAAACGGGTATATATACGGAGAGAATCTTGGCTGAGGAGCTTGTTTGAAGAGAGAGGCGGTTATTGTGCGATTCGGGGGATTTCCGTCGTTGGATGCGATGGGTGGGAAAAGACAAGATGGGTGCCTTTTCCGCGAAAAAAGTGTGGAGAGACCGTCTCTGAGACGTGACGCGCAAGAACGTCAGGCCGAAGGATATCGGTCGGACATTCGATCTGCACAGCGCACATGCAACGGCCCCCAGCGGGACGGGGGGAAAGGAACACAACGGCGGGCCATTAGGACGCTCAATCTGCCTGCTCATAAGTTGAGGAGTCTGCCATATATATATATAGGACTTGTCGTCCTCAAACTGAATCTGATCTGTTGCGTTGATCTCATCAGAGGCAAGTCCTCCATCCAAACCGCCAGGCTTCAGAATGATTCGAGTAGTAGTATGTGCAATAGAAGCGAATGTGATAAATTATATACATGCCGAAATGTGTCATAAAAGCATCCGACTCCCACATCCACCCGGTTTCCCTCTCGATTCTCGAGGTTCATTACGACCCCTGCTCCAACTTCCTAATCTCCTCAACCAGGCAGCGCTCCTCTGCCTCCAAGCTCGCTAGCTTCGCTACAATTGCCGCCTGACTTTGTTGTAGTAACTGATGTTCCGCTTTCAACGCCTTTTGGAGCTCATTTGCGCGAATGTTGGACAGCCGAGACGGTGCTTCCGGCATCAGCATGTCAGAATGTAAAACTTTGGCCATTTGCTCTGATGTCGAATCTGAGGCTTCGCTTTCGGAACCGGGCTCAATGGGCTCAATCGTTTGTTTTGATGCAATCGTTTGCTTTGGTGGTAGTTTTTGTGGTTTCGTAGATATCCTGGAAGACCTGTGAACGATGCCCTCACTCTGCTTGAAAGAAAATAAATAGTACAACTCTGGTGAGCACAATCACAGTTTCATCCAATTATGGTGTCATCCAAAAAATATCCTTACATTCTCCATCCTCTTCCCTTGTTCCATTACTCGGGTAGGATGAGCTCCTCAACGCTCCAGTCCTCCCAACTCCCATCCGGCATATATCTCCTCACCATTAGCGGTATCTTTTGTTCCCTCAACTCCTTCATGGCGATCGCCAATGGGTCGGACTCGCCGTTTAGGTCGACCATAACTGGCGCGTTCATGCTGATTTGCAGTGCCCGTGTACCGAGGACACGAGCCTTCTCGTACTTTGTCATGTAGGGAGTCGTCAGCCGTAAGTGTTTTGGGATCGGCCCTGGAACTCCGCTCTTGGCAGGTGCAGCAGTAGTGGTGACGTCGATCTGTTGCTATATTTTGCAGTTTTTGGAGTCAGAATCACCTCCCAAGTATTTGCAGACGACCGAAGTTTTCACACCAACCTCGTCCTGGTTGAGAATTTCGGTTCGGAGTCCTTCCGGGAGGTCACCCTCGGCCTCAAGGTCCAAGGGCTCATCAAAGTCGTCAACAGGCTCGTCAAAGTCGCCGCCGGCGTCGCTTCCCTCGTAGTCTGACATTATTGGCGTTGGCTTCTGCTGTCCTTGTTTTGCGATGCAGCGCCAGGTCAAAGTTCGAAGAGTCGCAAGTCCAACAGCCCTGGAAGAAGGAAAGGGCAGCGAATTAACTAGTGCACCGGAGTCACGTGAGATTTCTCGGACACGCCTGTCCCACTGCCCTTGTCGAACTTCGCAAGCGCATCCAGTCGAGTTCTGCCCTCTTTCGGTCTCGCCTCATTACATAGAGTATACCGAGACAACATGGCTGTCGGAAAGAACAAGTACGTACACCCTCACCGCCGCTCAACGACGTCGTAGCATGTTGCTGCTTTTACGCACGAAAGTAGAGGCATGCTCGGCGGAATGGCCTGGGAATGAGTGGTCGGCTCGGCATTTATATATAGCCGACGACATGACTAACGACGGCTTTCGTTTTTCTTTATAGGCGCCTCTCGAAGGGCAAGAAGGGTCTTAAGAAGAAGGTGTACGTACCCTATGCCGCTTACAGCAGCGCCGATGGATGAATGGACGATGGTAGATGGATGGATGGATGGATGGATGGGAGGCGGAGCATATATGAGGAATTGGAATCAGACCTATGAATGACGATCCGGCGTGCGACGATCCGGCATGGGGCAAGCCACACCGAGCAACCGATTGACAGAGACTGTGTTCTGTTTTTCAGTGTCGACCCCTTCACCCGTAAGGACTGGTACGACATCAAGGCCCCCGGCTTCTTCGAGGTTCGCAATGTCGGCAAGACTCTTGTCAACCGTACCCAGGGTTTGAGTACGTATCGACGTTTGCTTGTGCCAGAGGAGAGCAGGGAGGAGACGGGAAGTGGAACAGCAGTGCTGATTGGACGATTTTTCTCACGATTATAGAGAACGCCAACGACGCTCTTAAGGGCCGTGTGTTGGAGCTCTCTCTTGCCGACCTGAACAACAACCCGGAGGACTCTTTCCGTAAGATCAAGCTCCAGGTTCAGGAGATCCAGGGAAAGAACTGCCTGACCAACTTCCACGGCATGGACTTCACCTCCGACAAGCTTCGCTCCCTTGTGAAGAAGTGGCAGGTACGGTCATGGACGAATTGATGACTGGACAGTTCACTTTTGGGTGGAGTGCAGCGGGGACATACGGACTGACCTAAACGTCAATTTCCCTTTGTAGTCCCTGATCGAGGCTTTCGTTGACGTCAAGACCACTGACGGTTACCTTCTCCGCCTCTTCACCATCGCCTTCACCCAACGCCGCAAGAACCAGATCCGCAAGACCACCTACGCCACCCACGCTCAGATCCGTCTCATCCGCAAGAAGATGTTCGAGATCATGACCCGCGAGGCCGCATCTTGCGATTTGCGCGAGCTCGTCCAGAAGCTCGTCCCGGAAGTCATTGGAAAGGAGATTGAGAAGGCGTGCCAGGGTATTTACCCTCTTCAGAACGTGTACGTCAGGAAGGTGAAGATCCTGAAGGCGCCCAAGTTCGACCTTGGAAAGCTTTTGGAACTTCACGGCGAGGCCGTTGAGGACAAGGGATCCAAGGTGGTTGGAAACACCAAGGAGGCTAAGGACATCCCTGTGTTCGAGAGTGTATAAACACGTCCATCTTCTCTCGACCACCCACCCGAGTGTATAAAACACGCATCTTCTCTCCACCGCCACTCCCGTAATATATGCTTTGATCGCAAAATGATCTCTGTTGCATATTGCATTTTTTCTCTTTCATTATCTTTCTCATTGCGGTACATTGAAGTCACACCAACACATCGTCGATATCCGCAACTCTGGGGGCTGGCCGCTGATGGACTCGGGATGGGAGAAGGTGCATTATGTCGTCGGGAGTTCATACGGATGGAGGGAGCAAGAGTCATTATGGGATGGTTGGAAATGGGGTGTAGGATGGGGACAAGAGTGTGGAAAGTACGCCGGGGATGGGTCAGGGAATTATGGCTGCCACCTGCACACAGGAGATCGTAAGTAAAGAAGGATGGATGTGCCCAAATGAGTGTCCACGGGGCCATACCATTTCTTCTTCGCCTGAACGTTTCCAAGATCACGACATCATCATTGTGGAAGTGAGCTCACCTAGGATCTTCGTTCAAAGAGCATCCCTAACCAGTTCGTACCTGTCTATCGTTGTACTGCTTGATCGTGTCCAAAAATGTCTTCGATCCGTCCTCCAAATCGCCAAACTTGGCTTCCAGCTGGTTGAGCTTCTCGCCTCGCTCGTTCAACGCCTTACGATATCCAGATCAGTGAGTCAAGAGTGCGTGTGATGGTATGTGATGGTAGAGAACTCATTCAAAACAACCTGTGTAGCTCGTGCAAACGGCGAATCCGCGGTGGACGCGGCTCCTCCTTCGCGCACGCCGGTTGTGCGGGCATGTGATGTGGGTTGTTGCAGGTCTGATCGTGGCTTGACTAGAGAGTAGTCAACATCGTTAAGGTAGTAAACAAAGAAAAGCAATCATCGAGTCTTACACAGTTGGTCATGTTCCCGATTTCTCGTCGATGATGTCGCAGAACCTTTAGTCTGCCGCGACCACTCCATTGCTTTCGTGAGCTCGTATGCGCGGATTTGAATTTCTGGGATGCTGCATGCAATGACAAAATCTGAGTGGCGCGAAATCTCTACAGTCGGTCTATCCCGACTTACCGAGAAGTATCCTTCGTGATGCAGAACATGCGGAACTCTCGCTCGTCCGTCCAGATGACCAGTCGCCCGTCTTTGATGATTAGTGTTTCTCGTAGGCGTCTGTTTGAGGTGTCAATGAGTCAATGCCTTGCCATTGTAATGCAGACACAAGTAACCGCATCGTACCGTGCGTCGGGCGTCACAAGAGGCAATTGGGCCCGCCAAATCAGCCTCAACCCTGGTAGTTCCAACGCTTCTACCGTGGCGGTAGCCGTAATGCGTATCAAGACAGGATCGCCTATTGGTACGAGAAAATTGTGGTGAGGAGCAGCCGTCCTTTCACCTTGAACCTCTGATTGGGGTTCCTATCTACATACCACCAATAAAGCACAACCCAGCCTTCACGCCTTCCTCCCGCGACTCGCAAGACGCCAAGAGCGATCGTCCTTCTTCCGGATGGAGAAGGTACACCGCTGTGGAGTTCGAGAAGCACATGGCCACATAGTTCTCGGGCGACTGCTCGCTGCCCGTCCGCGATGTGCCCGGGCGAACGAGGCGGCCGCCTTCATCCAGAATGAACATGCATACCGCTATTTGGGTGGTGTTGTTGTTGGGCTGGTGGATGGTGCCTGTGTGTGGGATTCGGTTCGCATGTTGAGAGAATGGCTCCCGTGCAGCGCAGGCACCCGTCTACTTACATCCTTCCAGCGTTATCCGTCCCTCCGAATCGTCGGCGACTTTGTATTGTATGCATGCACCCGCCGAGGTGAAAACGAAGATGCACGTCCTAGGGGATGGTTCTGTTGGGACGCGATGAGGACCGTGCTGTTAAGAAACAGTGCGCGGGGCCTCATAATTCAGAGCTCACCCTCCTTATAGTACGTGTAACCGACTTGGACCATGACGATCTCCGCATTCGCATCACTCTGTTCTTGAGAAGATGTGGAAGTTGCTGCGTCTGTCAATCGGCAACCTTATATGGTGAGGGAGGTAGATAAAAGCTCGCTTACATGTGGTCACCGTCGTTGTCGTTATCGATCGGCCGCGCATGACATGAAGATTGTTTCCCGCAGTCGTGGTTACCAGGCTACATGCAAACCGGGCGATCAGCAAGAGCGAACCGTTTCGTCCTGAACACAGCAGTTGATAGAGAGACAAAAGACACGTACAGTTCACACAACGGGGCAAAAGTCATCAGTTGAACGGGTTCTTCATGATCGTAATGGAGGAATGGGGTCCAACCCGGTCCAGTGGGCGTATCATCGACATATCTATAGGTAATTGGCGAAGAAGCAGGTGGTGATGGTAGGCCTGTTTTATCGTCTTTCGATAATGGTGGTGGGACATCTGCCAGGTCATCGGCTGCTTTCGAGTCCGGAGGGGGGGGATTTTTACCGACGGCTTCCGCCGATTCATCGGCTATTTGGCCATTGCCCTCTGGCTCCTCCTCAATTGTCGAGGACTCAGGGTTCTCAGCGCGGTCATGCGCTGCTTCGGTGGAGTCCAATTCCTCAGCCTGCTGGTCAGTTCGATCATCTCTTCCAGTCAACTGGTTGATATCCTCGGACTGACGCAGAATCTCATCAACCGTAGCATCCAATCTCCTCATCAGCTCGTCTGCGTCTTCTTCCGGATCTGCTTCCTTCACCTCCGATGCAAGCACCCAACGGTACGTCGTTACGTGAGGCCCTATAGCGACCAATAGCAACCGCTGGTCTAAATCCATGGACACAAGTGGCTCGGAGGGAGAATCTTCGACGCACGGCATTTCGAACAGGAGGGCCGGAGGTCTCCCTAGTTTCCAGAATCTCAACTTCTGGTCGAGATGATTCGTGCATAGAACGTCGAACAGCTGTTTCCCGTTCTTGTTCACCACGGTTCCGCCGTTCAATGGTAGGCGGCCGCTGGCGTTACCTGTTTCAGCGAGCTTCCGGATGTCCCATCCGAGGAACTCTGAGCATTCGGACATCGCTACTGTTGATGGACTGCGTAGCGTCGCCAGTTCGAACGATGGAGCGACATGTAGAGACGAGACATCCTCATTGAACAGGGATGCATGAAGGATGCCCTCAATATCAATGGTCATCAGGAATACGGATGCAGAGGTAGGATCTCGCATGACTTGGAAATCGCGTACGCATCCATCCGGTGGTATGTTCCCAGAACTCTTTATGGAACTGATATCGGTACCGCATATGTAATTCTCGATGCCCGTGGCCGCATTGGCAACTAGGAAGCTTCCGCCGCCCTTGACTTCTGACCACCAGAGCAGTCTCTGCCGCGCAACTGCAGTTGACAGTTTGAGCTCGTCATCAGTACCATTTCGCTTTAGGACCTTTGTAGGCTTCGTAATTGACGAAGCTTTCAATCCGTCGAGCCATCGACTGCGGGTTTCCCAAAATGCGATCGCGCTGACCGTTGCTGCAGCAAAGAACGTGCCATCCGGATGCCAACAAACGTTTGTAAGCTTGCCACCTTCGGCGCCTTTGTCGAAACCGAACTTCCTTCGTACGGCCTGGTCTTTGATGTCCCACAAAATCATGACGCCGGACTGGTACCCCAATAACAAAAGATTCGCATCAGAGGGGCTCGCCCTGATAGCCACAACAGGGTCATGGGTAGTCTCTTCAGTGGGAGCTTCGTCTGCGTTACGAGCCGGTATCGAATACAACGACCTCTGCCCCAATTCCGCATCATACAGCACCACTCGCCCATCGGCAAGTCCGACGAACATCCACGAGCTGTTCGAAGGTACATCAATGCATGTAACGCGAACATCCAACTGCACTGATGGAAATTGCAATGCCAGTGTCTGCAGATTGTAAACTGAGAGCACCGTGTTGCCGCGAACTGCTATCAGGAACTTGCTTCCAACTCGGAAGTCCAGGTGGGTGACGTGTACATCCACTTCAGGCGAGGGTGCCGGATCTAGTACGAATTCCCACTGATTTCCGACCAGTAATATGGACCCATCACTAGCTCCTGCCGCTAGGAGCGACTGGGCTGGGTCGTAAGCTACGCACGTAAAGCGTAGCCCTTCCAAGCTACCTCCAAGCTTCCACGCCTCAGAGAGTCCGAATGGGGCATCCTTTCGAGGCCGCTGCACAGCATCCTGAATAACGGTGGTGGCGAGTCTCTTGAGGAGATTCATAAGGCCTCTTTACAGTCCTCCTTTTGGAGGGGCTTGTTGGTGATTTCGTCGCCGCGTACCTCGCTGTCTCTCCGGTGGTGCCGTCCTGAATGGCAGGTCGTTCGCGGCAATGTACTCAGTTTGGTGATGCGGGAAGCAGTCGTAGAGTCCACTACCAATGAAGAGAAGAATAAGTAACGTTTCCTGTTTTTCGCTCGTCGTCTAGTTGCATGTCGTATCATGGGAACATGCTGCAAACGAGGAGGCTTTGAGACGAGGCTTGAAGAAGCTTCCCAAATTCCCATGTCGTGATGTCAGAGTGCTTGTGACAGCGCGACGCAACGTCAAAATCGCTTGCCGCTTTTCCACTTTCTGGCTTCATTTTCCCACGCTTCAACCAGACGGACCAGCTTGCGAGGTACGCATAGTGCAACATAGTACCAAGGCATCAGTCCTTTCTCTTGCTGTTGAAGGCAAGCTCCTCATCAAGTCCTTGCGCGAAGGTTCACTCCGGTAAGTTCGTCCTACTTCGTTACTGGGCTGGGAAATCTGAAGAAGTTCTGAATTTTCTTGACACATTGTCCCACGGCAGGTCCCGGAAAAACATGACCACGCTATCTGGAGCTTCCTTTGGGCCTTCTTCGCCGAAAGCAGACTTTCCCGCAGCCTTGAACGGAAAGTTCACGAGTGAGGTTTTTGATAACTCAGATGCGATTTTCCCACGGGATTTTGAAGCGTTCGAACTGGACATGGACTTGGAAGCCTCGTTGACCGAAGACGAACCCTCGGCCCTGCTTTCATCATTGGGCAACGCCTGCCATGCAGCCGAACCAGAAGGCGTCGACTGCCATCCGCTACCCGCCTGCCATTCGAATCTCCGTTTCATGCTTGACAAAGATTTCGACGACGCAGTGGCTAGTCCGGTAGCTAAAGACGTGGGAACTTTCCCAAGATCGACGCAAAGTGGAGAACATGAGCTCGGCATGTTGTGGACTGCACAGCAGGACGCAGAAAGCGAAATGATGTCCATCAGCTCAGAACCCGTAAATGAGCGCCTCGGTGACACAGCGACCCCGATAAAGGAAGACGTGAGAACTTTCCCATCGAAGCAAATTGCGCCGGACATGCTCGGAATTTCGCTGACTGCACATCAGGATGCAGAAAGTGAAGTGATGTCCCTCAGCTCGGAACATGTAAACGAGCACTTTCATGACACAATGAGCCACCCGATAAGTGAGGACATGGGAACCGAGGACGTGCCAGACATTGGGTGGGCTCCGCATCACCACGCAGCAAGCGAAATCATGTCTACCATCTCAGAACTCGAAGACGAAGAATTGGAACAGACGACAACGGGACGGCTGATTGAGAACCTGGGAACTCCATCGGAATCGATGCCGCCTGCCGATGGAATCCCCGGGCTTGTGTGGGCTGCACATCACGCCGGAGACAGTGATGTGATGTCCACCAATTCGGCTCATAACTGGCAGGTTGACTGGACACCGGAAGATGAATCTGTCATGTCAGCGGACGACTCTGTACGATGGCAGGACGAACTCGAATTCGGAGCAGACGAATCAGGGAGCATCGGTGGCTTCGAATCAGATTCTGAGCTGTTCAAGTTCGAAACGGCATCCGACCAGGACTTAGATGAGCCCGACGTCTGGTCACAGCACGAATATAATCAGCACCTGCTTGTGCCAGATGTTCTTCACGACATCGACGAAGCTGGAGAAATGGATCTCCAGGCGTTGGTGGAAGATCAACAGAAGGACGAGGGGCCAAGAAAAGTCAAACATACTCGAGTCCGACTGGGGGATCCCGCGATTGACATGCTCGAGGTTGGGGATGTGTGGAAGACAAGGCAACGGTCAAAGTATGGGCCACGACGATCGAAACTTGACAAGGAAAGCGTCCTCATTCTTTCGTTTCAGAACATGGGTTTCGGACCATTTGTCACAAACAATCGATGGTATTGCGCGTGCAACACAGAACGATTATGTTCCTGTCCTAAGGATGCTTTCCCGCACTGCTCAAGCTTGGAGGTAAAGACCACGTTCAGCAACGTCGATGAGGGTCATATGTCTAATCGCCTATTTCCATTTCATTTCAGCTTCAACGCGTCTGACCGTTCCATGCGACTTCAATCAATACGGCATGCTTACAAGAATGTGAAAGCTGAAGATCCTCGATATGGTATGTTGGCTTTGCGGCGTGCTTTCATCAGTGTCCTTAATCGTCAACAAAACAGCGATATACGTGCGAGTCATGGAGATCTGTCTGCAGCTGTTGGATGCAAATGTTATGGCAACGAAGAGGGACATATATTACCGGGATGTGGCACTTTTTAAACACCAGCGGACTGTAGATGCGGTGAGGATGGCATTCAAGGTTATTATTGCGGAAGATACTGATTGAGCGCGGTATCTGAATCAGGTTGTCGAAGATCTAGCTTGTACTCTGGGGATCCCGAGATCCTCACTGAACGTCGTAAGTCATTGTAGCGTGTGAAGATGCTTTGCTCCTCACTAAGAATAATCTCCTCAGGTGGCGTCGTCCAAGGGATTGATCTACGGAAATCTGCGGTTATTGATGAAAGACGGCTCCGTGGTCGACTGCCTAGAGAGCTCCGAGCAGGTACAGAACCGCTCTCACACGACATAGCATATCAACATTCTAATCCAAGACTGTTTCACCTATCTAGGGAGGCCTCATCCCACCTTCAGAGTCTATCTCCGCGATCGAGACAGATGCCCAATTCGTCCTGGTTGCAGAAAAGGAGGCTACTTTCCGGACATTGCTGCAACTCCGCGTCGCCGAAAAGTACGGCCCATGTGTCATCATGACGGTAAAACACTCCCATGCGTTTGGATACTTCACACCGTCCCTCCTAAGATGAATCTGTCCCCTCAGGGCAAAGGCTACCCCGACGTCTCAACCCGCATGCTCGTCAAGCGCCTTTCCGAGTTCAAAGCAGAGCTGACACAACACTCCGACATGCACGCCGCATTTTTCTCCGTGTCCAGCTCATCGCAAGTCGACGATGGGTTTGAAGATGGACATTTTGGTAACCCATGGCTGGATTCGCAAGTCCATGTTCATCAAACGGTGTCCATGGACTTTGAGGACAGCGGGATTTTCCAACCCGATCCTGCAGGAATTGCTGTGGAGATGTTTCCCGAGCCTATAGAACAAATCAAGGATCGCGGTGTCTTGCCACCATCGCTGATAGATGGACATGGCGCACCACAATGGAGTCAAGGAAACACGAGCGCAATCCCAATCTACGCCTTGGTGGACTGCGATCCACACGGGCTGGAGATCTTCCTCTGCTACAAATCTGGGTCCAAGGTGCGTTTCACACCTCCCACAAATGCCCACCTTCCCTCGCCGCACATAGACTCATTTTTCCTCACCCCACCCCGCAGGCGATGGCCTTCGACCGCGACAATCTCGCCTGCCCCTCCCTCCACTGGCTCGGCGTCCGCCCCAGCGACTGGTCCAACCCCCGCTACGGCATAGACACCGAGGCTCTGCTCCCGCTTACGCCGCGAGATCGCCGGAAAGCCCTCGGGATGTTGAAGAGGCCTTATGTGCGTGATTGTCCGGATATCAGGTGAGTGATTGTGATCTGGCCGTCTGAATCGGGATGCGGATCGCTGATACGAGAGTGCTAGGCGAGAACTCAGCCGAGTGCTGATGTATAATCGGAAAAGCGAAATTCAGGCGATAGAGAGCCAAACGTTGGTTGATGTGTATATTCCGGAGACATTGGCGTTGAGCGGGACTCCTATTAGCTACCGCGGGCGTATAGATCGCTAGACACTATATCCTATTTCATTTGACTATGTTAAATAGTTTTCGTTTTGAGGGGAAAGAGGACAGAGTGTGATACTGCGTACTGCGTTTGAATGCAAAGAGCTGGCTCTCATGAATGCAGTAACTCTGTGCAAAAAATATCATTCTATTCTATCCCAACAAAAATAAAGCATCAAATGCGGCCAAGATAAAGAAAGGAAGGCTGGTCAAGGTCTACACCAAATTTCCCTCCGCATTGACCTTCCTGAATGCAGCAGGCCGCTCGCCAACCCCGCCGTGGTAGTCATACACCAGCCCGCAGATGATATTGGCGAGCAGGTCGGCGTTTTCTTGCGTGTCGGCTTCTGCGTAGATGCGGACGACGTCTTCTGTTCCTGAAGGCCTGTTTGGATTGTTGAGAGAGGTGAGGTGAGAACCCGTTTCCCCAGAACGGCCGTATTTCATGGAGATGGTCCAGGAATCGTCTGAAGGAAAGACTGAATGTTACCTGACAAACGAACGTCCGTGCTTGAACTTGGCGACCTGCTGGCTGATTTTGGCCTGCAACCCATCCGGCTTCGACAGCTCCGTGTCGGCTTTGATGGCGACAAAGTCGTGGCGGTTGGAGACCTGCGTATGGCACACCGCAAACATGCGTGAGCAAGAGACGTCCGAGAGTTATGCCTGGTGACCACGCTTTGGACTTCAAAGCGCTCGCACTCACCTTGACCTTCTCCAACCGACTTGGCAGATCCGTGTACGCTTTATCCCACTCCTCAAACGATTGGTTCTCCGACACCAAGATCGCCTCGACCATCAACATGTCGGATAATGCGTCACCAACGGTCTGGTTGATGAGGTCCGTGAGTGCTCGCAGGGTTTCGATGGCTTTCTTTTCGGGTGCCCCTTTGAGCGCCAGGTCCATTCCTGGTGTAGGTCTATCATCGGAAGAAGACGTGAGCTGTGACGCCGCTTTGAATGCATGGAGAAAGTGGGGCTGTAAACGTACATTTTGGCAGAGTGGAAGGCCTTGATGGCCTTGTCGCTGAACAGGACGGTACCGTGTCCGTTAGCTTCGAAGTAGACGCCGACATCGAATTCCTCCGCAGCGTGATGCAGATGCTTCACCCCGGTGGGGGTGAAGGTCACTGGGATGTTCTGAATGACCAACTCAAGGTGAGTTGTACATCAACGTTAAGTACAGGAATGAAAACGCACCAGTGTATTCTTGACATATGCAGTAGAGGCTCCGTTCGCATAGGCCGTCTGAACCACCCCAACGCGGATGTCAGGAATCTCGGCGCTCCTGACGAGTCTCATGATGAATTCGGCGGCCAGAGTCGCGATCTTGTCACCGTCAAGCAATTTGAAGGTTCCAGCTGCATTGTTGGGGAATGGTGGTGAGTTTCGCGCCACCGCGTTGGCTTGCGGGGTCTGCCTTCTTACATTTGTCCGCGTACCAGAAGACGATACGATCCGCGTCTCCATCGAGGGATGCGCAACGCATTCCGGGCTTCAAATCGAACCCTTCTGGCTTCTTCTGTCCGACTTTCACGTAGTCGGCTCCAGCCTAAGCGCAATAGATGATGGGGAGACTGCAGTGATTAAGGATAAAGCCACATCTTGCTTCGTACCTGCAAGTTCAATTTCTTGGGATCTCCGACGTTGTCATTCACGACTTCAAGGGAAAGCGACTCCTTCGGAATGTACTTGGCGAGCTTTTGGAGAGTGGGGGCGCCGATACCGTTCGCCCCATCGATATACAGAATCGATTGATTTGACTTCCCAATCTGTAGCGGGCGATCATGTCAGAGGACATCAAACAGCTACCCTTTCCTGAACCTGTGAGTCGAACGTACCACAATGCGCGTAAACGCATCGGAGAGCTTCTTGTAATAGCCTTCCTCGCTTGGTTCACCATACGCGTCAGGCTGTCCCCGGGTGTTGAGGCAGCGGTTCAGGTAATGCAGTTGAGGCGTCGTCATGAGGCCATAATCCTCGATGTTTCCTCCCAAGGCTTTCACACCGTCTGTCAATGCAACGACCAGTGCTTCTCCGCTTGGTCTGACATGCGCCTCGCAGGTGAGCTCTGTGTCACCTCAAGATCCTAACGTGAAGAAAGCCAGCTCACCTCGTGTCCCGTCCAACAATGACATTGGCGTTCTTGCTCGTATCAATGCCCTCCTTCGCCACAACGTCCTCCAAAATGCGCGCAAGTTCCTCGGCAGTCGCCGCGTTCGCCAACTCAGTCGCGTAGCCCTCCCACGACTGCGCCAGCATCTCGCCCCGCGGCTCGACCAGTTTCACCCCGTTGTCTTCGGCGGGATTGTGAGAGGCGGTGATCATGGCGCCGATATATTTGCCGTCGTGCTTCTGGGAGCGCAGGACGGCAAGAAGGCCAACGGTGAAGATGACTGAGTCGAGGACATTTGCTCTAAAGAGTGCAAGAGGGGGTCAGGAGCGGAAACAACGGTGAATATTGATAGCCCTGCTGGAGGGCTTCTTACTTTGTGCGAAACCCAGCGGTACCATAGGTGTATTTCACGTCCAGTTTGGGGTGCTTTGCGAAAGCCTCCTTGATTAGCCTAACGTCGATAGGCATCGTGGCTCGTGTTATGAGAATTTAGAAGGGGAAAGTGGCTTGTTCTACAAGATGCATGGACCGTTAGCAAGGCGAGGGTCTGCTTGCCGCAACGACCCTCACGTAGGGGTCTTTCGTACGTACGGTGTATTATACGTTTTCGAGAGAGCGCTTGTCAAACGCAGATTTCAGGCGGAACGGAAGTGCGAAAGTGAGAAGCCACACTTTCGCGAACTTCAGAATTCAAGCCCCGCAAGTCTCGCCATCTTCGCCATTGCTTCACAGGGCTTCACACACGCCGAGCACTTGTTGATCAGCGAGAGAGCAAGCATGGTGAAAGCAAAGAAAGGGGTGTTGCTAGAATGGTCAGTGAGAGAGTGGCACACATACTTATCATTGTGGATCGCCCTTTCGAACAGGTGTCACTTATCCGATGCATTTTCTTAGCGACCCAGCCGTGAAGCAGATTGTGCAGGACCTGGACGCTAAGAGATTTTCTGAGACGGGAAAGGCCCGCTTCATCCTGGAGTCGTTGGACGAGACACATCTGTTTGTTGGTTCGTGGCTGACATGCACACGGACGTGGCAGGTTCAGCTTCCGACTCTACTGACCCACTGGTTCGAACTCCTCCAACAGATACCGAAATCGTACCATGGCTGCAAGACCGGTTGAATGAGATTCTTGAGGTTCGCGCTGGCGTAGATGTCCGGTCTTTGGAACCCTTTCCAACTGCATGGTTTCTTTTTGCAGGAAAACACGTACCGATTTGAAGATCAGCAATAACTGCCGGAATCATGAAGGCACAGTGTTCACAATCTGGAAGATTGACGCCTGAAATGGTTGTCACCTACCAGCTCTGAGGAACCGCCTGATCAGCATCAACGACGCACAGCGTACGTAGGGAGAAGTTGGAAGACAACCTCTCGACTATAGCCTTCGGGGGCCTGCCTGTCAGGTTGCTGTGTACACGCAGTTGGAGAAGTACAGCAACCGTCGTTTCCACCACGCCCACTCATGGAAGTGCGTACATAGAAAGGCCCTTGACAACGGAAGCATCCCCACCAAATGGTGGGCATCAACGACCTCCCTGCGAGCAGAGGTAGCCGCACATCGATATATCCGCCGCGAAGCTGTGCCAGACGCATCCAAGATAGGGCAAATGAAGAGTGGATATGTATATAGTCATTGACAGTTAAATACGCCAAGCTGGAAGCCCAGGCCGGTATTCACACATTGAAAGGGGTTTGTACATGAAAATCGTCTTTTGGTGTGTTAAAAGGAGTCTGTGATGCAACGCGAGCTCCTCCTTTACGGAGGCTCATTCACCGGAATCCACCACGAGACGAGCCCCCGCATGTGTAGCGAGATTTGACGATGCCAGTTGTCATGCCTTTCTCTGGTGAGCCAGGCGGGATGCGGTCTTTCATCCTGGCAATGACGGTACATCAGTAAATCTGGAACGGGAACCCAATAAAGAGCACGAGTAAACATACCAGCACATCTTTCCATCAAACACAAATGTCGTGCAGATCTTCTTGCTCGCACACAACGCCTGGCAAGCCTGCGTCGTATTCGCAGGCAGTTGCGCAACATCGGCGCCTCGTCTATCATAATTGGTCTGCAGCTCCGACCCCGCATGCCAGTCCCAGTAGATATCCCCAAACGCCACCGACCCTTTTCCGTGCTGTGATATCATCCGCCGTTCAAGATTGTACAGGTCCTGTATCTGCTTGACGAGGAGGTGGTGGAAGGTCATTGGCCTGTCGCACGGGTTGTGCGGGAACCAAAAGTCTTTGTTGGGCGGGGAGCCATGGAAGCCCGAGGGGGAGTGGAGGAGGATGCCCTGGTCGCGAAGACAGAGGGCGGTGCGGACGTCCCCTGCCCAACAGGTCTTGTACCTCTCAATGCAGACATCAACACCCTCGACCAGCTCGCGCAGTGCGCCGCGGGACAGCACGATCCCACTTCCCCCATGGGCAAAGTACGGCCCTTGCCCCCACTGCCAGATATTATCGCAGCCAACGAATTGTGTCTTTGCGCCGAAATAGTGTTTGTGTTCTGGGTCGTAGATGGAGAGCCTGTCGGCGAGGTTGTCGAAGAAGACGTAGGTGTCATCGTCGAGCATGACGTACCAGTCCGCGTCCGGGAAGCGGTTCCAAAGCTCGCGGAATCCGGGGAGGTTCTTGTGGCTGTCGGATTTCCAGCCTTGGGAGGATTCGTCGACTTGCACGGAGTCGGAAGCTTTGTGGGATACTTTTCGCTCCTTATGAGCTTTGGGCTTTGCTGCTACTGGATGGAGAACATCGAATCAGTGGGGTCTCACGTTCTCAGCGTGCGGTCGCAGATAACAACCTACCTAGATTCCTCTTTTCCAGCTTCTTTGCCTCATCCTTCTCGTACAAATCCGTCACAACATCCACCATCTCCAAATCGCCCACCTCGACAACCCCATCTCCAATCAACATAAGGTTCCGTATCGGTTGCAAAAACGACATGAGCTGGATCAACGACCGCTCATGTACGACATCGACGCCCGATTTGAGCGAGACCGCAAACCCATCAAACTTCGGGTTGAACCGTTCCGGCGTTCGTCGGAATCCACTCAACATAGGCTCGGTGTTATTGTTGTCATCAGACGACCGCTGTTCACCCTCCTCCGCATCTCTCGCAGGCTCGCGCTCGACTGTCAGTTCGTCAACTGGGGACACGCGGGCCCCGGGTGCGGCCGTTGGGGCCGCAGCCATGAACGGCGGCTTCCCGTCCTTAGAATTCATGAATCTCTGCATAGGGCTGCCATATCTCGCAGAATGGTCATGCTCATCGGGCGGTAAGCTGAACGAGCTAAAACGGGAATGCCGCGCCGAGTAGAAGATGGTGAGGGCGAGAGCGGCGATGATGGCGATGCGGACTAGTGGGTGGTCGCGAAAAGCGGCGACGATCGCTTCCGTAAGGCTTTGTGGGCGACGCGCTCGCTTCGTTGGACCGTATTCGAGCTTTTGGTAAGTCATCTTGCTGATATGAACACTTGCCGCCGGCTGGGGACGTCTGTGATCTGGGTATATGGAGAGCTGAGTGGCTGCAGTAATCTTGGTTCGTGGCGGCAAGCTCGCCGTTTTATATACCCCTCACATGGGCGGAGCCGGACCTTCCTACGGAGGCTGGGGAGCTGCGTGTGCACATGCGGTCTGCAACATTCTTTGGCACTTCAAGCTCGTACTATTGCATACGGGGCTATCTCCGCGCCAGAAGAATAAATGACTGGAGACTCGAGATTGACCGCCCAGGGGTGTCCTGAATCCGTACTTCGACTATAACTTGACGCGTTCGCGCCTTCTATGTGCTTACGTTATGCCTTCCCGCAGAAGGTTTTTCGCGTCTGGCGTCAAGACTCAACTGGAAGTCTTGGAAGCTTGGAGTGTATTTGCACTGCATGCGAGCCATGAGGCGTGAAAGACTGACTGTATGCATCCAGCCCGTATGCCACCAGCAGACCCTGCCGCCGCCGGCCGGATCCTGCCTCGCGCGGTTCAAAATCGTTCCCCTGTGCGGCAAAGCTAACTCTGTTGCGAATGTTTTGCCCGCCAAAACCTCCACGCGGCACATGCATTATAGCGCATAATCCAGCTGCAAAGACCAGTGTACATATCTCATGCACGCTGAGTGTGACACGGACATGTTCATCGAAGAAATGCAACTAAGACCAGGAATCAAGTATTTTTGCGTATGCGCCTCACAACTTGCCGATACCTTGTATGCACGCTCCAAATACTGAGCGATGGCAAATGGCATGGTACGTGCATTGCAACATGAACCATCCGCCTTGCGTAAGGACCTTATATTCGGTGTCATTTGTGATATTGGTGAAGCGTCGGAAATTGTGTGGCGAGTGTCTAGCGATTGGGTTCTGCATGAACGGCAGGGTGAACGGCGAAGGCGGCGTCGACGCGGTTGCTCAGAGCAAAGGGAGCAGCACACTCAAGCGATAGAGTGACCCTTCGCGCTAACAAACTGTTGGACATTGTCCCTCTCGGTGATAGACAGAACCAATGGCACCTGGCAGAACGGGAAGAGGACTCGATTTGTGCAAAGGTTGGAAGCAGAGACCACGCATATTGGAGGTGCCTCAAAACGCATATTGTCATCCAACTCAACTCACAGAGACCAGTACAAAGTGCAGGTGAGAGATGGAAGAGGGTAACCAGCAGGCCTAGTAGTGTTTTGCTGTCCTTCCACGTCCATCAGCTATTCTGTCCGTTGGTTGAGTATGACCGGGTGCGGATTTGGAGGGGCTCGAAGGCGTCGCGTCCGACCGAGTCTGTTTTTCTTGTCCGAAAGCGAGAGTTCGTCCAGGCGTCCCTCGCACCCACCCGCCTGCTGCTTTTGATACCGCCTACCTCCACCTACTTCTGCAAATAGCGAACCCGAAAACTAAATAAGTGGTGCCATTTCCGCCCACCGCCCACAATGCTGAAGCAACGTACAGCCGCAACAGCAGCATCCGTCTCCGATAATGCCTACCGAGTCACCCGCCACTCCGAAAGCACAGCCAGCGGAGGCACCGCGACGCTCATCAACAGCTACCCGCAACTGGCCTCCACCTACCCTTTCTCTCTAAACTTCTACATCGACCCGCCGCCGTACGAGCTCACCCTGACTGAATTCGAAACGTTCGCGCTAGACAGGCTGCGGATGCTCAAAGCCGTCGAAACCGCCAACCTGCGCTACAAGACCCGCGAGGACGTGGCGCACTATATTCACCAATGGCTGCAGGAACAGAACCTGAACCTGACCCGCAATATCCGGGTGCCGATCGTGGGTCAGCAAGCGGTGTTCCAGGAACGCAAAAGGGACCATGTTGGGCATTTCATCCTCCGTTTAGCGTACTGCCGCACCATCGATCTGAGGAAATGGCTGGTCAAGCAGGAGACGGCGTTGTTTATGCATCGGTTTAAGCAAGAGGAGCAGGTCGAGCGGGATCGGTTCATCCGCCACGTGAAGCTGGATATGCAGGTGATTACCGCGGCGGAACGCACGGAACTGGCGGCGGATCTGCGGGCTACGCATGGGTTTAGCGCCGACCAGCTGCAACAGACGAATTTCTACCGTGTGCCATTCGAGCATGTGTTGAAACTGGTGGCCAAGCGACGGGTGTTTATCAAAGCCGGATGGGCCTACGTTCCTGAACGCGACCAGGCGATCTTGGTCGCTAATGCGTTCAAGAGCCATCTTAACGATGCGCTGGAAGCGACTGCGAAAGCGCTGCCGCGGATGGACGAGGACGACCGGCTCGTACCCGTCCTTACCTCTATCTCCAAACAGTACCTGTCGAAAGCCTACACCGCCGACGGCGCCAACGCCTCCAACCGCGTCAACGCCAGCGATGTCGACGGCCTCGTCGCGCACTTCCCGCCCTGCATGCGCAACCTCCACTCCGCCCTCCGCCGCGAAGCGCACCTCAAGCACGTCGGCCGTCTCCAACTCGGCCTATTCCTCAAAGGCATCGGCCTGCCCATGGAGGAAGCGCTCGTGTTCTGGCGCAACGCCTTCCACCGCATGACCGACGACCAGTTTCAAAAGGGATACGCGTACAATATCCGCTACAACTACGGTCTCGAAGGCAAACGCACAAACTACACCCCATACTCGTGCGTCAAGATCATCACCTCCAACCCGCCCGGCCCGCAGGACGCGCACGGGTGTCCGTTCCGACATCTGCCCAACTCCCTCGTCAAGGACATGCTGCGATCCTACGCGGTCTCGGAGGGCGGGGTGGCGGAGATTGCGCATCTGGCGAAAGAGGGGCATTATCAGGTTGCGTGCACGAAGCTGTTTGAGGCGACGAGGGGACAGGCGCATGAGATGGCGGGGAATGCGCTGGCGGCGATGCAGGCTGGAGGCGCGGCGGCGATGGTCCAGACGATCGAGCACCCGAATCAGTGGTTTGATTTGAGCAAGGGTGCTGCTGCTCCTGGTGCCAGTAGCAACACTGCGCAGGGAGGTGGGAGTGCCGCACAGCAACGTACTTCACGGCCGGCACCGATGAACGCGCCGCCAGCCGTTAAACCGGAAGTGAACAAAACGACGACGACCGCACCGGCGCCTACCACAACGACGACTAAACCGGTAGACCCTGATGAAGAGTCTGGTGACGATGAGTTTCCTGATGATATGGAGATTGATAGTCATTTTGAGGAGGTCGTTGCCAAGGCAGAGGAGAACAAACAGGAGGAAGCCATGCGGTGACCCCTGTCTCCATGGCCTAGGCGATGTGGAAGAAGGGAAGTAATTGTAGACACGGCGTTTTGTGGAGAGGTCTCGCCAACAGTCCATTTGTGTATATAGTTCCGCCAAAATATGGACTTCAGAGTACATTCGACGCTTCCTTTGCATCCGAGCGGCCGTTCTCTGCAATCCCATTCTCACAATCTCGAGAAAGTTTTTGTGTGGCCCCCCGCTTGCAGAAGAGGATGATGCCGAAATCGTATTCGACGATTTTACAGTTTTCAGCTATATACACAACGGTATATTCACAGACGATATATATATGAGAGTACAAAAGGCGGAAGATTCCGCATGCTCCCTCCCTTCCTCAACGACCAAAGTTCATCTCAGTACCCAAACTCGGTTCAAATCCAAGCCCGTTCTCAAGGAACATACGTCAAATTCTCAATCTGATTCCCGACCTTCAATTTCAGATACGCATCCGTCCCAAACCCCTCCATCGACATCAAATCCAGCTCCCCACCCCAATAATTCGCATACACCTTCGACATCGGCAGCCCGAGTCCCAACTTCAACCCGGGGGGTATAAGCGCGTCCTCGGTCTCGTGGACTTTCGCAGCGAGACGGGGCACGCGGTCGAGGTTGAGGAACTTGCGCTTGGAGGGGTGGGAATAGGAGTAGATGTAGGGGAGGGTAGTGGAGGGGATGCCGCCGCCTTGGTCGGAGACGCGGAAGGTGAGGACGTTGCTGGCGGAGCCTATTGTGGCGCGGATGGGGGGGAGGGTGGGTGCGCTGGAGGAGGGAGGGGTGTTTCGCTTGGCGGCGGAGGATGCGGAGGGTAAGACGGTGGGGTTCGGGCTGTCTGAGGCCGTGTCGTGGTTGGTCGTGTCCATGGACTTGATGTCCCGTTCGGTTGGCGATAACATGTTTCGCATCACTGCGTTGGTATCCCAGGCCTCCCCTCGTCGGGGCCTCCGCTCTGAGTATGCTGCCGTCGTGCTGGATGCTTCTGTTTCTTCGTTCGAATGAGACTTTTGTGGGGCCGGGGGGTTGTTTAATACATGTGGTGCGTGCTTCTCGATCGTCGCCCACATACTGTTCTTCAACAGCTCAAAGACGATGTACTCGATCTGGTCCGGGATATACGTGAACGTCGCGTCGAGGAACCCGTCGACGACTACTTCCGGTGGTTGTATTCCCAATCCATCCTCAAAGATTTTGCCGGCCAACGCAGCGCATTTCCTTACAACATCCTCTGCACGACATTTTGTGTTGACGATGCCAATGAAGGACTCTTCTTGGTGCTCGTGGCCATCAAAGACAGCGGACAACTTGATGTGCTGTTCCGCCAACACTCTTCTCCCAATTCGACTCCGCAGCATCTCGTTCATAAACCGATCGGCTTCCCGCGGTTGCAAATGCTCTGACGATTCGGCGATGCCCATAGCTAAACGTGGGATAGCGACGAGATGCCTATCCAGCATAATCTCCACCGTCTCGCAAAACTCCCTATTCTGCTCCAAAGTCTCTATCGGCTTGATCGCGCGAAACATCTCAAACGCTGCCCAATACAGATGATATATAAACTCGATATGTGGATTCGTGCCGACGACGAACGGAAGATGTTGGAAATCAGCGATGCGGTGTGCTAAGCGGACGGGCAGTTCCGCGCGCACGTAGTTCGCGCTTTTTAGGAGCTTTTCTTCAGAGAGTGTTCGTCCAAAGACTGTCAATTGCCGTAGGGTGACGCGACGGGTTTCGCGTGCTGCGTACTGTTCAAGGATGCGGTTGTGGTAGAAATTTGGACCGGAAGACAATGAGCGTTTCGTCATGCGCGGATGTGGTGCGCATGAGATGTCCTGTGCTTTTCGTGAGCTACACCGTTGTCTTGATGCCGTGCATAGGACATCCGATGTGCAACTTCGACGGGCAAGATCCCATCCTCTCGGGTGAAACATGCTGCCGGAATTCTATGGAGACTTTCTCACGAGCGTATCGTATCTTAGTCCGCTTCCTCGCGCTTCGAAGTTAAGAGTAATTTGTTCTTGAGGTAGAACAGTCCTGTCTTAAGCATTCGAGAAGTCAGTACAAGTGATCTTGGGAGTTTGATAATTTCCCACGGGCAGCGTACCACTGAAGCTTCCTTAAATGCGCGATGGGTGCGATCCTTGGACAATGCGAAGTGCCTCCGGAGCTCCTGCAAGCCTCCAAGTATCTGACTAAGCCGTCCCAGAGTGTAACCAGATCGCCAATCCTTTGGCTGGCAACTCCAATGCTCGTATGCTCTGCAACGTTCTTATGCGTTCCGTGCGTGCGTAGGATGGAAATGCACCCATGTGAAAGAGCGCGGCCTTCTCTGACTGCGCTGACTCATGCTTAATTGCTGACGTCATCATAGACAGGCACAAGCGCATCGCGGATTTCAAGGCATACTACCCGCGTTCCCACTGGGCGATCGAGACGATGCTCAGCCAGCCCGAGTTCAGCAACTTGCACTGGACGTCGCTGCAGCCGAACGGGTTTCTGAATTTTTTCCTGTGGCCCGCTGTGAAATTCATCAAGATTTATCGCAGGACGGGGACGCAGAAGGGATTGTCGCTGGGGTTTATACTGCGACACGGAGAAACACAACCGGGCGCGTATGTCGTCAACGGGCCAGAGGAGACGACGGGGCGGGACATTGTGAAACCGATTGAGCAGCGTCTTGGTGGGGAGAAGGTTGAAACTGTGAAGTTTAAGGACCTCTCTGGGATCGATCGGATGGCCGAGCATAGCTCCGAGTCAAAGAATGTCATTTTATCTATCAATTATGCGCCGGAGCCCACGTACGAGGGAAGATGCAACGCCGCGACGACCAGCAAGGCGAAGCGCACGGCTGCTGAGGTTCTTGATGCGTTGTTGGAGTAGATTTCGTGTATATACTGTACTCTGTGGAATCAGTGTATTTCCCTATGCAATGTTACTCTAAATCAATGAAATCATATCTCCATGTCACAAGTTCCAGGACGTAACTGCACTCGTTCTTCTCTGTTCTATTACGAAAGCTATCCATTGAAGAACGCAGTTGTATCTAGCAAACTTCCTGATGTCTTTTGCCCGACCGCTACCGTCCATCGTAAGCCTACGTTCGATGGATCCTCAGCGTTGGCGACGGCTTGCCACCGGGTCTGGCGGCGGACGAACTCTCCTCTTCCCAAAACTGACCTAGCTACGTACTCTCTACAATACGAAACACATCCACCATGCCACCGACAAGAAGGTAGCTAACCCTACAACCTCTTAACAGGAACCACCGGAATCCTCTTCGGCGGATACGGCTGAGTTTTCCCATGAAGTATATACGGCCCCGTAGTAGGCCCCTTCATCGGTTTATTGAATATGGCGTCCATCACGCTGTCGTCGGTTGCAGGTGCGGGTTTCTCCTCTGGCTTTTCGGTGGGCTTCTTGTCGGTTGGCGGTGTGGAGGACATTATTGCGGTTGGGTATGCGGCGCAGGTTGCGGACGAGGAGGTTGAGGTGTGGGCGGCGTGGAAGAGGGTAGGGAGGGTGGTTCCGAGGGCTTGCGTTGTGAATGTCGAGAGAGATTGCATGTAGAGGTGTTGAATGTTGGGGGCAAGATGGGGTTTGTAAGGCGAACGTCGCGTGGTTGTCTCTGCCACGTTGATCCCCGCTCTGATCCCCACGGGCCAGCCACGGTCCAAGATCTCCAACGGAAGTCTCGAACAGTTATTACATACTTCAATGCCGACTTAAAACGCTCATCAACAGGTCCAACTTCCCTTCGCAAAAGACACAACCGTCAGAGACGAGTTCGAAAGCCACTGGTATGCAATGCAGTGTCACCATGGTACTATTGGGTGAGCAGTCCAGTGTTGGGCTGTTGGTGGCCTTACCTCGAGATGTAGCCGCTGAGCAAAGGCACAAAATGGGTGGAAGAAGTGCGAGGTTCCGTCGGTCTAAGTTTTCAAGAGCAGGGGTCTCAGGGGTTGGAGAGGTCGATTCTCCGCACGGTTTCTTGGCCAACGACGACGTGAAGCAACATCCCCTCTCCGCAGCAAAGTACCTCACAGAACTCCGCCAGAAACAATGTGGGCCGGCCTCCTAAACGAAGCCTTCGAAGAGGTCGGGAACCCGACCCTCTACGCCTTCGGGGTGCTCACCACCCTCTGCTACGTCTTGGGTCTGCTGACCGGCAATTGCTCCTGGGTGGACAGAGGATGGTCCATCTTCCCTGTTGTCTACACCTACTTTTTGGCCGGGGCGGATATCCGGAGTCAAGTAGTCTCGACTGCAATTCTGATCTGGGGGTTGAGGCTGTCGTACAATTTTTGGAGAAAGTGAGTGCGAGGGCAGTTCTGGGTTGCTTTACCAACCGCGGCGTTGAGTAGCTGACGTGCCTCGTCGATTGCGATTCAAAGAGGTGGTTATAACCCAAAGGACGAAGACTACCGATGGGAATACCTGCGCCAAATCATCCCTGCAGGCTTCCTCTGGCAGGCCTTCCATCTCGTTTTCATTTCCTTCTACCAAAACCTCCTCTTGCTCTGCATCGCGGTACCGATGACACAAATAAAGCGCAGTGGGACTGTGGCGCCAGAATGGACGTCACTGGACACGATCGTGTTGGGCGCCTTCGCGGCATGCTTGATAGGGGAAATCACGGCGGATAACCAGCAGCTTGCGTTCCAGACCGCAAAGTATGCTAGATTAGATGCCCGGAAGAAGGCTGGAAAGGGCTCGGTTGAAAACGACCCGAAGTTTGCGCGCGGGTTCATTACATCTGGGCTGTTCAAGTACTCTCGCCACCCCAACTTCTTTTGCGAGATCTCTCTGTGGTGGTGTGTCTACGCGTTCTCCGTGTCAGCGAACCTGGCGGGTCTTGCGGCGCAGAAGGGATCGAACCTCACCTTGGAGACGCTGGTCGGCTTGGTTGCTGAGGATCCGTATCGGCTTGTGAATTGGACGATTGTGGGGGCAGTGCAGTTGACACTGCTCTTCCAGGGCAGCACTACTTTCACGGAGTACATTACGGCGCGGAAGTACCCTCTGTACAAGGTGAGTAATGAGATGTGGCGTGTAATGGCTGTTGCATGCTTGGTCCTGACACCATTTACATTCGTGTAGTTGTATCAGCGCTCTACCTCGAGACTGATACCCCTGTGGCCCGGGAACTTGGCTGCTCTGGAGACGGCTGATGCGGGCAAGGCGAAAGCTTTATAGCACCTTCAATATCGAGACACGCTCAATCGTGGCGTATGGGCATGACGGGCTGGTCCACCGCATAAACTCTAAGGATCACTCGTGCCCTCTAGAATAGACTTCTGCTAGGCGCCGTGCTGCCTATTCTCCATCTGCCGATATAGCCCTCGTAGTCCCACCCCCTCGTGATGGGAACCACTACTGTCCACATTCCTTCCGTAAATTATGACGTGACGGAGATCTAGCTATATGAATGCTGAACTGATGCTGGCGGACGTACAGTACATCAGTCCGTACAGCTTCCTTTCGTCAAGCGACAGTCGGCAGTCCGAATCGCACGCGTCAATAGGTGTGTCACGCGTTTTCGCCTCAGCTCTCACCTTTGTTCCAACGGCAACCTTCGAACCCCTACATTCTCTGGGAAACTCCTTAGTCTAAGGTCAAATTACAGACCCACCGTGGGAAAGTTTGAATGAGCCGTGCTCGTTGGGTCTCCAGTCCAGCCTCCCCTTATTGCCCGATCTTACCCCCCAGAAACAACCCTCGGCTTTTGCACAAGGTCTCTGTGCATCGGCAAATCGCCCCCAAGTCTTTTTTTGCGATAGGGCGGTTTGCCTGATAGTAAAGTTAGCAGAGTTTTAACCCAACAAATCCCGGTTGAGATGGGTCTCATCCATGAGAAAGCAAAGGAAGGGGACGTGGAGGCAATAGAGCAAATCGTGCAGGATCCTGAGCAAGAGACGGAGGGCGCGGCCGAAAGAGACCAGCAGGAGAATACGGTTCTGCATGTGGCTTCCAAAGCAGGTAGGAGAATCAACTCAAGTTTGTTGAGCAGGAAACCATGGCATCAATCCTCATCGACCTCTGCGATCTAGGAAAGCCAGCGGTCGTGGATTGGTGCCTGCGGCAGTCAAATGTAGATCTGAACGCTCTGAACGTCGCCGGAGACACGCCGCTGATATTGGCTTCTGCACTTGGGGCGCTGGATATCGTCAAGAAGGTCGGTGTGCCATTTCCAAATCTGTACACATGGTCCACTGGATGCTGACCTCGCAATTGCACAGTAGCTCGTTGCGAAAGGCGCCGAAGGTGAGTGGGGGCACCAGACACGTACATGCGGGCGGTCCAAACAACGTTTGCTAACCCTCGCCTACCATTACTGAAGTGAACCAGGCCAACGATCATGGCAACACCGCACTACATTACGCCTGTTTCTGGCGGCATCAAGATGTAGCTGTTTATCTGACAAAGGAGGCAGGGGCATGGGTTGCTATCAAGAATAAATATCAGAAGACGCCGTTGGGGCGGACGAGTCTGGAGATTAGGGAGGAGTTGGAAGGCTCTGCGGAGGGTGCGCAGACCATACAGGCGCCTGGTACGTGGGATTGTTTTCGGTAGGGGTTGCTTGAGATGTGCATCATCCAACATGCTGGATGCAGCACGGACATTTGCGCAGGCTAAAGAGGAGGCGAAGACAAGGTTTCTGGCGAAAGGTAAGATTATGCTCCCTATAATCGCGTCCCTCAAAGAACGCACTTTCTCACCGCATGAACACACTCAAAGGCGGCGTGGACTGGGAAATCGCCGCAACAACCGTCCAAACGGTCCCCGAACCCCTCTATGTCTCACACCACATCATCACCCGCCGCGGCAAATGGAACAACTACAACGTCATCATCCGCACCCCCCTCAACCAAAAACGCATCACCGCCGAAGACGTGCGGCAGCTCCGCACCGAAATTGGCAACATTCGCAAATTGTTCCACCCGAACCTGCTGCCCATTCTCGCGGCGTGCATCACCCCGCCGAATGTGGGCGTGTTGACCGAGTACATGCCCCGCGGCGATCTGTGGACGTATTTGCATGAGCCGAGTATTGAGATTTCATTGGATGTTGCGATGGCGTTTGCGTCGGGGGTTTGTGCAGGTATGTGGCCGGTGAGAGTATCGCCTCCGGTACTATGATACATGTTCCTCACCAAACCCCTTCGCCTACGCAGGTCTGCTCTTCCTCCACGAACAAGACCCACCCGTCGCACACTCCAATCTCAAATCCCAAAACATCCTGGTAAGCCCCGCCCTCCCCGTCCCCATTCCCACCCCACGCAGCCCATCTCACCTCCCACTCACTAGCTCGGCCCCGACCTAACCCCCAAACTCACCGACTACGGCATCACCAACCCCTTTCTCTCGCCCCTCCGTTCAACCACGAGCCGGTACCTAGCCCGCACGGAATGGCTCGGCCCGGAACTGCTCCGCGGCCCGTCGTTCGTGAAGGATTGGAAGGCGTTGGATGTGTATGCATATGGGATCCTGTTACATGAGATTGTGACGAGGGCGCCACCCTATGAGAATATGAATGCGATGATTATTGGGATGAAGGTATGGGTTTGAGTTGGGCTGCTGGTGCATTGGGAGTTGGGTGTGGCTGACGATGGTCTTGCTTGGTGCAGGTCTTGTTGGAAAATATGAGACCCGAGATACCCGAGTACACTCCCGAGCATCTAGTACGTTCTGGATTACACACATCATAACCTTCGACCTTGTCACATCCCTCACTTACATCTCCTCATTCCTCACGCAGTCATGGCTGATGTCAATGTGCTGGGCCGCCGAAGCGCGGCACAGGCCCTCTATGTCTACCATCTCCCAGACGCTCGCTAACCCTGACTACCTCAACCAGATCAATGGGACGGAAGAGTATGAAGAGAGCGTGCTTGAGACGGAGTTTTCACCAACGTTGATTGAGCATGAAGGGGCGGGTGGGGATTAAGTGACTTTGAGGCATTTGCAATCAGATTGACCTTTTTGGGGGGTCTGCCACCGTGATTCGTTGCAAGAGAAGTATCGAAAAATCCCATATATTTCTCCCTGACCCCGCACAGCGGGGTATCGCAGCAACCCAACTATATACACTCTGGGCGTGACGCCCTACATCTGCTGTAAACGAAAGGTAGCGTGGGCCTATATCTCTGGGTGTCTACACTAGCACACTGGGAAGTAGGGCCCTCTACATAGAAGAGTGGGAAAAAAACTACGCCGATGAAAGGGGGACGTGTCCGCATGGATCTAAGATCTAATACCGCCTTTGCTGCCAGTCCTCATAGCTCTGCGTTCCATACTTGTTCTGCCCGGCATACGCCATTTGCCCACCATGCGCCATCTGCCCAGCATGCGCCATCTCGCGCTCCATCGGCGCCTCGTATCCTCGAGCCTCGGGATCCTCTACCCAGCTCTCAGAGAGGACGGTAGACGAGGACAGGCCGTGCTGGTGGGATCCCATGTTGTAAGCCTCGCTGTTGTGCCGGTTGTTGGCGATGTGGGGTGAGTTGGTGTTGTTGGCGTTGCGGGTGCCGGATTTGACAACGGATTCTTGCATGCGAGTGATGAAGGCATGGTTGTTTTTGAGGAGGTTGGAAACGGTTTCGAACATGTTTTCGAGGAAGAGAATGAGTGTCATGTGCAGGCAGGCGGACGGGTTGCCAAAGTCGGAGGCTGGAGGGAAGAAGGGAATGATTAGGATGGAAGGTTGGATCGCAAATGCTGCATCATGCCCTCAGCAGGAAGATGGTACTCACTTCGCAATGGGAACACGACAGCCAACTCGCTCAAACACACGACGAGAACGAATCCCATCATAAAGTCGTTGACAACCCTGAGGGTCCGTATCATAGCCGCAACACGGGAGCTGCCGCCATTGTTTCCCGAGACGTTCGTCGCGCCCCAGTGCTTGGGCAAGTTCCACGAGAAGCAAAACAGACCGGCGATGATGTACACGATCAAAGGGATATAGAAAAACCCGACGAAGCGAACACTGAAGCGGGTAGGCACTGTTGGGGAGTCGTTGATTTCCTTGAGGGCAAGGTAGACGAGACCGCCGCCGTAGATCGCGAGGGCACCACAGGTGATTCCGACAAAGAGTTTGCGTCGGCTCTCTTTCATGAGGATCGAGGACCGGATGATCGCTGCCATTGTCACGAATGTCAGAATGGTCAAAAGACCGAGAACACCAAGCTTATCGGTGAAAATGGATGCAGGCGGCTTGACGGTCGCTATCATGATCGCAGTCATGAAACACACATTTCCCGCGACAGCCAGCATCAAAAACGCCGCTCTCAGGCTCATTCGCTTCCACAGACGTATTATGGCGACGATGAACGAAATGGCTAGAAACGGCAGACAAGCTCCCAGGACGAGGGAAGGTCCACCAAATTTCGGCCCGACGGTGTAAGCGACGTTAACGCCAAAGTCGGTGAACTCCTTTTGGCAGAAGGCCATTGCTGCTAACGGGTCTGTTGTCTTTGTTGAGGCGAGGTAGCCCATGGCGCACGCATTTTGGAGGTTTACGGACGGGGTGGCCATCTTGTGGTGGTATGTACTAGATCAGATTTCGTTTTGCCGTGCCCCTATGAGATGAGGGAGATTTTCAGGTTGCTTGGGGCGTGGGTGGTATTGAGTCGTCGTCCAGCGAGCGAAAGAATGCCTTGGAGAGAGGAGAGGTCACTTTATTTCGAGAGCCTGCGAGAACGTAGAAAACGAGGCCGGACGAAAGTTGGGGGGTGCCGTTGAGCGATGGGGGTTATGTTTTTGTCAGTCCGCTCAAGCCTCAGAGCGTTCTCTTTGCTCTCTTTCCCAAGAATATTTTAGCAGTCGGAGTGGGAGAAACAAGTGTGGCGCGTCGCGCTGCTGACTGGTACCCGGTGGGAGGCGCCCGGTGTCACTCTGGCGATCAACAATCCGCATAAACAAACAGACAGACATGTGGGGCAGGTGCAAGAAACGCCCCCACGCGGCCATTGTTGTCTAATGTCAACATCAATCCCATGATGACTACCTCCGCCCTAAACTCCATGGAAGACTGGAACACGGCTGAAACGCGTCGGGAATGCGGGCATTCAAGGGATTCGGATCGACCGGGACTGAATGGCGTCGAACGTCACACCACATTCTGGTTGTACCCTGTAGGTGTTCGGCAGCTGCGCTGTCAAACTTTCGAGGTCTCTGACCACTCGGTGATTGGTGCTTGGCAAGCTTTTTGTTCGTGTAAACGGTGGTGAACGCGGAAACTTGCGAGCGTGAAACCAATCACCCATAACTTCACAATTCGATGCGACCAACGGTTTACCGCGACCGTCGCCTTCGCAATACGCAAGACCTTCCACGCGTCTCGCCGAGTCTCGCCACATTCTGCCGCGGCAAATGCAACTGGCAGATACGGCCACTCTGTGTTTGACGTGGTGCTCCTTGTCGGAGATAGACCATCATGCAAGCATATTATATGATCTACCATCAGGCCCAATGGCATCCAAGGTTGTCCATGGGTGGCAGTCCGTGAATCTCCCTTCCATATACATATATCCACCAGCCATGCTCCGTTGTCCATGTGGCTAGTCCATCTCCATCTTCATAGGTTATGCAGAGATCCTGTGATGCGCGGGAAAAAACATTCACGAGAGCTGCAGTGTATTCGCAAAGTACTAGAAAAGTAGTAGAGGGATAGAATGCGAGGCACCATGTCAAATTATAAGGTAACAAGAAAATGGACGAGATGCCTCCTATTTTGAAGAGGTGCCCGAAGGTGTGAAATAGCGTAGTATGAGAAGGTTGGAAAAAGAAGAACTTGGTTGATCGGGGTTACGGTGGCCGGAATGGACTGCCTGCGTGTGCTTTGCGTTTGATTGTGCCGGTTGCTTGTGTGCTATTGCGACTATCACTTGCTTGCATCCAAAAGGTAGTTCGTCGCTTGAGCAACATCAAACGCGTTCCTGTACAGGGAGAGAACGAAAAAACCTGTCAACAACGCGGTCAACAAAATCCTACGATCGAGTTGACTCCACTTACAACTCCAACGCATTGATAGCCTGCTCCTTTGTAAACCCAAGCGCCGTGATCTGCTTGACCTCATCCGCGTCGTCTGTCGTAGCAGCACGTTGCGGTAATGGCGGGGCGGGCTTCTTCCCTGGGGACGCAGCTTTCGATTTCGCCGTGTCAATGTTGGTGGGAGACGTCGATGGAGCTGTTGACGATGATGCTCCTACGGGCGGAAAGGCAGCTTGGAAGCTTCCAAACACATCGTCAAACCCATTGGCGGTGGCGGTTCCGTTCTGCTCAGGCTTAGCCGTGTTGGGTCCACCTCCAAACACCGCGTCCATGTCCGCGACCGACATTTGCGCAGCGGCAGTGGAGGTCCGTGGCGGCGACGCTTTGAATCCGAACGGGTCCGACGCCGCAAACGGGTCGTTGCTGGCGGGCGGGAAGGCCGTGTCGAACGCAGCCTCGAATTTGGGAGATTGAGTCAGCTTCCCAGTCTTGCCCATACTCTTCATAGACGCGTTGTCGAAAGTGGCAGTGAACTCGAACGCGTCGTCGTCAAAGTCCTTTGCGGCGAACCCTTGCGTGTCAAAATCCGGGGTCGCGGCGCGCTTCACTCTCTCCGCTTCCGTAGCGTTTGACTCGATGAATGCGTTTTCCATCTCGGCGTCAATGTCGATGGCTGACATGGCGCTGAAGGCATCGTCGCTTTTCACTGTGGCAGGTTTGGGCAGAGCAGGAGTGGAACCCGAGTTATTGTCGCTCTGCAAGCTCCCAAAGTTCGACTCGAAATCGGCGTCGAATGCCGAGGGACCTAGAGGCTGAGATGGTGCCGGCGACGGTCCGGCCGGGGCATTTTGCAGAGCGACGGCAGGGAAGATGTCGTCGCTGCTCAGATCAAACGCGGGAGTTCCAAACCCAGCCATCTGATCAGCAGAGCCGATGCCAAAGCCAACATCTGCAGGGGATTGAGCAGGCCGCGCTGCACTCGCACTCGCATCCTGCGCGGGGGAAGCAGAAGCGGATGTTGTGGGAACAAGCGCTGGCGGTGCTCCTCCAAACGCTCCAGCAAAGTCGACTTCAGCAGTCCCAAACAAATCGGCCGTACTCTTCGCAGGTGCAGAGAGAGGAGTGGGCGCAAGTACCTGCGCCGAGTCCTTCTCCTCAGACTCGAACAACGGCACACTCCTAACACTGGCGGGCTTCATGGAGTGATCTCCGCTATTGACGTCCTTTCGAGGCTCAAAGCCTAACGAGAACCCTTTGAGACTGGCAGGTTTCTTCGTCGGGGAGGAACCCGGACTTGGTGGGACCTGTGGACCAGGAGATTGCCCGCGCGGTGTGGGTGGAGCTGGAGGTGGTGGCCGTGTTGGGGACCCGGTGTTGATACGAGACGGGGAAGCCTTGTCGGGACTGGGCGTGCTGGGTCGCGGGATGGTAGTTCCCGCGGCGGGGGAAGGCGCAATTGGTGCAGGGGTTGTGGGGCGAGGAATAGGTGCTGGCGCGGCAGTTTTGGGCTTGTTGGACTCAAACAAAGCATCAAACTCTTGCTTGGCCTTGGTGGATGCAACAGAGCTCATGGAGTTTGTCCGCGCGACGCCAGCTCCCAGCGCTGAGGTGGAATCAACTCGAGCTAAGGTTGGCGTTCCACCTGCAGCTCCATCCCCACCTATCAAGCCGAGACCGGCGAGATCCGCATTACTTCCCGCACGGGAATCGCGGTGCGGCTTCTTCGATGCCGGTGGAGGTGGCGGAGGTTTCTTTGCGGAGGGCGTCTGAGGGGTTGCCGAGGATGGCGCAGTAGACGCAACACCGGTTGGCATGGTAAGGTTTGGGAAAGCGGGAGGCTTCTCCGACGCGATTGACTTGGTGGTCCCAAGGAGATCTTGAGACGAGTTGAGTTCGGCGAACGCAGAATAAAGGTCCACGCTTTCGGCCGGTTTCGGCGCGGGAGCAGCGGCTGCCTTCGCTTGCTCTTGTGCCCTCTCAGCTGCCAGCGCTTTCAGCTTTTGTTTCTCTTTTTCTGCGATTCCAGCCTGGACCGCAATCTGCTGGGCGATATGCGCAACCCGTTCCTTCTCCTGCGCTAGTTTCGCCTGCTCCGCCTGGACGTCCCCATGGATCTGCTGGTATTCCGCCTGCGCGCTCATCAACACTTTCTCATTGACTTCACGGTGCTGCTGATGTTGCCTCAACTCTGCCCGCAACCTGTCCAAATCAGCCCTCAAAGGCACCGTTGCTTCGTTGGCTTGCTGCACACGTCGAGCGATATCGTCATTCTGCTGCCTAGTGCGCTCCACCTCCTGTTGCAGACTGTGCTTTTCATTTTGCAACATCGCCACCGTGTCCTCAGCCTGCTTAACTTCAGCTATGCTGATGTTGAGGTTCTGCTGTTCCCTGATGAGGGTGTTCTCGGTCTCAACGGCGATCTGGCTCTCTGTCTCGTACACGGCGCGCAGTTGTGAGAGCTTCAAAGCGAGCTCGTTCCTTTTATCTGTGACTTCTTTGAATTCGGCGTCCAATGCCGTACGTCGCTGCCGTAGCTCCTCCACCGACGGCTGCATACTGGACAACTGCTGCTCCACCCCATGGAGATCATTTTTGCGATTCGAGAGTTCGTTTTCCCGATCTTGCAGTTCCGCAACTTCATGGGGCGACGGCATTTTCGAGAATGATCGCGCTGTCGAAACGAAAAGATCAGGACCCCGGCTCGATTTCGTCAACGAAATTCATCATACCTACCTCTTGCATCAAATAGAGATAGTGGTGCAGAAACGTTCGACGCCGTTTGAAAGTCCCCCAGAGGATCGTTGTCGCCCATCACAGACTTGGCGCCCGGAGTTTGCGGGAGCCCTGGTGTCCCGAACGACCCTCGTCCACGCAGAGATGGGGGAACTAGGTCGGCCGGTAGGGTATTCGGCAATGTAGTTCCAGTCATGCGACCTCTAATCAAATGCATGGCGACCGCAAATTCGTCCTTCGAAAGCTGGCCCGTCTTCCCAATATCTGCCAGATCCCAAATCTTCGCCAGTTCCAGTTGAGGCAATTTGGCTTTCGTGAAAAACTCATAACTCTCCTGACCTGAAAGCTAAAGTGTCAGATGGGTTGTGCGAATGGTTATCGGGTCACTCCCCGTCTTACCAGTCACGAAGCCACGCTTGGTCGTATCCAGGGTGTCAAAGTACTGATCGAACTGTGCCTTCTCATCTTCTTTGATCCCCCATTCGGCATTGGGAGTGGGAATGGTGGAGGTCGGCATCATCGTTCGACGCCGTTCTAACCGGGGAGAAGTCATAGCAGGCGATACGGTAGACATGCGGTTCAATGTACGATTCGCGGATGGTGGTGGTGGCAGATTTCCGAACGGTGACTCTTTGTTGCCGTCGGGCGCGACGTTCTGAGCCGCTGTCCACAACTGTTGCGGGATCATAGTTGGGACAGTCGCAATTGCGCCTTGGCGAATCTTGGATATCAAGTACATGGCGACGACAAACTGTGGAAGATCAAGCTTCCCAGATCCATTCGCGTCTACCAAGATCCAGATCTTGCTGAGAACATCAAGAGGGAGAGTGGACTTCAGGAATAAGTCTCTCGCAGCATCACCGAGGACGTATCCATCGGGAGACGGGTGGCAACTTTCGAAAGCAGCAATGAACCTCTCTCGTTCGTCGGGAGTTATCGCCCCGCCCCCTACGCCAGAGCCAGTGGAATGTGTCGAGATCCCTCCGCCAGTCACATGAGAAACGAGGCGAGAAGCAGCGCCAATGGGAGCGTTCCCGGTGTTGTGAGACCCCACACTCCCACCCGTCCTTTGCATTGTCAATGGATTCATTGGGGATGGGAAGGCCGAACCGCTTCCGACTTGCGGGGACGAGACGTTCGGAGTCCCAGCAGGTGCATTCCCCCGGCTGGGAACGGTGACTCCGTCAAAGACGGGAAGGCTCGTCCCGGTGTTCAGCGATGCAACATTTGGCGATTTCCCACCCTGCGCAAGGGCGATCATTTTCACGGCTTTGTAAAAATCAGTTTTCGTGAGGAATCCTTTCCCATCGGAATTGGCTTGCTGCCAAATCTGGAGATGTCGGAAATCGACAGAGGACAAGCAGATCGAACTGTCAGTAATCGAGCAATGTTTTCCTAGCCTTGCGATCCTGTCACTAGCGTACTCCCAACAGATGCTCCAAATGAAGTAGCTTACCTCTCCCAGGAGATGCTGAGGCAACCTTGACTTTGACAAGAATGTCACTGCCTCCTGAGGTTGAACTGATCCCTTGCCCACCGGATCCGCCAACTTGTAGTAATGTGCGTACGCGTGGAGCTCTTCGGCGGTCATCGGAAACCCAGCGGGTGATTCGCTGCCTGTTGAATGAGAGTTGTTGAAAGGATGAGAAGGATGTCCTTTCCAACCGTGGCCTGCCCCTGAGACGGGTGCCATCGTCCGACATTACTCACCAGCAGCTGACATTTTGGCCGGTGATGTTGAAACTGAGGGCGCAGAACCTGGCTGGGGTGTTGAGACAGCGAAAGGGTCTTCTCCTCCAAACGACCAAGAGTTCTTTGGGTCGGCCATTTTCGTCTCCCAGCGTCGTTGTCGAAGATGACGGGTTGTGCGCGTATTCAATTCTCAGCCGCAATCAGGATGTGCGGGGAGCTTTGCAGATGCCAACTGTCTCCCACGACGAGCGCCTAGTATCCTATCCGAAGTGCTGTATGTAGTATTATTATAGGGATTGCACTGCCAGTGGGAAAATGGGGTCAAGCGGACAGACGGCAAGCTTGCGTCTGAAAGGGTTGGAACTTGGAAGGCGTTGAAAGTCCCCAAATTACGCTTCACATAAAAGGGGGGAACGCCGCCCAGACGCCGCCCGTTGGAGCGCCCGCCAAGACAACTTGCTTCGCCAAGAACAGAGAACAGCAACAACGAGAAGGGAAAAGCTTGCGACTCCGCTGTACAGGACCAACCTCTACATGGCTATATACTGTACAAGGACTGCACGGGAAAAGATGGTGCGCGCCAATCAGGTCCTATAGCCGTGGTCCGTTACCCGCTCGAGCCTTTCGAGCCACAACAATGACTCCGCCAAGAAAACGGCGACGAAGCAAGCGACATTGGCTGCCTTGTATCTGTTCAGTTCGGATTTGATGCCTTGGATTTCGTCACAACGGTTGCACATTCTCAGCCGCGCTAGCAGCCAAATCCGCCAGCACCTCCGAACGTTTCCGAATTCCGGCTCTCCCTACCACAGGTCTCGCTTTCTTGACCTTCGCCTGCTCTTTCACCCTCTCTAGATCCGCCATACCCTTCATCTGCAAGATCAGATCCCGATATTGCGTCGCGTAGGGCGGCAAATGTGGGACTGGTTTGGGTTCATCAGCAGCAGCCAGGGCGGGATCGAGGAGGCTTTCCTCGGTTTGCAGATCGGATGAGGAGTTGGCTTTTGAGTTTTGCACGCGATGGCGGCGGGCTTGGGCGGCTTGAAAGTTTGAGGCGAAGACACGTTCGTTCTCTGGGATGGGTTTTCCGTTCAATGTTTCTACGGAAAGAATGAATTCATCATTTGGCGGTGCATGTGAGCATCAACGTGCAGACATGGAAAGCTACTCGAAGACGAGAAGCCGAAGTGAGTGCTCGTTACCTAGTGCGAGGCCAGCTACGATGATGCGCTGGCGGAGCTTTGCTGGCTGCTTGACGACAACGGGGTTGGACGAAAGGCTCAGCGTGTGCAGATGAGGGAGTGAGGCGACCATCCACTCCACTGACTTTGAATGACACACCAGGATGGTTGGTCAACTAGTTGTGGATTACTCGTCACAGCGTAGAGGAAGGTCGCTCAGATTCCTCACCTCCGCATCGTCAATACGATTATCCGACAAGTCCAGCTCCTCCAGTCCACGTAGCGTTACGATTGGCCCAATATCGTTGATCTTGTTACCTTCCAGACTCAAACGTTTCAAACTAGCCTGCAACGCCCAACAAAGAGCGATCAATACTGACCTTGGTAGTGTGTACCCCACCCCAAGAACACTCACCGCCAGTGGTACCGAAAACTCATCCTGACTGAACTCCAAGCTCTGCCCCGGCGATAATCGCTGCCGGTCGAGTTTGAGATGCTCTAAGGATGGTAGATTGTGCAGGCCGCGAATATATTGGATGCTGTTGCCGTGCAGATGCCTGGAATGTGGACCGGAGGTGCATTAGAGACCTAGACTGGAGAGGTTAAGATATCGGGGTACACACTCACAGGATACGCAACGCATGCAACCCGCCGTCCAACCCCTCAATCTCTTCTATCTGGTTGTTCTGCAGGTACAGTTGCGAGAGGTTCAGGCACCCGCTCAGGCCTGTGATGTGCGTGATCTTGTTATCGTACAGATATAGCACTGTGTTTCGATTTGACCAGAGGGGCGTCAGTCATCTCGCAATTATACTCGGATAGCCGACTGAGTTGACCCATACCAGATAAGTTTCGGCACAATCCCAGATTCTCCTACATGCCAAAACAACATCAGGCTCCTTTCCTATACCAACCCCCAACCTGCGAGACATTCCCAACAAAGCGTACCATAACCCCAATGCCCTTATTCACGAGCGAGACATGACTGACTCGTTTCAGGAAGGCGTCGCGGCTTTCATGCGTGGGTCGCTTGAGGGTTGAAGCTGATTCGAGTACGTCGGCTGTTATTTTCATGGTTTTTTTGTTGTATTTTTGAGGGGTTAGTCTGGTTTGGAATGACAGGTTCGCCTTTGGAATGACATTTTTTCGGGAGAGTGCTGTCATCACCAAACCGACGACGCGTACTCGACGCGTTTACGCGCCAGGCAGCGGAAGCCCAGCTGTTCTGAACCAACCCAAGAGAAGGGCAACTTTCCGCGCGCGGTAAAGACGTATGATAGAGATGCATTTCGAGGAACTGTAGGAAGAGGAAGAACTTATATACAGAGATATAGAAGTATGAAAGTGCAAGAAGGGATCCCCGGAAGCCCAAACATAACAAGAGCGCAAGACAAGACTTGTTCCTTGAATGGGAAGAAGCGTAAGGTAGTTGGCCAAAACCAAAGTTCCGCGCATTGCGATACACGCTAAACTTGGGTTCTGGCCACCTCCTCACGCAGCAATCCCGAGACATCATCTTTGGCGTTTGGTGCACCCGGTCAAGACCCATGATAACCGAGACCCTGTAGGTGGAGTATCACAATCATATCAAAGTTTGTTTGGGTGCATCAAAAACTCTATCCATGGATAAACCTATCACCCGGCTGAGATTTAATGTTCTCCAGCCACTCAACGGCATATTCGGTCAGGCTGCATACCGTCCCTGCTTGTCGTGCGATATGAAGGTGCTGCTCCTCAGTTACTGTAATCCCGACGACAGGGCCAACTTCGCCCTTTGCGTCGTCGGCCCGCTTGTGCTCCGTCGCCATTCCTCTGACCACATCTTCCTCTGACATGGTGAGTTCCGTAGCCTCCGAGTCTGCTCCCCTCCCCCTCCGAAGTAACGACACGCCGTCTAGCGTCTAGGTGAGCTCTCCATTGGTACCGTTCAAGCGTACCTCGCGAGGTTGCATGCAAATCCGATTACTTGCAAAGGGTGGCCATATGGTCAATTCCGCTTCGACCGCTTCTTTCACGCGCGAGCCAGATTGTGCCATAGGCTTCACGAGAAAGACCAAGGCCTTTTCTTTGAAGAAAAGGATCCACGGAACCTCAAGGCGCTGATGCGTCCTGGCCAGCAGACTCACGGCGGTATCCTGAGCACTCCGCGTTGATTTGCGGATCTTCTGATCGAGCTGGCCCGCTGTCGCTCCCCCAAGGCTCTCCCCCGAAAAGATTTAATGGTAGCGCCGTCATCCACCATTCCAATTGCCATGCAATACGAACTCAAGATCACCGGGATCACACCTACTCCGCCTGTAGCGTGGTCCCCAGAATAGGCTCCACTTTGCTCTTTCGGTGATCGGCCAACGTGGGAATTTCACTGTGACTGTCATGCTTCCCGAGGTATTCGTAGGCCCGCTGGCATCCAAATACAACGGCGTTCCGGCCGTGCCGCACTCAACAACGTAGTCCCGTCGTGCCAATCCCACGGCTTCGTACCCTTCTCGGTAGCAGACGACTCCATCTTAACGGACCGCTTTCTCGTCCTCCTCAAACATTTCACAACCGAACAGGCCATTCCAAGCGCCTCCAGTATGAGAGTTTTTTTGTTGCGCCCCGAGACTTCGATTGACGCCCTCTCGACGTATATTGAACTATGGACCGGGGTAACGAGTGCCCCGAAGTTGAACACAACGTCGTAGCTACGTATACTTGCCGAGAGGGACGTCGTCCGAAACCTCCCCACTTGCTTCTAACAACGGTTGTTACCAGTTTTGTACAGTACAGTAAGTGACAGCGCGTCTCGCCTCAATTTCAATCACTCCCTCTTGGCGTTGTGGAATCTGCCCTCGCCGCTCTTGCCCTGCTCTTGCCCCGCTCACGCTTAGCGCTGGCCTTTTCCCCATCTTGAACAAACTGTACAACAACTGCCTGTGTTGTGCCATAAGCAAACCCAACTCCTTATTCCCGCAGTCTGTGATCGACCTCTGCCGTGTTTGTTCCTTTTCTACTCTCACAACTGCTACGTACGGCGCTCCGCGAACTCCCATACGAAATATGTCCCGACGAGACTACCCACCCTCTTACTCGTCCCGCGACGAAGGCCAGAGCTACGGCAACAACGGTTACGGCAACGGCAGCCAAGGCGGTCGCTACGCTCCACAGGACAAAACCAACTACGGAGAGAAGCCGGGCAACTACCGGTCCAACGGCGGCGGCGGCGGCGGCGGGTATGAGGCACCGAACAAATGGGCAGCAGCAGCATCCCGCCAAGAGTCCCACCAGGGCACCGGTTACAAAAACTACGACGACAGCCCCTACCGCTCCTGGGAGACCGTCAACGACGAACCCGAAGACTACGACAACGAAGGCTGGCTGACCCGCAAAACCCAAAAAGTGCAGAACGACTCGCTCATGAGCACCCGCCGCACCGTCGCGCGGATAGCAGAGGCCGACACGCTCGCGCAGAGCAACATGGCGCGGTTGGAGTCGCAGGAGGAGCAGCTGATGAAAGTGAATACGAGGATGGAGAGTGCGGGGCAGTACGCAAAGGTTGCTGACGCAAAGACGGATCATTTGAAGTCGTTGAATCGGATGTTCTTCATGCCTACGTTTGGGAGCAAGAAGGCGAAGAAGAGGGAGGAGAAGTACGCTGCTGCTGCCAGCGCATATGCCTCGTCTCCCGCTGCCGAGGAGGAGAATGCCGCCCCCGAGCCATCGAGGGGCTACGGCCGTTACGCCGATGAAAGCTACGGTCGCTCTAACAACGGGCAACGCTCCTACTCCACCCCGGCCAACATCGAGCGCGACGCAACAGAAGAGGAGATCGACTCCAACATCGATCAGATCTCGGCTGGGCTGGGGCGGTTGAAGATGATGAGTCAGGCTATGAATGAGTCGTTGGGCAAACAGACGGGGTTGATCAACAAGATTTCCGATAGGACGGATTATACGAGGGATCATTTGCGGAATACTACCAGGAAGATTGAGAATATCAAGTAGGGTAGACAACACAATGTATATAGCGGCCCAGGGATTGGCGTAGGTAGAAGCTGCGGGCAGGTCTCTTTTTTTTATTCCTCCCTTTCAATCAAGGATTTTGTACATATAGGCCTGTTTTCCGGCTCATGCTGAGCTCATGCACCCGTGAGGGATGGTGGTTTAGATTAATTTGGCCTTCGCATTCCGAGCTAATGGCGCCAGGTCATCAGCGCAGAAGAGAAACGGGCTCTGCTACTGTTCAACCAAGAGGCGAATATGAGGAAAGAGACGGAGATCATTGCAAATTTCAAGGATATGGTGTCGGCCAAGATGAAGCCCGCGGAGGATGCTCTTGAGACTGCGTTGTGTTTCTGTGGATGTGATTGTAATAAAAATGTATATACGCCGATACCTTGCCTACGTACAAGTGATGCGCGGATAGAACACAGGATGAGGTCTCTGCTCTTGGTGGAACGCTTGGTTTCAATATCTTACGCGATGGCGAATGACCATCATGTCGCTGCGAGACAAATGGCCATGGCTAAGCCCTACTTCAGCAACGCATTTCCCGACGAATCCTTGTGCATATCAAAAAATCCATATCGGAGCTTAGCGCCGAAAATCGGTTACGCCTATACATGCATGTTCCACCATCTTGTTCTGTTCGAACATCCGCTTGAAATTGACAGCAAGGCAGAGGTCCCGACTCTCGCCGATCACAACAGAGGAACGGCCACCTGTTTTAACGCGACGGCCAATGTAACAAACGTGGTGTGGCCGGATCTGCCCCAATCTATTTCAGACCTTACTCGATGTTCAGCGGCATCCTGCATCGGTGGTTCGCAAAAAGAGCGCAACCGGGGGCTTGAAACCGGCGATGTGTATTTATAGGACGGTACGCCACAGCAGCGTTATCCAGCGCTCGTCGGTCTCTCATGCTCAGCAGCGCCCTCGAAATAAAGCGAAACGTTAACCCGTCACTCCCTGGCGCTTCGCGTGATGAAACGCGTTTTCAAACCAACGCGTCAGGGGAGATGAATTGCGCAGTCTGCGCATCAATAATCAAATAAACGAGGTGGCGATGGTCCCTCTTTCCCCCCCTCGTTTTGTCATTACATTTCGTCCAGTCAACAAGGAGAGAGAGAGAGAGAGAGAGAGAGCGATGGGGGATTGAGACAAGCACAGCAGGTGGGAGGGAGCGCGGAGGGAGGAAGGCTATGGGTAATAATCATTACGGTTGGGATCAAACTCAAAGCGGTCGCTGTGCCGTCCCGTGGGGAAAAAAAGAAAGAGGAAAGGGGACGGGCTCAGTCGGAGGCAGCAGCCCCAAGAAAGGCAAACAAGACGGGTATAAAGGCTGCAGGCGCTGCTTCCCGCTCTTTCCTCTTTTCTGTCTTCCGCTTCAGAATTCATCGCCGGCCGACTACTTCTACCAGCTCCTACTACTCTACTCTCTATCGTCTCTCTTCCAACCTTTGCTCTACTTTCTGACCCAACCACACCACTACACAACCGCAAGAATGAAGTACTCCGCTGTTGCTGCTCTCTTGGCTGCGTCGTCCTCGACTGTGCTCGCCGCCCAGTTCGATGTCACCGTTGCGTTCAACAAGACAAAGACGTACACCCCAAACAACTTGGTAGGTTTCCGGAAAGGAAGGAACTCAGTGCTACGTTTTGCTCCCGGCCTCCCAGGGACGTACGACTAACCAATTCAATTTTCTCTCGAATCGCACAGTCCGTAAACATCGGAGACACGATCAAGTTCACATGGGCCGGTGGTCCACACACAGTCACGCAGATGGGTGAGAACAACGACCCCTGCCTTCCCCTCACCGGCGGTATCGACTCCAAGAATCAGACCGCACAATCTACGCTCGGTCTCAAGTTCAACACCGCTGGCACGCGCATGTTCGGATGCACAGTCGGCAAGCACTGTGCAGGAGGCATGAAGTTGACGGTGAACGTCCTTGAGGCGGGTGCCCCTGCGCCAGTGGCTACCGGCTCCACCGGCTCCACCGACACTGCGGCTCTTCCCAGTGCAACTGCTCCCGCCGCCACGCCCGCATCTCCTGCCTACCCCGTCGCAACCGGCACTTCTACGACACCCACCGGCACAACGTCAGGAACCGTGCACACGATTATTGCCGGGCAAGGAGGTCTTACATTCACCCCTGCCGCGCTCACCATCAAGCAAGGCGACACCGTCACATGGTCCTTCCCCGGCAGCACGCACAACGTCAAGCAGACCGCCGACAAAGACAGCTGCACACCCATGGCCGGCGGTTTCCAGTCCACCAACCTGATGGGCGGCGCCACCTTCAACCACACATTCACTACCGAGACCGGCGTCATCTGGTACGTCTGCACGTTCCAGGGACACTGTGGACAGGGAATGAAGGCCGCTATCACCATCGACGGTACCACCGGAGCCACCACCAACGGATCAACGGCGACCCCCGCCGCCGGCTCCACGTCGTCTGCAGGGACAACTATCGTCTCCCTCGCAAGCTTAGCTGGTGCCGTCGCCGCCAGCGCATGGATGTTCTTGTAAAGACTTCCATCACTTTAAAAAGACCGCAAACGGTGTGTGAAAGAGACGAGGAGTATATATTGTACATCCCATACCCTCCCCTTCACACCGCCTGCGACTTTGTAAACTTCCTCTCCCCATATCATACATCCCTCCTCATCCTTTGTATATCACCCGCCTTCCCTCTCGTTTTTGTTTTCCGGCTTACCTTGCTTGATGTGAGGTGGTACGGCGTATACAGTCCTTCTCCTTTTGTATAGAAAACATGCATGTCCGACGCTTTAGATCGTTGCGGCCGTGCTTGTTGTGTATGTTTTTTGATTTTGTCACACAATATGAGCTATTACATGCTTCAGATCACTTTCTGTGTTCTCGACTCCGCCTCGTTTAAATTGCCGACTTCAGGTGAATGCGCTGGCTGGCAGGCCTGCTCGCTTTGGTTGTACCATTGCTCATCCGCATTTAAAGAAAGGACTTGTGACTCTCCGCTTGTCGTCGTCGTTCTCCCTTGCCCTCCCTATCTGTGTCTTATGCCACTAGTATGTAGGGTCGAAAATGACGTCCTCATCGTCGCCGACGCGCTGTCAAACTTCCCTTTTCAGAGTGACACACCAGCGGTCCCTGGGCGCGCAAAACGGGCACCCAAATCTCCAACCGTCTGGTCTTCTGCTTTTAGACCCCTTCTTTTCTGCAACGCAAACCGACAGCGAACCCCGATACCGTGCTGCATCTTACAATTCAAGACACGTAATACCAGTGCATCAACAAGAATGGGACTGGGACGCCTCTGCTCCTGTTTTGACCGGAAAGGCGACCGCATAAGCGATGACGAAGGCGGAGATGCTGAGACTCCGGTTACGAAAACAAAATGTAAGAGTCAGTGAAGACGTATGTCTTGCGTCCTGACGGCCAGAAACAGTGTGCTCAGCACCATATCTCATTCCGTATATCTTACAGCAAACGAAAAACAAAAGAAACCCAAGAAATCTCAAATTCACCCTGCCGACGCCACCACCACCACCTCCGCCGTCGACCGTACAAGCACGCTACACGGCCCACTCTCCCTCGAACCGCACTCCACGCCCAAACCCAGCAAAAAAAAAGAGAAAGCCCAGCAGAAGAAGGAAGAGCCGCATCCGTTTGGTGGTGGCGGGTCGTTGGATAGTGTCGCGGCCCCGGGAAAGGGAGAGCAGCCGCCGCCGGTGGATGTGTTGAAGGGGATGGTTGTTAGTGATGAGAAGGATATCAGGCCTAAACGGCGGGAGGAGAATGATGATGACTCTGACGATGCTGACTCGGATGATTCGGATGGAGATGATAAAGTGGCTAGCAAATCGCAGGGCAAATTGACGAAAACGCAGAAACGCAACCGGAAGCGGAGGGAGAAGAAGAAGGCGGCTGATGAGGCTAAAGCGACATTGTTGCAACAACAAAAAGTCGGGAACGAGAATGGGAAGGGGAACAAGGCGAAGAAAGGGAAGAAAGGCATCACCCGATCGTCAAAGTCGATCGACTCGGAGAACGAGCTGCATTCGAGAACCGGGTCCACTTCCTCCCTCTCAAGCACATCCTCCAATCCCCCCACTCCAAAACCAAAGTCATCCAAACCCAAACCCACCCCACCGCCCCCCAAACCCCTCCACATCGAAAAATCCCCCGGCCCACCCCTCCCCATGCTCGCCTTCGGCAGCGACACCCGCCCCACAACCAGCGAAAACCCTTCCACGCCGTCAGTAGGTGTCCGCGGCCTCCTCCAGCGCGCCAAACAGCGTCGTCAGCCTGTCTCTGAAGCTGGGGATGAAGCCGTCGTACCGCATGTTGGTAATCATATGATAGTCACGGATGCGGATGTGGGCCCGCCGAGGGATGGGAATGATGCGGTTTTTGTGCCGCCGGTGGGATATGGGATGATCGTGGATGGGGACGGGGAGGTGGAGGGGGTTGTGGGGCCGAATGAGCCGGTGAGGAGTGGGACGAAGTGGGGTGGGGGTGGTCGGCCGAAGGTTTTGGTGGAGAGGGTGGAACATCCGTTTGAGTCGTCGGATTGATGTGTGAAGTGTTGAGCACGATGACGAGGTGCATCTCGAACAGACAAATCCGGAGAAGCCATCCGATCTTCTGATTTCTATTACGAAAGCTGCCGCGCTCCGCTTTCGAGCAAATGTACATATACAGATTTTGGGATGGATGAACTGGGCTATCCTACAATATGACTCTACTTAAATTACGCAAAAAGGGTCGGGGTTGAATAATCAGGAGACCCCCTTCCGTTTGGACGATTTGCCGTCCTTCGATGTGGATTTCCGCTTTTTTGCTTTTCCATTCGTGGCCGATTGTTTGCCGCCGACCACCGAGATCTCAGCCCACACGTCGTCGTCTTCAGCTTCGCTCTCCTCGTCCCCATTTCCAGCTGTCGCAGTTTCGGTGGCCCCAACCTGGCCCTTCGCATTCCCAACCGCCGCCGTCTCCGCTTCGGTATCATCAACAAGCACCCTACAAAGCCTCTGCTTCAAATAAACCTTCTGCACCAACTTCCGCCCGCCCTCCAACTCAAACACCCTCAACAGCCGATCCAACCCCACACTAACCACCGTCTCCGCACCCGCCGGTATCGCCACATCCGTAACCGCCCCCGCTAACCCAGCATATTTCCCGACAACCTTCGCCGTCTTTGCCTTACAATCCACATTGACCTGCATCATCTGCCCCGTCGTATCAGAGCACACCGTCTTCACCACCCCTTCACTTGCGTTGTCTACGGGATACACAGCGAGGGACCGAATGGGATGCGTGCCAACCGTGATGTCGACGATAGGCCGCCGGGCGAGAGTGGTGTCGTAGATGCGGATCTGGTGGTGGCCGGTTCCGACAATGAGACGGGTTGCGGTGGAGTCGAGGAAAGCGAGCTCGGTGATCCAGACGGGAACGCGGATGTTGAGGAAGTCGTTTTTGACGTTTCTGGATGTCCAGTGGGCGGTCAGTTGGGTTGGTGGGGGTGTGGTGGACGTTTCTTCGGTGGTCGTGTTGGGGAATTGCTCGGCGAGGTTCCAAATTGTAAGATCGCATTCGTCGCCGCCTGTGGCGAGGAGGTGGGTGTGTTGTGGGTGGAGGCGGGCGCGGAAGGTGAGGGCGTGGGATGTGGTGAATGTCCCGGATGGGAGCGGCGATGTTGGTGCGTTGCTTTCTGGCGATGGGATGATGTGGACGAAACCAAGATCTGTGCATGCGACCAGTGTGCTGTGGGATAATGGAGAGGATATCAGTTTTCGATGCGCACCTTCAGAAACGCGCCCAAAGCGAATACATACCCTTCAACATCATGCAGCCCCACAAAGTGCTCCCCTTTCTTATACTTATTCACCACCACCTTCCCATCCTCTCCCCGCCTCTCCCGGAAGACCACGTGCTCTCTCACCACGCTCCCGTCCTCTAACCGCAAATACTGCACCCGTCCGTCCTTCCTCGCCACGACCACCGTGTCCCTCTGAGTCTTCCACACCGCCCAGCACATAAGCTGCACTTCGCCGCCACGGTCCATGGTGCCGAGAGTCGTGGTTGTCATTCTGGGACCGGCGGGTTCGTCGATGTCCTTTTGGGGCTTTTCGCTAGCTTTTCGTCGTTTAGAGGGGCAGTCATTCTGGTCGTTTTCCGGTGGTGGGGCCGGTGCTATTATTTTCGTGAGGCCGACCTCGTCCCCTGTTATGAAGCGCATGGTTTTTCCTGTTTGTTCTCCCTCCTAGACGTCGACTTGACGAGGCTTTTTTGAGGATCCTCGAATGCGAGGCCCCAAAACTTCCAAAAACGACAAGGGCAAAGTGCGTGAGTTGTAAAGGCACGCACGTGACAAAGCATGACTGACACGAGTAGTTCAAAGCGCTTTTGCTTTTATTAGTTGCCTTTCCTCCCCCAACGCTCTCGCCATCCATCTCAGACCCCCATGTGCGGCAATATTTCTGTCCCCGTCGTTGACTTAGCAAGCACCTCCTGCGTGAGTCTCCGGTGGTCCCTTCGAAATGGCGTCCTCCTCCGATGTGCGCGACATTCTGCAGTTGCCGGCGCCCGGGGAAGACGCGGGCCCAAGCACAACGAGCTCCATTAGGGCAGCGGTGAACGCTGAGAAGTCAAAGGAGAAGAAGGGCGGTATGTACTATATGAAGCGGGGATTATACGCAATTGGGGCATATGCAAGTCGGCAGTGCGAGGCTTGAATTTGCACCGTTCAAAAGCGCCCCATGAACTCTCTGCATGCAAAGTTCTTGTCTGACACCGCGGGCTCCATTTCATCCCGTAGACGCTCTTACCCGGGAACTCCTCTCTCTAACCGGAGGCGCACCTCCAGTTGTTATCGCAAAGAAGAAATATAAAGCAAGACCAAACTTCAGTAAGCAGATTACCGTGTCACCATGGTTCGTTTCCGCGCCCGAGAATGGATAGATATGAGATGATCTGGCCGGCGATGGAACTTGGAACTTAGGGTCTTTGGAACATTCGCAGGGTGTGGAAACCTTTCAAGAATCCCGCGCGGAAAGACGATCTGGAGCTGCATCACTGGGTGAAGGCGTCTGATGAAGCAGGTGACTATTACTGCTGCCCATGTTAGGAAGTTCTCGGCAAAGAGTACAAATGATTGATCTCTGTCGTCCCCAGACTACTACTTTGCGACGTTCAACAAACAGGTGGAAGTAGTTCAATATGATGACGCGGAGTACGACGCACACGTAAAAAGTAGGTCGCTCCGCACCCGCGCTCAAAGCAGCAAGCATCTGACTTTTGCAGTGCAGATCTCTTGATGACAGCGTCGACGCCATGGACCAGGGCCGAGACAGATCACCTATACGGACTTTGTAAAACATTCGATTTAAGATGGCATGTGATTGCAGATCGCTTCGAATGGCCCGGGCATACGCGGACAATAGATGTATGTGAACGAGTTCCTGGCCAGCAGTGTCGTGAGCGATTTATCGATGTTTGTCCGTAGGACCTACGAGAGCGCTACTTTGGCATCGCGCACGCGCTTCTGGCCGCTAGAGGCACCGCAGCCGTCGACTTGACGCCTTACAACTTCAACAAACCCCGCGAACTGGAGCGAAAGAAGAATCTCGAAATCTTATATTCTCGAACCGCTGAACAAATACGCGAAGAAGAACACCTCTTCTATGAGCTCCGCAGGCGTGAGCAGAAAGAGGACAAGCTGTTGAGGGAACGCGAGACCGTGTGGCAGCTGCTACGCGATAATGAACTGAAGGGATCGGTAGTCAAAGAGATGATTGGAACATCGCTGGCAGGTGGCCTGCCCACATCGGATAAGGCGTTGGATAAACTGAAGAAGAGGAGGTCGCTGACGGTAACAGGGAGGAGGAATACATCTGTGGATGCAGATGATGCAGCCACGCCGACATCTATATTACCCGGAGATGCTGGAACGGCTCGAAGGAGGAAAGTGAAGGACGAAGACTCACCGGAACACGAAGGTATGTCCGGCTCGATCCCGAAATCACTGGCAAAATGCATTGACGGACCTGATATCTAACCGCCCATTCCACTCCACGTAAACAGAACCCTCCGCCCTGATGAAACGCATGGGCCCCGGCGTCTTCGCGCGCTCACAAAAACTGCTGCCCGCTCCCAAAGCATCCCTCCTCCCGCGCATCCAAGACATGATGCGGGAGCTCTCCGTCGAGCACAATATCAAACCGCACATGCCAACCGCCAACGTGTGCGAGATGTTTGTCCAGCTGCAGACGAACTGCCAGACTTTGCTCGAGTTGAAGAAAGTTGGCGATAAGGTGGACTTTGAGTTGAATAAGTTGAGGATTAGGGCGAGGGATGTGGCGGGGAATGCGGCGGTTGATGGGGGGTCGTCTGTGGTAAGTACTCACGCGTCTGCGTTTGTGTTGGTGGTTTCACCGCAGCCCGCGGAACACCTGTCCTAATCTACGTTCTACAACCATGCTACCTCCTTTCAGCCACGGAAGCGCGCATCTGTAGGTACGCCATCGTCGTCCACCCCAGCCGGCAACGTGAAGCGACAACGAAACGGGTGAGAACCCTTAGCCGACAACTACCAAGTCTCCAGCCGACACCCTCCGTCATACAACGCACTTTACAGCTTCATTCCGGAGTGCATCAATGGGTCCCTCGAACTCCTTTTGATGCGTCAGCTCCACACCCCCCATGATTTTTGGTTATTGTTGTCCTGCGCACATTGGGACGACTGGCGGATATATCCAGATGTGCAGAAGGAATCTTTCGACGGAATTCCCGCGTACGTCACTTCCTGCCAAACGGAATTCGAATGGCATTTCTGCTTTACGATGGGGTACAGCCTTGTTGGAAGCTCCTGTATGTATCATATATATAACAGCTCAGTGGTCTACAATATATACCAGTACCCAACCCTCCTCCTACGTCGTTTACTCCCTAAAGTCGAGGTACCGCTGGAACTTCTCAGCATACGCGGGTTCGAGCACGATATGTCCGCTGGTGCCCAGTTGCTCGTACCAGCTCCTGACGATTCGGTAAAGGGAGTTTTGGACCACTTGGAAGGCAGACATCAATGAGGCGCGGTTCAAGGAGCTTAGGAAGTAGTTGCAGCGAGACGTACCTTGCAATAATATATACGCCTCCCTGACGATGACCTGGTTAGCCAACACCTCTCTCGCTAATGTGGGGTCGGTGTCCAGTGTGATGGGCGGTTGTCGTAATCTGTCCTCAAGAGCAAACTGGCAACGCAGAAGGGTTTGGATGATGTTTCTCAAATCCTGAGAAACACGTCCAAACTTGTCTTCTTCCGGATTGGTTGCAGCAGAGGTGACGAGAGCAGATATGCCTGTTGTGGAGACAAAAGAATGAGCATCCCTGTGCCGGGAGGGAAGAGAAGATTGACGCATTATACGTACTTTGGATGGCCCAAATCTGTATTTGCGCATCCTTGAACAGATTTTTCGACTGCCTCGTCACCGTCTCAGCAACCAACCACCTCCCGACCGCCCACCTCTCCACCACCGTCCGCATCAGCTCCAGCGTCTGCTGCCCCGGCGATTTATACATCTTCGGATGTTCTACCACCACTTTCGCTTTGCTGCCGGCGGCCTCGATCGGACCGCTGCGTCGAGCAGCAGGCGCAGCATTCGCACCGTTCCCACGTCTCCGAAGCAAAAGGGGCACCTCATCGCGTTGAGGATCCGTTGTCCAGCCCGTCGTTTTGATTTCGGAGGGAATCTCGGGCTCTGTCTGGTCGTCCCCGCTTTTCCCGCGGGACGGGCTGTCTGGTGGGTATAATAGCCTCTTTGCCGTATCTGTGAATTTGCCGAAGAGATCCGTTTTGGGTGCTTTCGGTTTGAGTAAAATCGCGGATGCTGCCTTGTGTTGCGAATCTGTCTTGGCTGCTTGCGCTTTGCTTTTCATCGCTACAGAGGAATGTACTACGTCAGTATTGACAACGACATGGATGAAAATCGGTGAAGCATACCGGTGGCCTTTCGCTGCTCGTTTTCTATCGCCTGACTCAACCGATCGATCGTCGCCAAGCACTCCGCGGACACGCAATCCCATGCTGATCGCTCCGAGTCGACGCCTTCCGTGTAAATCTGCGCTCGCCGTATTCTATCTATGCTGGTGATGCGCTTCAAGTGGCGATATGCCAGACACTAGGGATTTGGTTGGTCCTCTCGACACATCAGCAACCCCAGAAGCATTTGCAGAGGACCAACCTTCTGATAGACATCATTTGGAAGTGCCAGGCCAGTCACAAGTGTACCAATGGGAACGTCCGCATCGTCTTCGATGGGCTGGGACGAAGCAATGAGCACATCGACTATTTTGCGGAAAGACTCGATTCAACCCAACTCACCGCCGTGAAAGCAATCTCAAACCAGCGATGACTCAGCTCCCAACAAGAAGTCATCAAAAATGCCGAGAGAAACGTATGCACAAGTCGCCGGGGGTTGAATGCTTTGGGCCGATAGCTGTCGTATCTCGCCAATCTAGAAGATCACGTGGACTTAGCTCTTCATCAGACGGCGAATGGCCTCTCCACAAGCGGCTTACCCGTCGGGAGTAAAGACTTGCACTACCGCGGACACCGAGTTATACGCTGTGGATCCTCCCAACCAGTACAGAACTGCGTATTCCAAAGCAATCCTCGCGCTAGACAGAATGGCAAGCTGAAAGCCGGTCGCAACCTCCATCTTCAGACGCCTCTGCAACCCTGTTTGAAGACTCGGAAACGACAGTTGATCCCGCTCGGTCCACCGTCGAACTAATGCGTATGCGCTGCCGGCAAATATGCAGAACCCCACGAGAAACACATTGTTGTCGTTGAGCTGTGGCGGCAGGAGGTGTCTACACAAGGACATCGGGCATCAGTCTTCACCCGATCATGGCACGAGCTCATGCGATGGAGTACCATACCCTTGCGGATACAGCAGTAGGGAAGTCTCCAGCTGTCGGTCGTTTAGCAATGCGTATGATATACCGAGCGAAAGCGCCGACAATGCGTGTAGACCGACGGAGACTATGACATGGCGGTCCAGGAAAGAAACCGCTTCCAACAACCGACTGCTCGCGACGCGACGCTGAACTTAAGGCTGGGTGAGATCCATGAACAACACAGATGCTTTGCCATATTCCGGGCTTTCCATTTCTCTTTGTCCGGCGCACCGTACGAACCTTGAAGTCGGCTAGCCCGTGCCACAAGTATTGCTGCAACCGGTAAAAACGACAAAAAGCTAGCGAGCCATGTCGTCGGGTTGAAGATCTTGGTGATGAAACCTGAATTACAGCGCAAATCGAGTGAGGATTTCCAAATGAACCCGCAAAGAAGGACAGAGGTATCGTATTTACCAAAGCCAAGGAAGTCCCCAAGAGACAGGGACCATATGATCGTGAGGATGTGGATGGTCACGAATGGAAGCCACGCTAGGCGAGACACCCGTCTGGAAATGGCTGGCTCCAGCGCTTTGGCATATGGATTGGAGCCCTGGCTGACCATGGTGAGGCGACAGGGGTGGCCGTCAGTCGTGCGCCAAAGGGAAGTTGGGAGTGACTGGGACAGACAAATTCAGTGGTTGTTCGCTGGACGCATTCTGTTGCTGGCCTTTGCTTTTTGCGAATCGTTCCATGTGGGTTCCATGTGCAAGGCGAAAACGTTGAAGTCCAGATGCTCGCTGGGAAAATGTTGTGTGACGCAAAGCGCGCGGACCCCGTCAGTTTCCTCCGATCCCGACAGAATCCATCACACATGTAATAGTCGAAGATATGTGATGATTTCCCCATTGTGGTCCCATATTCTTGTAAGAACCATTTCACAGATCGAATGCCGACACTGTGAGCGATTCGGATGCGTAGCCGGCTACTTCCAGGGGTTGAGAATGGTTGTGTTTCGGTGTTGGTGACGGTGAGCTGCGATCCTCAAAACGGACCACGCGCAATTGAGATTTTAGCGCATTCTCTGGAAGCCACCTTATGAGCTGCACGTACATACAGTACTATAGTCGCTGCACGTTCTTTAAATCTATTGAATTGGCTTGTATCCTTCCGTCATGTTTATCCAAGATCCATTCTATATACACTAACTGAGATGTCCAGGACTATACTCCCCAACCGTCTGGGATCCCATACCCCATACGTCTGGTCTACTCTTATGAACGTTGACAAAGATGACCAGCTTCCCAATCAGTTGGCAGATTACGAAATCGTAATCGTGGTGATCCACGCGATACTGATAAGTGCAAAGACCGATCTCAGATGGGAAGCCGCACTCCGTCTCCGAAACACTAGAAATAGGAGCTCAAAAGAAGAAGCCAATGCGCTCAGAAACGTTAAGATTGAAGCGTCAGCCTACCATTCGGACATGTCCCATTAAAAGATCCCGAGGGAGCCGTGTACTGAGGTTTTGTTGTGTTTGACGGGCTCTCAGGTATTGCACCAGCAGCCGAAGGCGTGCACTGTAATGTCTTTCCCCCGAACTCGAGTGTATTGTTTTGACGTTGGGTATCGGCGAGTGTAGAGCTGTTATTTGCGAAAACCACAGAGCATGCGCATGCGGTCGTTCCGTTTCCCGGAGAACCTGGGGCGGAGGTGTCGATGCATGAGACCCGTTTGCGACGCCAGTTTGCGAGGACACTTGAGCTGGGATCCAGGCCAGCTGCGATTGCAGCGAGATCGGGCAGGTTCGAAGGATTAGCTGCCGATGGGACGGAGACTGCCCCGGGAAGAGAAGTAGGCGTACTGCAGCCACCCCTGAGAGGCGGGTTCCCTGGTGGAAGGGAAACAGTTGGATCAGAAGAACCAGGGAGCCAAGGCGTGCCGTCGCCACCGGGAACAGAGGAGTTTCCTGGTGGAGGGGGTTCAGTGTGGCCTGGAAAAGCGGATCGGGGCCCCCAGCAGGTGGATCCGGAGGGGGTAAGTCGTCACACTTGGGAATAGGACATGGTGAGCCCAAAGCCATGAAAGAAGCAAATGCGCCGGAGAAGGAGGCCCTCACCAAGCTAGGGTTACCAGGTACAGTGGCACATATGTCAGAAGGCGGCGGAACATTCGGCTGCCCCGCCCCAACCAGTTCGAAAGCTGAAACTGGGTCTACCAGACCGAAATGAATGCATCCTTGCCCGGGTGGCTGCGCCGGGACAATTCGGTAGTTCTGCAGATGCGGGGAAGCGTCCAACGTCATGCGCCGGGGAGCCGGAATGTGACCGGGCATAAATGTCGAATCTCAATGCTTCCTTACCGTGTCATTGTCAGCAGAGAACGGGTTCGGTCCCTGGGAATGTAAAGCCAGCCATCATACCCAACATTCTCAGGTCGGATCATCATCAACACATTGGGAATGAATCGGCCATATTGAATGGCTGAATCGGCCGAGGGAGATGGAGCTCCTTGTCACGTTCAGTGACATCTCACGGTCAAGAAGAGTAGCCAGTTCTTGATATGGATCCACCGCGAGCCCTCTGTGCGGATTCTCCGCCCAGTACTAGCGGCACCTACGAAGGGGAATAGAAATCCATGAATGACCGGCGATGATGGGCGAGAAAGGGGATCAAAACCTACTTCACACATCTGTCCACCTCCTTTACGACCTTCGCTTTCTCAAGTACACACGAGTTGCAGGTGCCATTCACATACCAAGCTGAGCCCCAACCCATGAACGGCTTTATCATACTCAGTCGCAACTGGGTAGTAGTTTGGCCTTTGCTTGATCGGGTTCGTTTCTCGAAAAGGAGGCCGACATGCATCGGAGCAATACTTTTTTTGCACGGTGTAGCTGCAGCCATTACAATATTGACTGGGTGTCTGGGTGACGGACTGGGTGTTCGCCGGCGCTGCTATTCACAACAAGTAGTTCTTTCACTACATACCGAATAGCAGCGCCGGCAAACACCCAGTCTGTCTACAATACCTTACAGCAAGTAGTTATTGTATACGAACATCAGTTATACAACCCGTGTGGGAGGTAGTCCACATCACAGTTCAAGCTCAGTCCCGATGGAGCCTAGACCCCGTTTGGGTTCGGGCAATTACGATACGGGTAGCCCAGTTCCGCAACGTACCCGACTCTACGGTCAATCTACTCCTCCTTCCACGGCCGGCCAGAAGCTTACCCATGCCGACTTGAAACAGCTCCTGGAGGAACAACAGGACAACTTTAGAGCCATGTTTGACGACTTTCTATCATCGCTTGGTGATACCATTGGTCCGCTCGTGAGGGATATCATTCAGGATGAACTACGTTCGCAATTGGGCAGGACTCCGGTGGACCTCACCAACATGACAGCCAGCACTTCAGCCACTTCAGCGGCACGACCAAATGCAACCAAACCCGCCAGCAGAGTCCCGAAGGTACTCAATCAGTTAGTCAAAGAGTTCCTCAATGGCTTTATACCTGGGTATTCAAGTCTCACACCGGCCGACGTGACCAAGTATGGCGCTGGAAACACCGGGGCCAGGCAGCTGTTGACCGACCTCACCGATCCTCATCGAACGAGGCCACAGTTTGCGGCAGTAGAGGACGCCATCTCGAGCTTCATGGACTATGAGCCCCAGATACGCCAGCATAGTCTCGCCAAAGTGACTGAAGAACTCCTCTCGGTCGTCCGCAACCGACTCACCAACATGGAAGCTGGGAGGATTAAGGTCAAGTCTTGGTCAAGGAGACGATGTTGATGAGGAGTAGGCCTCATCTACACACAGGTATGTAGTAAGACAGACGACTCCGTTCTCAGCTTTTATTCACTGGTGTGGTTTATCTAGGCAATTGGTGCGGGAATCGTATATACCCCGTCGTGAAACTTCTATCCCCGGTACTACCACAAGGTTGGCGGTCCATGGAATCTACGTCAAGTGGCTCGGAGGCGTCGATGTCAAACAACTCAACGTCGACAAGATAAGGCATTCCACGTTATTGACCGGATGCCTTTTTAGATGTATATGAACATGAACATGTACATAGCGCTTGTGGGTCTTTACAATGTTTTGTTTGCTCATGCATACGTATGCATATGGGAACGTTTATGCATCAATATGTGCGTAAATGCGTGTCTCTACTTACCTGCGCTGTGGTGAAGGCTTTCAGAGATTGTTTGGGGGTTTGCGTTGATGTGCGAGGGTGGAAGTGTGCGCAATTGTGCGCTATTGTGAGAAGGAGCTCTCGGTGTGAAAGCAGGTCTGGAATTTGTCTTCTCGCCTGTGAAGCCGTCCCGGCCCACTAACCCTAACCCTGCCCCGCGCGCTGAAGGCTGTACTGTACATATACACAAGGCCGAGGGTGAAGGCTGTAAGCCCGACAGTGAAGGCTGTACAAGTCCGCGCCGTGCAGCGGGTCAGCCTGGCCAGCCAGCCTGGCCAGAGGCGATGGAATTGATGAGTGTCCGCGTCCCAAGAGACGCGCCGTGCAGCGGCGCCAGCCTGGCCTGCCAGCCTGGTGGTAAACCCACCCCTTAATGGAATTGAGTGTCCGCGTCTCCATTGAACCAGATTATGCACAATGTCCGAGTATGAGCAGCTAGTGAGAGACCGATACGAAGCCCTCTCCGTCGGTATATAACGAAAGTTGCTCGATTTAGCAGCTGACGACCCGACGATCAAGAACTTCTTGGGTGTCGTAAGTAAACTCGCTTCAGTCAGCATAAACATACTAGTATTTTCGGACGGTTTCTCGACCAGCTTATACGCCCAAAGACGGTGCATGCAACCTCCGTGACGCGGAAAGAGCCCATATCCGTTTTCGGTAGGGACTTTGACCCATGGCCTGTCTTGGAGGTAGAGGGCCCGTTCGATATGCCTGGGCAGGGTCCTTTGGAGTCTTTCACTATGCCAGACGGCTTACCACTCGTGAGGCTCACTTAGTCGTTCAGTACGTTGTGGTTTACATTATCGCATCGTCTATCCTGACCTCAAGCTAACTTAATTCTCTCTTCTCCCTCAGGGACTCAATGGAAGGAACTTCCGATACACTTTGGCATGCGGTCCGATTCCATGACGCGGACGTACATGGACTGCGTCTTTCTCAGAATAGTGCGGCACATCGCCTCCGATGAGTCTAAAGTTCCGTTGCGCTTTCTCGGCGCTTTCTCGGCAACATATACTTCACCGGAAACCGGTATCACTCTGTCGGGTGCAAACGATTACTTTCTGGGCTACGGGAACCAAAGTTCGGAATCACTGGCGAATGTCTCGCTCGTCTCTCAAGCGAAGACCAGAGGAACGAAGATTGGCGACAAGGTTATCTCACACACACTTGCTCACATGCTGATGGTGCATATGGCCCGGAAACGGACGAAGAAGGAGGACCCTCGGGTTTACCGGTTTGCAACGATTGGATGGGAACGGGAATTCCTGGTCTTCGAAGACGATGGAAGGGTTGGACGGTCGCACACGTCCAAGATGAGGTGGCAGGAACAAGATCTATGGAGAATACTGAGTTCGTTTTCGAAACTGCACGGGACTCCAACTCGAAAACCACGCTTTACGAAACGTCGGAAACCGGACTGAGAGAAGCGGGGCCGGTGCCGTACACTTTCAAAATCATCACCAAGCATCTGCCTATGAGAAGCGACGAAGAGGGTCCCGAGTGAAAGTACAGTCCCTGTCGGGCAGCTTTGCCTCCCCGTCGTCAGATCAGTCCGACGACGAGTAGGCACAGCTCCATGGTTGTCATGATTGTCATTACCTCAGACAGGAAGAGTTTCAGGCGATACTCGTGGTCACCACTTCTCCACATGCCCGACCACCCTTCCATTGGGGCAACCTGTGTAGTAGGAAGTCGTGGAATCGTGGAATGGGTGTTCTGCAGTGGTGTGGGGTCGGAGTGGGGTTGGTTATCACGGCGCGTGAGGTCATGCTGAGCCTGAATGATCAGCAATTTTGAGTGCGTGACAAGGGGTGTTCCGATTAAACGGCCGCTTAACAAATTTTAAATCAGAAGATTTTGATTTCGAGTGTTTGGACTTTGGATAAGAAAGATGAGGGCGGTACCGAGATCTGAATTGACGGCAGATCCCCCCGTATCAATTATCGGGCGTGGTAAGACATCAGAAAGACAAGCTTATCGTGCTTTCACGCGCGGCACCCCACCAAGACCCCCCCTCGGGGCCTTATGTGCGCCGACTTGACTGCGGTCCTGCTGGGAAAAAGCGGACGGCCTTCCTCTCGCTGCCTTCAAATAAAGAGAAACGTCCACTCGCATTCCAGGCCATTCCCAACATCCCACCCATTCGCTACTATCACCTGGCTTGCCATTGCATTATTCGCCCAGCAGCATCTTTAGCCGTCAAAACCGCGTACCAGAGCGTCACCACCTGTGCCATTCCCAAGGCACCAGCAAGTGAGTTTTTTCTCGTCGGCCTTGCAGGAGCTGCTGGAGGCGTCGCAATGGACCTTTCCGCAATGGTGTTATCGCACTGTCTTGTGTTCGAAATGCATGTGCTGAACCCCGAATGCTGTCGTTTCCAGTAGTCAAAAGCGCGCAGTCGTAGTGCACACCTTCTAGAAGCGCCGTGCTTACGCTTTGTTTCCACACTTTGAACTCTACATAGCAGCCCGATTGAAGCGCACGCCGATAGGTTGTTCGGCAACTCATATTCCAAGGCATACAGTATCATTTTGAAGGTGGGTTTCTGGCGCTCAGTTCAGCTCACCACTTCATATCAGTTGATGTGATGAGCGGCTCATTAATGGAGAACGTATTTCCAGGCAGAACAGTCAACGAAACACTTCTGCGATCTGTTATGGTCTCGTTTGCTTCTCACTGAACGAGTGTACGAACATCCACAAGGGGCTCTCCCCGAACCTCCGTGCATCGCGGACCGCTCAACGAAAGAGCCGATATATAGACCTATAGACTTTTCCACCTCCAAGTTGACGATCACGCATCCACAAGTTATTCCCTGGACGCTATGCTCTCCCACACCTCCGAAATATACCCCGCCTGTTCGGCGCAACCCACGTCGTCCGACCTTCACGCCCATCCATTGCTGCAGATGTTCCTGCAGCGTTGCGCCTATACCCACAGTGAAGTGTTCGCCCAGGTGTTTGCCTACGCGTCGATGACCTTTTGGCTATGTGCCCAGATGCCGCAGTTGTGGAGGAACTACAAACGGAAAAACGCTGATGGGCTCAGCGGGGCGTTTCTTGCGAATTGGCTGTTGGGGGACGTTTGCAACCTCGCTGGCTGCATTCTGACGAATCAGCTGCCATTCCAGGTAGGTGACCGTGTTGGCGTTGGTAACTTTGTCTGTACATTTCCCAGTGCTCACACACTCCATCCTTCTAGACTGGCCTTGCAACATACTTTGTTTTTGCCGATGTAACACTGCTGGCTCAGTACATCTACTATACCCGCGTCCGCCCAGCGCCGATCCGCCGCAACAGCCGCTCGATGCTTATACCCCTCCCCACATCCGCATCTCACGCCAGTCTGCTAATCGAGAACACGAGTATGATTGACCCAACGGAAACATCAGCTCTCCTCTCGCTTCGCCGTACGCAGTCGTCTACGGCGTTTTTCGGAGTGATGCTTTTTGGGTTCTCCAATCTTCTAACCGGCGCGGTTCAACATTCCCAATCAACCGGGACGCCGTCCGCCGTCATATCTCCGCCTCCCGAGTTTGGTGTCATGACCGAGACCCCCGCCCCTAGCCCCAGTCTCGCCCACATCATCGGGGTCATCACAGCTTATCTCTGCATGGTCCTGTACCTCTCCTCCCGCATCCCACAAATCATCCGGAACTTCCGTCGCCGCTCAACCGAGGGTCTGGCGATGTCCATGTTTGGATGCGCCGCGTTCGGAAACCTCACCTACGTACTCAGCATCCTCTGCACGAGGAGGGACCCCGACTTCCTGAAAGGCGCCGCACCCTATCTCATCGGCAGCGGCGGAACCCTGATCTTCGACGCCATCATCTTCACCCAGTGGTGGTTCCTCGGCGGACGCCAGACGCAACGCCGGCGATGGGATGGATATGCTTTCATCGGCAGGCCGGACGCCAAGAGCCCTGTCCTTGCGGATGAGGATCTGTTAGTGGATGTGGAGGATAATTCATTTTTGAGTAGTTTAGCCGATGCGTCGGAGGAGGGGCTTTTTTTTGTCAAAGCGGCCGCGGGGGCGATACGGGATGCCTGATGTGTGGGGAGTTCGTTGAGACAGTACTGCATAGATAGGACAAGTTTTAGAGTCTGTTTTTGCGTCGTGTTGGCCCCTAAATTCCGTGACCCTTTTGCCTCTGATCTCTTTTAAAATCGGTTCCCTTCGACCGTTTGCTTGTACTGTACGATAAGTCTGTCGAAGGGCTGAGTTTTGAATCCTCCCGCCTGTCGAAACCAGCGGAATTGCTTACGCAAGTGTGGCTTGTCACGCTCCGCGTTTCCGGCAATGATTGCGGTCTCTGGCAGCGTTTTCCTCAGTTCACCGTCGGTTTTGACTTCACAAGATCGTTAACCACACACCGACGACAATGGCTAAAAAGACCAAGAGCACCGCAAAACCCGCCGTCGCTGCCGCGGAGGCAGCCGCGCCGAACGTGGAATCTACGCACGCCGCCTCCGTCACCGCCGATAAGGCAAAGAGGACGAAAAAGACAAAGGGAGCCAAAGACACCTCCAACGACGCTACAACGAATGTTGCCGCTGGGGCCACCGAAGCGGTTCCGGGTCCCGCCGTCGAAGCCTCCGCCGCCGCGGATACCATGTCAGTGAAAAAGTTCAGGAAAAAGGCGAAGAACTCCTCAACAGCCGCGTCAAACGAGAGCGAGGGAAATGCGGCTGCACCGACGACCGGGGAAGCTGAGAAGCCTGCACAGACAGTGACGAAGGCCAAGAAGGCGGACAAGAAGGCGGACGTGTCGCAAGCGGCAAAGGATGCCGGAGTTGCCGCGGCAGTGCCTGGTACTGCCGATGGGGAAAAGAAGAAGACGAGGAGGAAGAAGAAGGGAAAGGCGAGCAGCCAAGTCGCCGGTGACGGAAAGCCGGCAGGTGAGGACAGTAATGCAGCAACTGTGACCGACGCCGCAGCGGCAAAAGAATTGAAGCGCAAACGGGAGGATAAGGTTGCTGCACCCGAAGGAACTGCACCTGCGCAAACCGAGGAGTCCAGTCCGGCCAAGAAGGCGCGTAAACCGAAATCGAAGAAGGCGAAAGTAGACGCGGATGCGATGGACATTGTGAAGAAGTTTGCGCCCGCTGAGCGGTCGCTGAAGGAAAAGAAGAACAGGAGGAGTAGGAACAAGAAGGATAAGGTGGCAGGAACGGAGGGTGGTGAAGGCAAAACCGAGCCGGTGATCGAGGACAAGGCGGAAGCGAAGGGAGCTGAGGAACAGGCGGAGACACCACAACCGGTGGGGGAGAAAGTGAAGGAGACGAAGAGGCAGAAGAAGAAACGGACACGTGCGGAGGCTACTGCCGAGACTAACGAAAGCGCACCGGTCGCGGATGCGGTGGCGGAAGTGAAGGGGAGGCCTGCGAAAAAGATTGCAACAGAAGGTATGCTTCCGGGATGCAGAGATGGCGTTTTCGCCAGATGTATGTGGGGACATTTTGTTTATCAATCATCAGCCAAGCCAGTGCCTGCGAAAACTCAGCCCGCTGAGACCAAAGAACAAGGGGCAGCACCAAAAGCCGCATGGAATGACTGGACTAAGGCATCGTTCGACGGTGATGCCGCGCGTAAAAACGTAAGCTGACCTCTCTCCCATCCGTCTCACCGGTCTCGCTCGTCTCACCGAAATCCCATCTCAGAAATTCCTCCGCCTCCTCGGAGCCAAGAAGGATGGTGCCGCGGCTACTCCCACCCCAGCGGCTTCACCCGTACCAGCTTCAGCAATCGATGACAAAGTAGCCAGCAAGATCGCAAAGGAGATGGAAGCGCAGTTCGAGAATTCTCGGAACATTTCACAGCGGATTCGGAGTGGTCGGAAGGGTGGGCTTGGTGCGTGAGGGAATTTCGGAAGATAGTGGGAGTGGGCCATAGGTTGGATTGGATTATTTGAAGACGGTGCGGATCGTACATACATAGATTATTTAGATATGATAGCATGGTGGGGGGGTAGGCTCCACCGTGGGGTACGGGTGCATACTTTGCCGTGCAGGCGTAATACGGTGACAAAATGCGCTGAATGGAACTCGCGTTTCCCACAATCGGCTTCAAGTCTTGCACCGCGCCTTGAACCAGGCGAAACTCTCCTCCGCCACAGTTGGAAAAGGTTCGCGAATACGTCCGAAAGGCCAAGGCCTTCGACTCACATCCAAACAGCTCTATTGCTATTAGCTGTGTGTCGGCAAGCACTGAGCAGGGATACGGCATTAGTAATCCTTTGTCTTTACATTTGGAACACTTGGCCGGGGGAGAATTCCAATTGCACTTGCATTCACCTCAAAGGCAAGGCGCTCAGACTTTCTCATATAGTGGGCCACTTCACTGGTACGAAGCAGTCTCCTGAAGGGCGGAACCCGAACGACCGCTTTGGAGCAGCTCCTTGTGGCTCTGCTCGGCGACGGTAGCTCCGCGATGACCACGGCTTTCTCGACCGGGGTCGTCCCGATGGATATCGTAGACCCTAACAGGGGAGCCAAGGTGAGATACGGCATTTTGGAGCGAGAGCGAGTAGGTGCCATAGGCAGGAGGCGCATAAACGAGTAGCAGGCGAAGAACGCGTGAGAAAACGGGAAGATGATGCTCATGTTTTCTGCCATCACCGGCCGTATCGCCGTATGTAGGTCCTGCCGAGTCTTCCCGGCGCAACACCGCAACAGCCCAAAGGCCGTCCAAAATTCTCGCTCGCCGATTTCCACCTCGACCGCACACTCGGCACCGGCTCATTCGGTCGGGTGCATCTAGTCCGACTCCGCTCAACGGGGAAATATTACGCCATGAAGGTGCTGAAGAAGACGGAGATCGTCAAGATGAAGCAGATCGAGCATACCGTGAACGAGAAGCATATTTTGGAGCAGCTGGATTTCCCATTTTTGGTCTCGATGTTAGGGACGTTTCAGGATTATGCCAATTTGTATTTTGTCATGGAGTATGTGCAGGGTGGGGAGCTGTTCTCGTATCTGCGGAGATGTGGGGTGAGTGCTTTCTTGCTGGCGATGTAATGCCATGCGACAGAAACGGATGAGGGGGATTAGTGCTCACGTGACTTTGTTTCTGCCTTGCTAGCGCTTTCCAAACCATGTAGCCAAATTCTATGCAGCGGAGGTGGTAATGGCATTTGAGCATCTGCACGCCAAGGACATCATTTACCGCGACTTGAAGCCGGAGAACTTGTTGATCGATGCGAAAGGCAACATCAAAATCACCGACTTTGGCTTCGCTAAACATGTGCCTGATGTCACATGGACGCTTTGCGGCACGCCGGATTACCTTGCCCCAGAAATCATCCAGTCGAGAGGTTATGGCCGCGCTGTTGACTGGTGGGCGCTCGGGATCTTGATCTATGAGGTGAGCATCACCTGCTCTCATGCACCGGGGCTGGAAGTTACGATTTAACGAATCTGCTTCCCCGTCAGATGCTCGCCGGCCACCCACCCTTCTACGACGAAGACCACTTCAAACTCTACGAAAAGATCCTCGCCTGCAAGGTGAAATTCCCCAACCACTTTGACCCAGCAGCCAAAGACCTCGTCAAACGCCTCCTCCAAGCCGACCTCACCAAGCGCTACGGCAACTTGAAAGGCGGGGTCAACGACATCAAGAAACATAAATGGTTCGTGGGCGTCGATTGGGTCGCCCTTAGGGCCCTGCAGATTCAGCCACCGTACACCCCGCCACTCAAGGGCGAAGGGGACACGAGCAATTTCGACGCTTATCCCGAGGACTATGAGCCGTATGGGATCGTGTGCGCGGACCCTCACAGAGAAAAGTTTAGGGAGTTTTGAAAGAAGGAAGTCGGATTATTTTCGGTTTTCTTGCTTGCTTTTTGGGAGTTCGGCGCGCTTTTTTGGAAATGCAATTTGCTGCTGCATTTTGCGACTGAAGATGGCATCGGTTGTAGGCGAAGAGATCTTCGCCTATTTGTTTGGTGGCGCGGGTGTCCGCGGAGAATTTTGGGAGCACAGCCTTGCTTGTTTATGGCACTGGATAGACTTAGGTGGTGAAGAGGACGGTGGGTACGGGCTGGGGAGATGAAGACGAAGGGACAACGGGGTCCGGAAAGCGACATTTATGCATTCAGGCTTCTGCATTGGGACTACTCAATACAGCACACATTTTTGTCACGAGCATGTGCATTACGTGCGAGTTCCCGCACGCTCTCCGCGAACTCTTATTGATTGAATTTTCCTGCATACGAACTCTCTTCAGACGTGAATAACTACGACATGAGCTGTGTGGTATGTTTGATGGTATTGCCATGGGGATATATATGAAGGGATAGCTACCGACCAGAAAACACATAAGGGGGGATATGAGCTCGTATCATTTGGCCAGCAAACAGCCAGATTCATTTCCGCCGACCACGCAGATGACTTCTCTTTGTTTCACTGGACATTCATGAACTCCTCAAAGAAATCGGCGGCCGAGGTGCCAGTCAGCAACCCTCCATCCAACAACGCGCCCAAACTGGCGTCATTGGCAGGATCGTCCAGCCCGGACGGGTTCTCATTACCAGGAGTCGCGGCCGTCTCACTACTCGACGGTGGATCCTGAGGTAGCGGAAACCCAGTGAGCATAACGCTTTGACCCGCCGACGTCGTGATAGCCGGATTATTCACGTTCGTCGATGCCGGCAGGAGTGTCGGCGTTCCAAACATCGACGTCAACCCAGACATCCCGCCGGTTCCTCCTCCGCCGCCATCGAACCCGCTGGTACTTCCGCCGCCGCCGAAGTCGCCGCTGAACCCGCCGATCCCGCCTCCGTCGTCTAGGGACCCGTCGAAGGCTAGGGAGGCCCAGTCCCCGCCGCCCACATCGCCCATGTTCCAATCCAACATCCCCATGGGATCGCCGGTGTCTGTCGTCATCGGATTGCTGGTATACGAGGTGTTGAAATCGGCGTTGGGGACTAAGGCGTCTTGTGCGGAAGATACGCCGGGATTGGAGAAGCCTAGAGTAGCCGTAAGACCCGCCATGTTGGTGATGGCGTTTGCTGTCGCGCTATCATCGGGAATCTGCATGTTCATTCGTGGGGTTGCCCTGAGGAGAGCATCTGTGTCATTCGTTGCCCCTCCTGCACCCACCATCCCTAGGTCGAGATCCATGGCTGACATGTCAACCAGATCGGATGAGTTGAGAAAATCTGTATCGGCACCGGTTCCCTCCGCACCCGTGAGTTGCCCCAGGCCGTTCAGACCATCTGCACCTCCCGTTAGGTCGAAGAAGTTGTGAGATTGGTCAACGACAGTAGGGGTTATCGGGGCTATTGCAGTCGTAGATGCCCCTAGCATGCTCACTGCACTTGTTCCAAACCGGCCTGGCCCGCCATGTCCAGACAAATCATCAAGGTTCATTGGCAGGAAAGCCATCGATGTTCCAAAACTCCCACCCAGAAGATCATCGGCCTGCGTCCCCCCATACGTCGTTAAAGTTCCACCCAAATTTGCCGACAGAAGATCGTTTGCCGTTAGGAGCATGTCCCCCATGCCATTGACGATCGCTGGCGGCTGACTGCTCATTGGCCCGCTGCTGGCGAAAGACGGCAGCATCCCGCCCGCTAAAATCCGATCGTCCCCACCAGCATCGTACGGATTGTCGTCCACATCGTCCAACTCTTCATACTGCGCTTCGAATCGACTCTCCGTCTTGATTATTTCGTCATCTTCTCCGTGTTCATCTGCGCTCGGTGGAACTGACGAGCCATGGCCTTCCGGGAGTCCACGCGACAGTGACATGTCCATGTTGCAGGACAGATTCGCGAGAGAGGACTCCCAATCAGTCATCAATCTACTATAGCGCTCGATCGAATCCTCCTTTCTCTGTGTCTCCCGCTTGAGCTGTCGTACCCGCTGTAAAGAAAGGTCAGTCCTGGCAATCTCCGGGAAGCACCCCATGCGTCTGCGAGAAACAGACCTGTCTTTGAGCAACGTGTTCATTGGATAGTACGTGTTCTCTTTGCATGTTTAGTGAATTTTTCAGCTGCAGTGCCCTGTCATGCACAATCTTCATGGTGCTCTCGAGTTCTGTCACGTTGAAGAAATCGGAGGTATCAGAATAGTGGACTGAAAAGCAAAAAGCCAATACCCCACCAGAGCCAGGAAGGCCACACAGCTCCAGGGAGAATTCTGTCACCTTGACCACGAACGAGCGTGTGCTCACCTAGACAAGCATCTCTACTCCCTTGCTTCTCCTTATGTCGTTTGAGAATCTGCTGCGAGTATCCTATTATCTCCCGCAAGGACTGCGGCGTCTGCGCTGAGGAGTGCATGGCCTCTGCGATATGGTGGTTTGACCGAAATTGTGGTATATTTCGAGCGACGAGCGATAGAGATCGGCTTCGACAGGAGGGTTTGAGCCGCGCTTTGGCTTTTTACAAGGTTGGTTTTGACGACCGCGGGTCAGATGGGGAGGAAAGAACCGAGGGTACTGCTGTTTCCCTGTGTCAAAGGGAAGTAAATGTGGAGCGTGGCGGTTTCTGTTGGCAAGGTGGCCCAATGTTGGTGCGAAATGCGAGAGCCGAAAAGGGGTTGTGTGGAAGGCCGAGCATGAGTGAGAATCACGTCACGTTGCTTCTCTTCGGCCCTCAGCCCGCATTCAAGCCTACGCTCAGGGCTGCGCATATCATATGCTCCAGATCTCATCATCATATCATGCACGAGTGGGCACAAAGCCTCGGCAAAGCTTACGAGCAGATGCAATGATAATTCCGGCCTGCCGCAGGACTTTCGGACGGGAACTCGCCCACATCCAAGGAGCAAGGGTCGGCATGCAAGCATCCGCGGGCCTCGTCAATATGCCTTCGATTCTGCACGTTCCTGTTCATTTCGGGAGCCATATGAGATCGTTGCCAGCAAGAAAACCCACTGCAGGACTACCTGATGCCAAACGTTCTATTTTCGTTCACGGATAGCGATGTCCTTTCATGGGGCAGAGGGGGGGATCGATTAAAAACCTTATTCTTACTAAAACCTTCAAACTCGCTTTCTTCATTTGCAGAAGCCGCGATTCAATAGCGCTTTAACGCCGCTGTCCAAAAGGAATGATCTGCATAACATACAGTGAATCGCAGATGGCCTTCGCTCGATCTTCGTCCATGAAATAGTGTTCTTATTTCACATCCAAAAACGGTGAATGCTCGAAAACTCGAAAATTGACGGCACTGCTCACGTCATCACTAGTTCACGGCGACTCGCACAGTCCTGTCACTTGCTGTCATACGCTGTTACCCCCCGTTCCCAGGCCTGACGTTGAACCAACGAAATCTGCATGAGGAAAGAGGGGAGCACCTCGTAACTCCACGTCACGTCGGCGACAGTATTCGCGGAGATCTCCAGGAACTCACATATACCCATATGCGGCCGACTCATTGTGAAGCGGCCAAATTCGGGGGAAGCTGTCAAACGCTCTCTGCAATGCATACCTCTCCACAAAAGGATACGTGGAGCACCTTGGGGACACGAGGCAGAGGAGAAAGAAAAACACAATCTTCATGCATCCGTCATACTCCATTCGACCTCCTCAACTCCTTCTCCCTCGCATACTGTATAAAGAGCTCCCGTTCTGCCTCCCGTTCGCCCTCCATGCACAACAGAGAACCATCGAAAACACATCATCCAAAATCTCTCTAGCAACGTCGTAAAAACCTCACTCAAAAGCAAAACAGAAATGTCCGCCGACCAGTCGCAAGTCAAGCACATCGAGACGCACGACGAGGACTCTCGCCGGGAGCGTTCGTTCAAGGTGAGAGGAGTGTGCCCGTGTTGCTCTGCTTGGAATACGCTCCTACTTGTAAGTAGAAGCTCATCACCGCATTTCCTGTGATTGTTCTGCAGGCTGCTGCCCACAACCCCAGCAACACCGAAGAAGGAAGGATGCACGCGGCCGAAGAGTTTGCCAAGGCATGTTTCATCGTCCCCATCCAAACCCCCAATTCCCCACCTGTCACCCCCAATCCTGACCCCTTCCCCACTCCGCTTCCCCGACACAGCTCCACGAAAAACGCACGGGCGAAAAAATCGACCCCGCGAAGGAGGCCGAGATCGGCGCGCAGAGGGCTGCCGAGCGCGGCGGCCAGTCCTGAACAAGACCACGCATCAAGAGCCCCGGGGTTTTCGTGTTCTTCCCGCTCAACATGAAGGAGGTGTGATTGATTTTCGAAATGGTTTTTTTGGTTAGCAACTTGGCGTAGTCTAGTCTCCCCGTTCCACTTGGCAGCGTTGGATGTATGTAGTCAAAAATAATATCAGTCTTGCCACGTCAGAAGTCCCCCCTCGTGAGTTTTTTTCCATCCTTCGTTACCTTGAAAAGAATGACCGAAAAGGAAAGAATTACCTGTATCACGCTGAGAAGCACCGAAATCATGAACTGAGAATGGTAGGTGTGCATGCACTGTGCGAAGTTCCGTCAAGACCGCATCGCCATTGAAAGCGTAGGCAATGCGCACTTTTCCAGTCGACTCCATGCTTGCTCATTGCGGCAGATATGGAACCGATGTCTCTTTCAGCCTCCTTGTCCATCAAGCCCTTCGTCCATTGAGCCCGTTATTCCACTTTGCCTTCGCTCCACCACTCACTTGATCCCCCATCACCTCAGAAGCAACCTCTCGGGCTTGGTGAAGGAGTTCCTCATTATGGCGTGAAGCTCTGGCCGGGTTTGTATGCCTGGTTCTTATATCTAACCCAAACTGTAGCCAGCTTCTCCGCTGCTGCAGCGCCCGCGACAAACAGGTTTTGCTAATGAGGAGACATTTGGTCACGGGAACCGGTTAAGTGTGCAAATGGTAGCACAGTATATGTAAAAGTGGGTTTTGCAAAAGTAAGCCAATTGGAGAAAAAACACAAAAATGCGTAAAAAGGAAAGTCTATGTACAAAAACACGACGCAAATAAAATAGAAGGTCATACTGTGGCGTCTAAGCGATCGCCACTGTGCACATACGTATGAAGAACAGCGCAAGGACGCTGGGTAAGGTGCAGTTCCGATGAAAAGCTTTCTATCGTGGCAACAGGTGGGGCACCAGGAAAGCGCCATCCTATCTCCTAACTTATGCGGGAAGCATCGCCGGTTCTCCAGCGGGTTTGGGTTTCGAAGCGGCTTTTGTTTCCGCCAAGAGCATCGCGTCGAGTTCGGCGTCAAGGGCCGCAAACTCTTCTTCCCGTCCTGTCTTTTTCGCAATGGATGGTTGCTGCTGCTGCTGCTGCTGCTGCGGTTGTTGTTGCTGTTGTGGCTGCTGCGTGTACCGCTGCGGTACCTGGACCCCAACCGGCTCCGCAGTCGGCACATTCGGCAACCTCTCCCTCAACTGCTCTCTCAACAGCTCCTCCAACTCATCCTCCAACTCATCCTCATCCGCCACCCCCTGCTGCGCCAACACCGCATTCTGCCCGCTCTCCAACGCAATATCAATCTCCGCCTGGTCCGCAAGCGTATCCTGCAACGCATCCATCGTCTCCTCAACGTTATCGGCGGTCAAGCCAGACGAGGCCATGAAGGATTTCAAGGAGGTGGAGCCGAGGGAGTAGGCGGCGAGCACGTCGGATTCGGTCTCGGCGGTCTGGATCTTGGCGATGATGCCTTCGATGGTTTCGAGGGAGTTGATGCGCTTTTTCAAGAGATCTGTGAGGGCTTTTTTTTGGCGGATGTGGTAGAGTGCGCGTTCTTTTTGACCGACGCGGAGACGCTCTTTGGCTTTTTTTGTGAGACTGGGGGGAAAAGGTTGGGGGTGGCGATGGGGTTAGAGACCCCTTTCATGTGGGATTATTGTTTCGACGTATGAGTGTTTTACTTACTCGTCCGTCTTTGCCTCGAGTTCGTCCACCTGGATATGCAGCATCTTGACGGTGGTCTTCATCTTCACGATCCCACGGTCGGTATCACCAATAGCGAACTTCGAGTTCGACTTGTCCTGCGCTGGCTTGATCTTGACAATCTTTCATAATGATATTCAACATTCCATCAGCAACTTTCACTCTTCCTTCCCTCCGGGGAAGTCTTTCGGCATCCAAGCTCACCCCTTCGTCCTTGCTCATTCCACCCTCCTCAAACAAAAGATCCCCGTTCCTCTCCATAAACGTCCTCGCCAGATCCATGTCGAGGTCCGACGGTTTGCGCCCGTTCCGGCTGCTCTCCTCTACCAGTTGCGCCTCGAAATCGGCCTGGCTCATGACGTGGTCCACTGCGTATTGCGCTTCGTTCCGCAGGTTGATCAGAAACGTGTCGGACGAGTCCTATTTCGACCATACCAGGCGACGATTAGTTCCGTCTGCGGCCCGATGCGCACGGGCAAATCATGTCTTTGCTAGTCAAGTATCGCACCTTGACAACGGACGGAACGACATACGCCCCTCTCGGTACGTCCACCGCCGTATTCTTCGCTGATCCCATGACTTGCGAGATACCCCACGATATGGGTGCCACGACCAGTTTGGAGAGCGCCCATGATCCCCACCCTTCTGTCCGCTTGAAGGTCGCCAGCGGCACGAGCTCTCCGTTCTTGATCATTTCACCCTGTCGAAATTGGCCAGCATCAGTTCCCAGAACTTCGAATGTCCAACGCTGGTAGAAAGACAGCTGCATCGGCCCCTCACAAACCCACCAAAACCACACCCAACCCCTCAGGCCTCACCCCGCCCTTCTTGAACCTCTCCTCCAACCCCTCCGTATCAAAACACGACAAATGCTCGCCCAACAATCCCAGCGCACAACTTTCCAACAGCACTTTTCGCCAGAACGTCATCTTCTGATCCCACGCCGGCGCGGTCAGCTTGGTTCGGGTTGGCGGGAACTTGCGGAATAGGGCTTGGATCTTGTCGAGGGAGGGCTGGTCGGTGCCAGTCCATTGGGGGAGGGTTGCGCTGAGGTAGGCGTCGAGGGTGGGGTAGCGGACGGGGGGGAGGTGGGCGCCCATCATGGCTGGGTACCTGTGCGCTGTTGCTAGGGAAGCCGGCTCTTGAAGGATATTATCGAAAGTCCTGCTCTGTGGTGAGGCTTAATGTGCTGCGTTTTGAACACAGTTTGTGAAAGTTCATGTCCCTTTGCCTGCGGGTGACGTGAGAGCAAAAGCTGTCAAGAATTCCGCGACACGCACATCTCGCGAACATTTCTTCTGAGCACGAATGCGCATTCTGTGCCTTCGATTGGATACCGCGATGTATGGCGCAAACGAACAGAAGCACATGTTACAATGACTCGCAGCCGTCCTTCCCCTCCCACACCCCATGTTCCAACCAAAAAGATACTGCTCCCTGTCTCCAAAAGTTCCTCCACCTGCGACGTTGAAGCGATAATGCAAAAAAGAGAACATCTCGCAAGAAAGTGTATTCCTGCCTCCCCATCTCCGCTCAAAGATCAGAAACGTAATTCCCAGGGAACTGGCCCGTGACGCCTTTGCATTTGCCTCTCCACCAGTCGTTGGTGTCCGGGGTGCGTTCGAGGACTTCGATCTTGTCGTCTTTCTGTTAATGATTGCAGAAACGCAAATGTCAGTGATCGTGGTGATGCGAGTAAGTGAAATATTCCCGACAGTACCTTGAACGCCAAATCACCCTCCTCAGCGCCATCAAAATCATACAACGCAATCACAAAACTCGTGCGTGGTGTCGTCGATGGCGGGGCAGCGCGTGTAGCTGAGGATGCACCAGCAGAAGCAGCAGCAGGTGGAGTCTGACCACGTGCAGCCATAGCCGCTGCAGCGATGCTGGCCGCCGAGGACGAAGGGCCCGCGTAAGCTTTATACGTCGTGTTTGATTTTGATGGACTTGAGGGGTATCCTCCCTTGGCGCCGTTGGGTTCTTCGTAGGCTGGGAGGTGCTCGTCTTCTGGCGCAAAGGCTTCAGCGGGCGCTTCCCCGCCGCCTTCCTCATAGCCTTCCTCTGGGTTCTGGTAGTTGACCGCAGGGCGCTTGAGGGCGCCCCTGTTGGCCAGCGTGAGTTCCTTCAAGGCTTCCATTATTCCTTCGAATTTGGCCTCGAAGGCTACCAAAGGCGGCTGCGACGCGTCAAAGCCGTTCTCATGGCACAGATCCGAGAAGTGGCGGTTGAGCGCCTCGACGACTTTGAGCTCGTACCAGTACAGAGTCTGAAAACACGGATCGATGAACTGTGTGCGCAGGCCGAGGAAGATAGGCAGTTCCTGGCGGACGATGTTGTCGACGTTGTTGAACTCGCGCGTGGCTTGGTCGAGCTGTGCTTCGAGGCTGCTCAGACGTTTTTCGTCGGAGAGATTGCGGTCGGGTTTGGCTTGCAGTTTTTTGACCGAGTCCTTGTGGCGGTCGTAGTCGACTAGTTTTCGCGAGCGCTTCTCGAGGATGCGTTTGACGTTGTTGATTAGGGCGATGTAGTCTAAGGCGGGCGCGACCACTTGGCGCTCGATGACGTCGAGGTCTGGTAGGAGTTCTTCGCGTGCTGCTCTCATTGATCGTACAAACGCCTCGGCGGCAGCGAAAGATTGCGGGTGCTGTGTATTTGGCTTCAGGTTTGACCCAGGTGACGCGGCCTGCGTTTCGTCGTCGAGGTCGGGGTTACCTTGCGCGACAGGCGAGCCTCCTGCCCCGACGGCTTGCACAGGCCGGTAGACTTCCACCAAAGTTTCCGCGAATCTGGCCTGGTGCGCCAACATGGCGGAGAGGGAGTCCTTGAACTTTTTCGCGTCGTCTGTGAGTTTCCGCGCGAGAAGCTCGACTCGTTTGAACTGCTCGTTTAACGCGACGAACTCGTCGTCGACGGTTTCGGATGCATAGCCTGTGGCCTGCGCCAACTTTGTGGGAAGCCGCGTCACGGCTTTCTGAAATCCCTTCCAACTCATCGTGTTGCTGTGAGTTCTGCCAAGAAAGTCGCGTGAGGGATGGTCGTTATAGACGAGTTTGAGCGGATACTCCAGAAAAGCGTGCGGACCGAGTCAGAGTGCGCCGATGCCAGTTTGGGGAGCAGTGCTCGGTGCGAGATGAGCGTGAGAACGCTGATGAGTGGGGGCTTGACAACGCTGAGCGAGAGCGTGAAGGAGCGTTTACGTTACGTCTGTCTGTCTGCAATGCCAGGGGGGGCCATCTCAACCGGGTGGCTTGGGCGTCCTGTTGGTCATCATCCATCCCTCATCAGAGTCATCATGCATTTGGCATTTGGCCTGGAGGGAGGAGACGCGCAGGAGACTCAGGAGAGTGATGGGAGTGGGAGTGGACCCGCACGCGCTTCCCAACCCGCACTTGAAGAGCCCGCACGCAACCCGCACTGCGCCTTGTCCGACTTGTCCGACTCGTCCGGACGCCCTTCTGATTTCACCCCCGCTCGGCGGTTGCAACCTCCCGCTAAACCCGCTCAACAACCACCTCTGCCAACCCCCCCCCCTGGCAAACTCCAACAGAGCTTCTTCCCCCCACAACTTCAGAGCTAGCTAGCTACCCGCAATGTCCTCCGACGCGAACCACAGCGACTCCGGTGGCAGTGACTACGACGAGGCAAGCTCTGCCAGCAACACAACTACCTCTACCAGCACAAGGGCTCGTAAACGACCTCAACCAAGGGCAAAACCAACCCCTCGCAAACGTCATGCCGGCGGCTCAAGTAAAGCTACTCTTAGCACCCTCAGAAAGGATACCTTGCAACGACAGGCTATGCAACCCACCTCCTCTACGGCTTCCAACGCTTCCAACGCTTCTTCGGCGCTTTCGAAAGATGACGAGGAGGAGACCGATTTGATGCCCACCGCTGATTGGCCTATCGAGAAACTGCGAAAGAGGGAGGAGGAGTTGCAGGTTATGATTGATGCCTTGTTGGAGGATGTTAGGGTACTGAAGGGGGTTGCTGTTGATGATGGGGTGGAGAAAAGGGATGGGGAGCGTGATGGAGAGGAGAAGGGGATTGATGACGAAGGTGAGATGGAGAGTGTGAGAGAGGAGCGAGGCGAGCAGGGTATCGTTTCAACCATCCAAACAAGCAACCATTCAAACATACACCCCTCCCCACCCCACAGACATAGACTACTCCAACTTCGACGCCCCGGAATGGTGCGTCCCCATCAAAACCAACGTCATGACCTTCGAATGGCCCCTGCTCGCCGCCGCCTGCCAATTCGACGTCATCCTCATGGACCCGCCGTGGCAACTCGCCTCGCACGCCCCGACCCGCGGCGTCGCCATCGCCTACCAACAGCTCCCCGACGCCTGCATCGAAGACCTCCCCATCTCCACCCTCCAGCAAAACGGATTCATCTTCATCTGGGTCATCAACAACAAATACGTCAAGGCTTTTGAACTCATGGAGCGCTGGGGGTACACTTACGTGGACGATATCACCTGGGTTAAGCAGACGGTGAATAGGCGGATGGCAAAGGGGCATGGGTATTACCTCCAACATGCGAAGGAGACGTGTTTGATTGGACGCAAGGGGGCGGATCCGCCTGGGTGCAGACACGGGGTGGCGAGCGATGTGATTTTCTCGCAGAGGAGGGGGCAGAGTCAGAAGCCGGAGGAGTTGTATGAGATGATTGAGGAGCTGGTTCCTAATGGTATGGGCTGTCGATTGAGGAGGGGTGCTGCCTGCTTTCCGTGACTGACCCCCTTCTCGCCCCTCTCGTCCCCTCGTCTCTCATCTCACCCCAGGCAAGTACCTCGAGATCTTTGGCCGGAAGAACAACCTGAGAGACTTCTGGGTCACCGTCGGGAACGAGCTGTAGTTTCACGAAAGCATTTGTCCCTATACGAGTTCAGCGGTGTATATGTACCTACCTACCCCTCCTCTCTATGCTATGACGCTATGTACTCTTCCCCGCTGCCTCCGGACCCTAGCTTACGCGGTTACATAAGAAATTGGTCGTGGAACAGGAACCGATGCATGGTTTGTTCCGCCCATGCCGATCAAGGACGCACTTTGGGCGTAGGGTGAGGGGGTTTTGACATAGATTCGAAGTTGGCACCCCTCGGAATGTATATATTCTCACAATGAATGGCAAGATTGAACGCCGTCTGTTTCAGTTCCCAGTTGGCTCCACTCGTTCACTCACTCAAAGCAACAGGTGCAATTCAAACCGTCTATTGGGCACGCCTCTACATATACACATCTCTTCATTCTCAGGCGGATTACAATCCGCAATTTCTTTTTGTACACTAGATCTTAGACGGGGCATGGGGGGTTCGATGATCGAGTGTGAGGGGGGTTTCGAGTACAAGCTCTCAGGGAGATGTGTGTAACGTTCTCGAAGTGCTATCTACAGATTTTATTGTACATCTTCGAAACGCGTTCGGGGTGGCGGGTATTCTAACGTTGGGGCGGGCTGGCTCCCGGCACCTCCCTCTGGATGGGAGTCGTGGAGTGGCGGTAGGGTGTCCGGTTCTCGTAGGTGGGTTCTTAGTGCGGTTGCCAAACAAGGCGCGGTGTATGAACGAAGGTGCATGCTGGGCGGGTGGAAGGCGAGCTTTGTAGGTCCAACCATGCGGCCGTCTCGTGGCGTGCTAGATGGCCGAAAGAATAACGTTTAGATCACGGGTAACAGCCCTGATGAAGATGATCATTTTGCCCCGTTCGGGAGGAGTGCGTGCAACCGCCTGTCGAGTGTTCGATGGGGCGGACGTCGAATAAGGTCTTTTCGGTGAGAGGATCGCTTGGGCGACTGAGCATTTGCTCTGGTCCGACGACGAAGTTTCTGCGAGAGTGGTCAGACCTGTTCGTTCCTCCGCATGAAGATATTTCATCGCAGTAATCAAGGCGTGTGCGTGGCTTGGTTCGGCAATACGCCGTCGAGAAGGATTGGAATCCGCGTAAAGCAAAGCGGCCTTGGTGCGTCCCTCACGCGTCTCCTCTTCCTCCGCTCTGTGGACTTCTGTTCGACTCGCTCGTCAGCCAGCTTCCCTTCCTGCACGCTGTGCACTTCGCCTACCCGCCCTGCTCTTGCGATTTGCTCGATGCTCTCTTGAGCCACTTTCTCTTTCTGCTGCACTGTCGGCTTCGGCTCGTCGATCTTGCGACTCTTACTTGTCGCGACTCCTCCGCCAATTTCTCTTCCTGCACTTTGCTGCATTTTGCATTCAGCTGTTTTATGTTCCTCGATGCGCTGCTTGGCCGACTTCATTTCCTCGACTCTGCGCGAAGATAGATTCGTTCTTCACTGGGCCTTGACAATCCCCAGAATCGGCCATGGCATACCAACACCGACCCTCCGTCCATCTCACTGCAGTGGCTCAATTCCCCGGCGTATACCCTTGCCCGGGATACGGATTCGGCCCCTGTCATTGATTTTGCCCTTGCCCAGCATAGGGATTTGGCCCCTGTCCTTGGTTTTGCCCTTGCCCAGTATACGGATTCGGCACCTGTCCCTGGCTTTGCCCTTGTCCTTGCCCCGGCATCTGATGCTGAACACTCGGCGACCCCGCCGGCGGTCCATACGGTGACATCCTCTGATACTCCACATTCCCCGAAACCCCCACAGGCGCCTTTCCATGCGGCACAGACGGCGTCCCCGACGCTGAGGTCACGGGCTGGTCGGACCGCAGCAGTGGTGAATTGCTATGTCTCTCCCCGTTATTGTGCGGAGCGTGCGGTGATCCCGCACGTGGAGAGGGATTGTTATGCGGCGATCCACCCGATTCGGGTTTGAAGGCCGGGTCTTGGGACGACGGGCTTGCGTCTGGACGTGGGAGCGGGATGTGGCTCATGAATTTCGGGTACAATACTGCCGTCAGGTCGGGAATGGGCGCGGGAGCTATGAGACGGGCTTTGTCGGGTTTCAGAGAGTGGTCGGCGGTTGTTGCTAGGAATGTGAGATTCGTTTGGAGTCGTTCTTGATATCTATTGAGCAATCACGTTTTATTGTAAGCATGGGACGCATCAGGCAATAAGCATCTGCGATGGATGATAACATACCTCCTGTATTCTTGGGGATCAGCCCCTGGATGGCCTTGCAACCGCAACAGCACATGTATCAAATGCTGGTTGATCTCCAGAACCTGAATACGCAGCCCAGACCAAGGTCAGAAAAGCGGGCCAAACGGCATTGAGTCATCAAGCACTCACCTGATTGATTGTAGCTTGACTTACAGGTGGACCTGCCGGAGGAGTCGGTCGCGGGGAGCTTTGCACCGTTCCTGGCTGTGCTCGTATTTGACCAGTCGATCCGTTCTGGAACGAGTTCGACGCCATCGGCGGTCGCTGTTGCTGGGGAAAGCTCATGGGTTGGGACACCATACCCTGCTGTTGCAACTGTTGTGGTGGAGGTTGCTGTTGCTGTTGCTGTGGCGCCGAGTACGCATTAGGAGGCGCATACTGTTGCTGAGACATCCCACCATCCTGCCTGATCTGCTGCTGCGGCTGCTGCTGCTGCATAGGCGGCCCAGCTAGCATCGGCCGCCCACCTTGTTGCTGCATCACATATTGGGGATGTTGCTGTATTGACGGTTGCATCTGCTGCAACTGCTGCTGGGCTTGCGGATATTGGAAGTACATGGGACCCTGCTGCATTCCCATGGGCATCAAGCCTGCAACCGGCTGCATCAAAACTTGCTGTGGTTGAAAGCGTTGCTGTTGCTGTATCTGTTGCCCTTGCTGTAGGTACTGCATACCAGGACCAGGAAACGGGCCGCCGGCCATGGACCCGGGCACGGACCCTGGCACTGCATATTGATATCTCGTCTGCACCAGCGGGTTGTTGGTGAGGAATTGCGCGCCGGGGTGTTGTTGTGGGGGCAGGGACGTGAGAGGCTGCTGGACGTGTTGTTGTTGTTGTTGTTGTTGCCGCTGCTGCAAGTTCTGTTGCAGATGTTGCGGAAGTTGCTGGAGGTGCTGTTGCGGGAACTGTTGGAGTTGTGGATGCGCTTGCAGATGCTGTGGATGTTGGTGAGTTGGAGGCTGTCCCGGCTGCTGTTGTGACTCTGACATTGGAGAATCCTACGTCGGACCGCGTCGCCAGCTTTGACGGTGACGACGGGGAAGTTCGGGGGGAGGGAGACGGCTATAGCTATAAGCGACGTGTGGGATCGTGGATGCTTGACAGAGGATTGGCCATCCAGATTTGGCGTGCCAGAAGGAGATCTCGTTGACCGAAACTTCTTTGCACGGCGGCGACGCGATGGAACTTGCCAAGTCGGACATGCCCGTGTTCTGCAGTACAAGTTGCCTTCATCGGCGACGCCTCAGGCAGAGGTACAATGATGTGGATGGCAGATAACCACCACGGAAAATGGGATGGGGTGAAATCTAAACTACCGGTTACGGGAGATTGCGTCTGGTCTGCGGCCATCGCCAAACACCACCGAACGCACAATCGAGAGGAAAATCTTGGTGCTTAGGACGTCCCGATTGTGCACTTTCATCCGTAGTGGTCGTCTTCCAGGAATCTCAAATGGCGTCCAGTCTTGGTTGATACATTCGGGGTTGGGGCAACCCACCAATCCATGGACGAATTCCATTCTTCCCTTTCAAGCTTGCCATGGCCGAGACGACAGCCGGCGTCGGATGTTTTTCTTCACACGCCCGTGGCAGTCTGGGCACACGGAAGACGTTCGATACTCATCTAGCAAGTAGCATGGGATGCTGTTTCTTGCAAAGAGTGTGCGGAATCTGATTTCCATGATGAGTTGGCATATTGTAATACATAGTACCAATGATAGTCACTCACCCTTTGGTCTTTGATGACTCCTGAATGCGCATGGATTTTCCAGCATCGCTCCAATCACCCAAGATGACCGAAAAATGCTTTCCATACAGCCGTTGCATGTTCTTGATGAGCTTGCTCTCAGACTTTTGCCGCAGTGAGAACGCCTTGAATCTGCGAGCCACGTGAATCTCATCCTGGTAAAACTCATCCAGGGCGGGATCTGGGATATGAATGTCAGCCCATGTATTACCAAATTTGAAAATCAAAGAAGTAGAACATCATACCCGCATGTTCGTAATCCACGATGAATGCTGAGAACGCCTCAATGTTCATGCTCTTGTGCGATGGAATATGTGATTCCATCTCAGCGATGCCCGCATTGATCTTTCGCTCTGTCATGTCTCTTTGAAAGTACCGAGACTTTGTCTCGACCGCCCGTTGATTGGATGTGTATCTGATATGGGGTGGTGCATTGTGAGGGCAGTGCAGCGGAATATCGAACGGGAGGGATGGTGGGGACAGTGACCGGGGGGAGCGGCAGCGGAGACGGGGGGCTGGCGGGCGGAGACGGGGGGTTGGGCGGTGGAGACGGGGGTTGGGATGGTGGAGACGGGGGGATGGTGGGCGGAGACGGCGGGCTGGCGGGTGAGGTGCGTGGTGGCTGGGGCGGGTGCGGGGAGGGTGGTTGAGGGGACAACGGGTTTGCCCGGGAGGGCAGCGATGGCGTCCAGATATGCCTGCACGCGCCCACACTTATTGCAGGCCGCCCTGGCTGTCTTGACGTTGTTCACAATGCCCGTTTGCCATGCAGCGGACGTCCGAGCCCCGCAAACAACGCAGACTCCTCCAGGAGCAAGGCAGGAGTAGTTTCGGTCGTCCCTACCCCTTCCTGCTCCAGCACCAGATTGAGTTCGGCGTGGGGGTGCTTTGGGCATGGTTGTTGTCGTTGTTGTCGTTGTTGTTGTGTTGTCGTTGTTGTTGTTGCTGTGTTGGGGTGTGGAACTCGGCGTGTGCTGGGGTTGGAAGAAGAGAGCGCGAGGAGGAGGTCTTCAAACGTCGCATACTTTTTAAACTGACGGACACGCTGATAATAGTGTCGCCGCTGCGCTCGGTTGACTCCAGCTCTACGGAGATGCAGTACGACTTGCTTCAAACCAAGCCTTTCATTGACGTAGCGCAGAAACATTTGCATGAAATGCTCTTGTACGTTAACTTTGAGGTTTGTGAAGATGCTCGTAGCCGTGTACGCTGCGGTCTGTTGGCAATACCGCATGCGGATGGGGGCGAATCCGTGAACATCACAGTAGTCTTGAACCCATGGATGCAACTCTTGCGCGATGACCGGATTGCCGTTGTAGCCTGGATTGTTTAGCAGCTCAAATGTCACACTGATGTGCTTCTCGGTGATGTCCAGGAAGTCGTGTAGAGGATGATCAGCTGTGGTGGGGTGCAGACGTAGCAGTCAGGACATTGGTTTATGGGAAATATACAGTGTACCTCAAAAACTCACCAAGGTAGTACTTGAGAAAAAAGCTGGTGTGGCGTGCAAGGATGTGAACATTGCCGATGAATGTTGTCAGGCGCTCCCTTTGAACTTGATTTTGATTATGGATGATTCGGTGAAGCGAAACCTTGGTGCTGGCATGTGTTTGTGGGCGGGGTCGTTGAACTGGTGGTGGTGGTGGTGGTGGGGGTTCAAGCACCAGGGATCCACCCGGTGTGCTGGGAAAAAGGAAAGGGATAGGAGCGGGGAGGTTCAACGGACGCTGCAGACCCCTTTTCTACAGGTGAAAGCCCTCGCTGCTGGTGCTGCCCGTCGTCATCGCCGGAACTCTCGCTGACCATGTCTGCAATTGCTTCAGGCAAGTGGCGATGGACAGAGGGTGGGAGCTCAAATTGTGGGGGTTGCAATGGTGTCTGCACAGTGGTTGGCAGACGCGGGGTAACGGGAGTAACCTTCCTCCTCTTCCGCCGTGGTGGTGTGGTTACTCCGGTAAAGATGCCACACCACAGGTGCCCCTGGAGCGCCTGGTGTGATGCCATGATGGCTGTGCTGTGCTGTGCAGGCAAGTGGTGAGATCAAGGGGACCGAGCAAGGGGCCTGCTCTTGAGGAGGATCCAGGAATCCTGCTTACCTGCGATGTGTTGAAGGCTTTTAGAGGTTGGTTGGGGGTTTGTCTTGATGTGCAAGGGTGGAAGTGTGCGCAATTGTGGTTTGGTGAGAATGTCTGTGGGGGAGAATGTGCTGGAAACCTCAGCCAGAGGAGCCTGGGGAATTTCGAGACGTGCCCCGGACTGGGGCTGGGATGTCTGGGGAAGGTAGGTAGGGTTAGGGTTAAAGGTTAGGGTTAGGGATGTCATATGAGCAAACAAAAAGAGCCATACGCCAAAAGTCTTCCTTACGGATCGCGAACCTATTATATGCCTACACTGTCAAAATACTGTCAAACCTACCTACTTTTGCGGTCCCTGTCTCTGAGACCTCCTCCTCGCGCTCTCTTGTTCCAACCCCAGCACACGCCGAGTTCCACCCTCCGACACAGCAACAACAACAACGACAACACAACAACAACGACAACAACGACAACAACCATGCCCAAAGCACCCCCACGCCGAACTCAATCTGGTGCTGGAGCAGGCAGGGGTAGTGACGACCGAAACTACTCCTGCCTTGCTCCTGGAGGAGTCTGCGTTGCTTGCGGGGCTCGGACGTCCGCTGCATGGCGAACGGGCATTGTGAACAACGTCAAGACAGCCAGGGCGGCCTGCAATAAGTGTGGGCGCGCGCAGGCATATCTGGACGCCATCGCTGCCCTCCCGGGCAAACCCGTCGTCCCCTCAACCACCCGCCGTGCACCCGCCCCAGCCACCACGCACCTCACCCGCCAGCCCCCCGTCTCCGCCCACCATCCCCCCGTCTCCACCATCCCAACCCCCGTCTCCACTGCCCAGCCCCTCGTCTCTGCCGCCGCTCCCCCCGTCTCCGCCCCCCAGCCTCCCGTCGCCGCTGCCGCTCCCACTGCCCCTATCCCTAACCCCCTTGCAATCACCAGCCTCCTCAACCCCGCCCCAATCTCCGCCCTTCTCAACCCTGCCCCCATCCCCACCCGCCCCACCCGCGCTGCCGCCATAGCAGGGGCCGCAGCCGCAGCAGCAGCAGCAGCAGCGCCCACCCTGACGACCGGTGACGAGGAGGAGGGGTATGTCGAGATGGCGCAGGAGGAGCTGGCCGCGCTTGAAGAGGAGGAGGGGCACTGGAGGGCGTTGGGAAAGCTAGTGAGGGAGACGTGCGGTTCAACAACACGCCAGGTGATGAAGGCCCACACCACGCCCCTCTTCGAAGCACACCGAGCGCGCCTGGCCGCTGCAAAGCAGAAGGCCGAGGAAGTGCGGGCTTTTACCCCCGCCTCCGACGACGCCGATGATGAAGACGAGGAGTATACGTCGGTGGAGAGCAGCCTCCCACACTCCGAGTCCGTGTCGTCATACGGATCTACATCTGGTGGCGACGAGACAGCGGGCTCCGAGTTGTGGGAGGAGGAGGATTATGCATTTGCGTGAGGGTGAGTTCATCATTGTCTCCGAGACAACTGTCTCCGCCATCTCCACTGCTCCTGACACACGCTCTCTCATAGAGCGAATCGCGAGGCTGCCCCTATTCCGGGCTGTCTCCATCGATCGCGGGAGTTGAGAGCGGAACGTTCCATGAGATCAGAATGCAGCGCGACGGCGACTGAATTCGATCTGCAGTCTGAGAGGGAGTGTTTATAAACAACCCGTTTCAGCAGGAATAAAACGAAAAGAACCGTGAGGCAGAGGAAAAATGGTCGTGGCTCGAGCTGTTTGAGAGTGGGTAAGGTTGCTTTCTGTTGCGATACATAGTACGTACGGTAGTTGTGCTGTTCAGTTAACACCCGCGAAGCGCCGAGCGCGACAGTAGTTACCACGCCGCGCCTAGCGCGACAGGGGTCATAATCTGAACAAACAAAGAAGTTGTCTGGGAATGGGAATTGAACTTGCGACCTGCACGTCTGCAGGGAGAGCAAGATTCAACTGTGCCAAAGCGCCAGTGTTATCAGAGTGCAATTACAGTAATAGGTGGCCAAAAGAGCGTCCGAGAGAGCGTTCCATCACGTGGGTTTCATCACGTGAGCGTTGCGCAGGCTTTAATAAGTCTGATCCAGACCGAAGACGATTGATCTTCGAAGCATGTTCTATCGAAGCCTTAAAAAGCCAAAAATCAACCCACCCCCATCTCCCGCCGTAGAGTGGCATCAGTGCATGAATTAAAAGGAGGTCCATAATATTTACAAATATCAAGGAAACCCCAAAAGTCCAATCAGACAAGTACAAACAGCGGCAACTTGGTGGTGAAACTAAGGATGCAACAATCGGGAACAGAGAAAGTCATCTCTACGGGGATTATGTTTTCACAGCGGGAGCCCACTGGGCTGGATTGTCGCTGCGTCTATACAGGCCCGGGTGCGATGGGGTATGTTGGCGGAAAGGAGAATCCTATCGAGAGGAGTTGGAAAGAAACTCGATTCGGCCCCTCACTTTCCGTGCAAGGCAGCGATGAGAGCGGCGCCTTCCCCAGACCCATCTCGTGCTTGTTCCAAAACGACGTTTTCGGCCATGATACCCAGCAATTCACGTAATGCATCGCGCATGCGGTTGGCAAAGTGGGGGTAGTGTTCTGCAAATAACAAATGATAAGATATCGGCCGTCATGGAAGAAAGAGGAACACAGAATGGCGCATTCTCAGAATGATCTCAACACTTACCAAAGACACTTCCGTCAATAGCGACCGTGCAAGCATCAAACCGGTTCATTTTGGTGATGATAGCAGCGACACCAGCAGCGCTCAGCCGAGCCGCGCGAATGCCCACAAGCTCACACACATGCTTCACAACCCGTCGATCCTGCACCGACGTTGCCGGGATCTCCATAATATCCTCCAAAACTACTTTCGTGTCAGACAACTCCAGTGAATGGTCACGCTCGATTCGCGACATGTAAGCCGTCTCGAACTTGTAAGGGACCTGCAGCGGTTTAGACGAGGTGCCTTTGAACAGCTCGCCCGTCGACACGAGGTCGATGAGGATGTACCGCACGATTTCGCCGAGGTACATGCCAGAGATCATCTTCTCGAAGATCTGTTTCCCCGTGTTGAGCGATGCGCGGTCCAGCATGCGGTCCCAGCTGGTGAGCGGCAGTACAGACTGCTCGTCGTAGGCTCCCCATTCGGTGTTGATGACCATTTCGCCAGTGGTCTTCTTTCCCTTCCATTTTTTGATGTACTCCATTTTCTCGACGTACGCGGCGTTGGTGCCCGTGCCGAGAATCACTCCCACAAACGTTTGGGGATCGCGGTATGCGTGCGAAATCAACGTTCCGACGGTGTCGTTGACCAACGCGGTGACAGTGAGTTTGTAATTGGCCTTCCTCAGCGATTTGTTCAGGAGCCCGACCACATCCTGGCCCTCAACTCCGCTGCACTCAAAACCTTTGTTCCAGTGCATGAGAGCGCCGTGGTTGAGAGCAGTCTGCTGCACGGGGAAACTGAACGTAAAGCCGATATTGCGGGGCTCGAGGACATCTTGACCGATGGAAATTAAGAATTCCCCAATACACTTGGCAAAGAAGTCAAAGAGAGCCTCTCCTTTCCCCTTCTTGAGCTCATCCGAGATGGAGTGTTTCGACTGACGCACTCGGCTCTGTCCGTTGCCCCGCAGTTCAACCAAGCACACCCGGAAATTCGACCCTCCGAAATCCAGAGCGAGGTACGACCCCGTTTCTTGTCCTTTTGGTCTCGCGACGACGTACGACGGGATCATTTTCAGGGTATGTCCGTCCGCATCCAAGCCCTTCTTCATCTCGTTCACGAGGTGTCTGACCATGGTCTGCAATCGGTGCGGCGGGACGGTGAACTCGCGTTCGAGTTGCGGTAACGTACCGTCCGCAGCGACGAACGAAGGAACGCTGTAAGATGGTCGGCGTCCATGCGTGGTGCCGACGTTTACGGCTGTCGGCGACTGCAGGACGTTCCCGGATGCGGAGGTGGAGCCGAGCAGGGACTCTGTGAAAGACCGCATCTCCAGCTGTGCGGCATCGTGCGTCAGTGGCACGCCGAGGAGCGCTTCTGACCTATCGACTTCTGAGACACCCTGGTCTCTCTTCCTGTGCTTTGCGTTGACCGCGCTGTTGAGGAGGTATTGGGTGGCGGCGGCGAGGGCGATACCAGTCGTCACGCCAAAGAAGAAGAGAGGAGTATCGAGATTTGGCATTTTGGAATGAGGTGATGGGCGGGAAACGAGGGACGGTGATGAGGGAAGTTATGCTTTTCCTGTCTTCACGGCACGAACGAGACAAGGACAGAAAGGATGAGGGATCGCGTGGTGTGGGACTTCAAAAGCCCCTCTGCTGGCGCTTTGTTTGTTGGGGACGGGAAGTGTAAAGAACGATATGGCTGCCGTCGGCGGTCAAGAAAGCCCTGAGCGCGCACCATCATTCTCCTCACTCTGGGCCTCTGTCCGCCGCTTGCAAGCCTCCCCTCATCAGAGTCCCTCTCCGTTTTGGCCATACCGTGTGACGACGTCCCAAACCTGCCAAATCCGAGCTGCAACTTGGTGTGAGGACCGGGATCCGGAAGCCTTCGAACAGCGCCAACTTCAAATCCAAAAGCGCCAACCCCATGTCCATCGTGAGCCCCGACCACCGCTGGTAAATGGTACAGAAAAATGATATCAGCCCCACGTCATTTCGTACGCTGTCGAAGGGTCAGCGACGAAGCCATACTCCGCCGGGAGACGTTGCTGTCAGAGATCCTCCATAATCCATATTGAGTGGTGAAACGATATTGAAGGTATTTTTGGATCTTACTGCTAGCGTTATATGTACAAAAATTCAGTAGTTTAGGTATGTCAAAGCAAAGTCCAAAACAAAAAGTCGTCCGGGCAGACGGAAAAGCCCGGCCCCGGCTCACTTAAACGGCCGTACCCCACCCATCACCGGCCTCTTCGCCTTCGCCATCGCCCCGTAGCCCCTTCCATCCTCCGCACGCGTACTCTGATGCGCCATCCAATCCGCATCCGTGAGCAACGTATACTCCGACAGAACATCCACATCCAGTCCCATCTCGTCCAACCCCCATGACAGCGACGGCGCTGGTGGTGGGGCGGTAGAAGTGCTGGATGATGCCCCTATGCCTCTCACGATGCCTGTCCGTTCTGCTCCAAATTCGATACCAAGATGCCAGTCCATCTCGGGTGGTGGAAGGGTGCTGGTTGGAGCGGTGTAATCGAGGGTAGTTGGAGCGGTGTAGTCGAGGTTATAGAGTGAGGATGGGTATGACGCACAGGTAGCGACGCCGCTGAGGAGATCGTCGATCCACTGTGTCGTGGATGGATCGTCAACGACGAATGGGATATCGGCGGGGAGTGCACCGATGCTGGGGTCGACTTGCATATCATGCGTGGCCGCGGAAAAGCCTGGGAATGGCGACGAGATGGATGGATGGCTTATGGCTTCACCGTCCGTAACCATGTAGCGTTCGGCCAGCCGCTGCTTCTCTGCGTGTGATGAGGAATATGCCATATGCTCTTCTGCAGCTGGCTGGCTGTAGGCGTCCTCATCGTCCATGCGCAGCCAGGCATCCCATTTGGTGTCGAGGTCTATGTCCATGTCGGCTTTATTATCGTGACCGAAATCCATGCTATCAGAACTTTTGGCAATTGAGTACTCGTATGAAGGCAGTGGTTCATCGAAAACTTCCTGCAGTCCGAAGGCGTTCGGGTACTGGTCCGCCTCGCTCTGGTCTAATAATGGCACGGCGTTGGTGTAGCCTTCGCTTGCTGATGGCTGGACGGATTGAGCAAATGTTGCGTCGTCGAAATAATTGCAAAATGATCCATCGACGGTGCCGCTGTACATCGTATCCATCGACAGAGTGGCGGAAGGCAAAAGATTGAACGCGGATGATGGCGAGATGCCCCACTCTAATGACCTCACTGAGCCCACCTCCATGTCCAAATCCAAAGGAGGCAGGTCAGCCGAAGCGCCTAGCCGTGGCGAATCCTCGTGCAGATAGGGCGGTAGAGGTTCTGTGGTGGCTTCGCCTGCTCCAGGCGCCTGCCTATATGGAGGAGCGGTGATCTCCTCGTGATCTGTTGGCGTGATGGAAGGTGCTTCGTACGTATATCGTGGTGTGGAAGGACAGGCCTCACTAGCATCCGACGTAGACGTGGTCACAGACATGGTTGGCATGGCCGCGCTTTTGACGCCGTAAGGTGGAAGTGGCTCGCATTCTGGGCCAGCAGAGCGCTGTTCTTCCACTGTGTCCCGCAAATCGGGCAACAGAAGCGACTTTTGCGACATCCGCTCTGAGTCGACAACGCGTTCAAAATGGTCCTCTGGCTTCACATCCGCATCCTTTTCGTCTGAGTTCAGTGATTCCAGCTGCCCACAATCATCCTCGCGTCCAATATGATGCCTTCCGAAACGCTCCTGCACCTTCAGCATAACATACACCATCTCGCTATGCGTGACTTTCGCATCAGCAACAAGTTGCTTCGCGTCTCGATATCTCTCTCTGGCCTCCGTCGACAGCCAGACGGTCCACCCCGTTCCTCGCGGCGCCGAGCGCCGCGCCTCGTCTATTATTGGGTTCAGCCGATCTACGTCGAGTTCGACTGAGTGTGCAAAGAAACAGTCGAGCAGGCTGGTGAGAAAGTGGTCGTACGGTTCTACGAATTGCGTTCGATATTCCTGTGGAAAGTGAGTGTCGGCGGTCAGTTTTGAATAACACCAGTAGAATGGAAAATGAAAGAACACCCTGCCCCTTATGCTTGCGGGAGTCGGGACAATACAAGCCGAGTCTCGCAAAACAAACGAGAGCGGGCCCGCCTCGCTAGCCCATCCCCTCCAGCGCACACCACAAACGCACGACTCGCTCGCACGCCCCACCTCCGCAATACCTCCAAAACGCCCACTCCTTCACTTCGGCCCAACTGCACTAACCACAGGCAATTTAACCCCGTGCCTCTTCCCCTTCCTCGACGACTCATAAATCTTGTCCCAGTTCTCCTTGCGGGACGGGTTTCGTCTCGATTGCAAGGCGTTCTGCTTTTGCTGGTACTCTATGGCCCATAGCTGTAATTCGGCGGGGGTGAGGTTCGGTGGCGGGTTGGGTATGGTCGCTTGTTGCTGTTGTTTTGGTGCCGGTGTGGCAGCGGCCGGTGGCATGACTTCACTTCGCAAGGGGTGTTTCGACAGCCTGTGGATGGGTGGGCCTGCTGTAGGAGACCGTAGGACGAGATATGACTATCCTCGTAGACTGTTGCGAGGCCAGGGGGTCTGTTGAGTAACTGTAGATGGGGATGGTGGTGGGTGAATTTCGAAGTTGGAACCGACGCCAAGTCGCAAGGCAAAAATGACGGCATGCCCCGATGCACCGGCCGCTGTCTCCTTTTTGGACATGGGCCTTGTCAAGGGAAGACTGGATTCGCAGTTCAGAAGCTCGTGCACACAACATAAAGCGGCATCCGATAAACGCAAGATACCCTATTGCTCCGCCCTCGCCCGGCTCCTCTCAACGCTCGCCTGAATTCTGTCCCGCGAAAGGATATGTGCTAGGCGCTGGTTCGCTCCATCCCTTGTGATACCCTCCAAAAAAAACCCGAATTCGCTCCACGATGGAGCCTCTACAGATCAGCAGAACCTCCGACAAGGAATACTTATATCACCACGTTGCATTCCCGCCACATAAACTTGTCATTGCGTCGCGCCTGGAGGAAGACGACGAAGACGATGAGATAGCAGTGGACCCGTACTTTTTTGACCCATCCTACACGCTCGCGGCTGCTACTGGTTAGACTTGATGAATATTGAAGTCTCGCATCATAGCAGGAACAAAACTCCTAATCTTTTATGGCGTGCACATCACAGGATTTTCGGTCTGGGAAGGCGCCATCGCTCTCCTCTCCTTCCTCCGATCAGCCGAAAACCCCGAAGCCGTCGAATTTCGCCGCAGAGTCATCGAAAACCGCGAGAGTGTGGTCGAGCTGGGCAGCGGGACGGGAATCGCCGGGCTAGGTGTTGCGGCGCTGGGCGGAGACGTGCTGCTGACGGATGTGGCCAGCGTGTGCGATTTGACGCGGGCGAATGTGCGGCGGAATGCGAACAGTTCTGCGTCGGACAATGGGCATGCGCCAATATCGAAATGGAAGACGACGACTGTGGTGGGGCGAGGGACAGCGAGCGTGCAGACGTTAGACTGGTTCGAACCTGTATCTCAGCAATGTAAACTCACCGACCCACGATCCGCTCCCATCATCATGGCGGCCGAAGTCGCATGGCTGGAGGAACTCGTCCCCGCTTTTGTGAAGACAATGGCGGATCTTTTGGAACCCAGTCCTGAAGCACCTACCAAAGTCTGCTACTGGGCATATAAGGAGCGCGGCACGGAGGCCAGCAAGATCTTCACCACCATGAGCCATGTCAAGCGGCTGTTTACGGATCAAGGTTTGGAGGTCGTGGAGATTGGCAAGGAGCCATCGAGGGACGATCCTGGCAAGCATGTGCTGGTCAATATTGTCAGGAAGCGTCGGAAGGAGGTCTGAGGGGACTTCAGATTTCGATCAACGAGCCAGAATTGCACTTATTGCAAACGCACGGACGTTGCACCAACGTGAGCACCGTTCACTAGATGACTAGATCCATAGACTCCTCTTTGCTCGATTCGTTTTCAGAGGATCTGTTTTCTTATTTGACTAGACGTACATAAAAGGCAGTACTTAGAATATCGACGGAAGCCTTCAATAGAAACCACACGTTGAAACAAATGCAAGTGACAATCATCCGATCACCAAGAGTTCTTCATCTGAGTGTTGGTGTCTGAAGTAGATGGTTCAAACATTAGGAGCACTTCCACGAAATCTCTAAGCAACCAATCCCAACCACCTACCCTTGAAATCACCGAACAGGCTCCCAGTGCTCCCTGCATGACTCAACATTTGATCACGATGATTCAAGGTCACGCTCGCATGGGTGCCCGCATTCGACGACAAAACCGGCCCGTCGTAAAGTTCGTCGAGCAGCTCGCGCGAGGGTTTGTCGTACAGCGGCGCTTTGGATTTGCGGCGCGGGCTGTCGGTGGGGTCGTTGGGCGTGGCGGTGGTGAAGGTGGAGGTGGAGGCGGAGCGGTCGGCGATGGGGTTGGTGTAGGCGGACATTGTTATCGGGTTGCGGGAGGGGGTTTGGGTTTCAGTGGTTCAATTGAATGTTGGATTGGATGTGCTTTTTGCTGGCTGTGCGTTGGGGTATCAGATGTTTATAAAGACCTTTGCGCACCTTCGGTATATTATGACTTTGTGCAATATAGGATGGATATGCAAGCCTGTCTGATAACCTCAGAAGACCTTTGGCGAAGAGACGTCTGAGAGAAACGCGTAAACAAGAGAGAGCGTCACGCGTTTCTCCGAAAACGCATTGGGTCGGGAGCTCTCATTTACCTCCGTACCCAGAAGATGCCACCAACACAAACCACCGCCAAGGCGGCACCTGCCGCAAAAGCACCTGCAGTGACCGGGCGGCCCAAGACCGGATTAAGCACACCCGCTACGACCGTAGCTGCCGGTTCATCAAAAGCAACAATCAAAGGTGGCAAAGAGACGTTAACTCCAAAGACATCAACTAAAACTGCACCGGATGTGCAGCCAGCGAAGATTGCCACCACAGGAGACGGAGATGCATCGCAATCACAACCAAAAACCGTTGAAAAATACTCCGGCTACATCCCTCCCCCCGGCATCTACGTCACAATGGGCCAAGTCCTCACCCGCCGCTACGTCGCCCTGCTCGAATACCAACAATCCCAAGAAAAGCGACAAGCAACCCTCGAGAAAACCGGTGATCAACCCACCGGCAAGGAAGATAACCCGAACCCACCACCCGCGTGGGTGACAAAAGAAGGCCAGCTGCCCGAGCTGTTCAAAATGGTCGTGGACGTGTACACGCGGGCGATTGAGGACACACCGACTTTACACGACGCGTACATCGAGCTCGGGGCCTTTCTCGAGCACCACAGTCCCGCCCCCCAGGGTCTAGAACAGGCAGTCGATGTCTACACCCGTTTCCCCTTCCCTCAAACAACCGAAGCAACACAAGACGACCTATACATCCACACCGAGATCGTCCGCGCGTTGATGCTGTTGAAACGGTACAAGGACCCGGCGCTGGTGGGGAGTATGGTTGCGGCGGCGAGGGTGGTGGGGATTGGGGCGATGAGTAAGTGGGTGGAGGAGTTGGATGGGGCGGGGCAAAGTAGGGTTTTGATGGAGGTTTATGCGGGGGCGAATCGGAAGGGGGTGGATGATCCGGAGATGGTGGCGTTCTTCAAGTCGAGATATTGGATGTAGGACGATGGACGTTGGACGTTGCGTTGTATATATGTACAGTATATGGCAGTATTCCACATCGAAACTCCGAAGCAACGCAGATGAAGCGTGCCACATCTCCCCTGATTATGCTGCAATTGCACCTAGCCCAACACCATTAGAGGTAGCATTAACAGCTTCCTAACATACCGGACCAGCCTGCGGTCCAAAAAACCCATCAATGACACGCCTGTCGATTGGCCGGTACCGGCTGCGACTGGCAGAAGAAGAACCCCAACGCGGCTCCAAGGATGAGTGATGTACATATGTAACCGTTCAGGGTCATGAATGCCATCACTGCACGTGAATGAGTATGGTCCCAATTGCCCTTCGAGAAGCAATCAAAGGCACTTACTTAAGAAGTAGCCCAATAAAAGTTCTGTGGCGTGTAAGAAGGTCCGGTATAACTGAATGGTCGAGCGGCCGCGGATGCTAAGACCGGAAAAGTGAAGCGAAAATGAGACATGTTAGGCCACTCTCCAATCAGCCGTTGCCATTTCCTCACCATGCCAATGCCATTCTTTGCTGTCCCAGTTGTGCACCCTCCAAGCTTCGTAGGCCAACTCCCTCTCTCTCACTCATTCCACCATCCCCAACCCTCAGCACACTCTCCGGCACTCGCACTCCCCCATCGCCACCAAGCAACCCCTCCCTTTCCTCATCTTCCATCCCGCCCGTCAATCCATACCGATGCCTACTGGGACCAGTCGCCGAAGCACCCAGCGCACTCGGTTGCGTCTCGAGCAGTTTAACGAGCCGTTTGTCTTGTTTCGTTCGGAAGGCGCGGAAGGCTTCGAATCTTACGGGTGGAGAATGATTTGGAGGGATGAGGGGAAAACCCGTAAGGAAGATGGAGGATGGTGAGGGGACTTACAGGAATGCTGCGAGTAGGATTGCCCAGCAGCTAACGAAGAGGCCTTCGGGACCTGTTTCGCCTCGGGAGATCAGATAAATGATACAGAACGGATGCCGGTTTGAATGGAGGGCATACTATCGCTTCTCCACCAGTCAAACACGATAACGACATCTAAGATATGGGAGGTCAGTTTCGCTGACTTGGGGGAGAGTGGCTGTACATATTCTGCCTGTACTAACTATTGCTCCAATTCAACACCATGCCGCCCATGGAGTGTCCGCCGCCGATTCCACCGCCGTGATGGCCTCCCCCGCTGTCTGTGTCATCGCCGGTCCCGCCGCCACCGTGCTCTGGGGGGTGGTGGCCTTCGTGGCCTTCGTGGGAAGCCATGATGCTATTACAGTGAGCACTGTGTTGCGGAGAACACCTTGTCAACTTGCGGAAAACGCAAGCAACGCGTTGAGACTCTCGAGAGCGTTGAGCAGCAAGTTGACATTCTGGTTGACATTGGGTGACATTGGGTTGACATCGGCAACCACCGTCATTGCCAGAAACAGAGACAACCCAAGCCCCGCTAACACCAACACAGTACGCAAAACAAACCCAGTCTTCTACGCAACCGAAACCACCACCACCACCATGGGCAACCTAGTCTCAAAAGACAAGTCCAAAGCGCATAAAATCCGCCAAAAGGACATGCTCCCAAAAGACAGAGCAATACTCGACCTCAAACTCCAGCGGGATAAGTTGAAACAATACCAGAAGAAGGTCAGTCCGCCTTTCCCCTCATCCACGATGAAAGCTGAGAGCTAATGCTTGCGACAATCGGAAAAGATACAATTAGTCCTAGACAAAGAAGTCGAAGTAGCAAAACACCATCTCCGCGCCGGCGACCAAGGCCGGGCCCTCCTAGCCCTCAAAAAGAAAAAATACCAAGAACGGCTCCTAAAACAGACCGACGACCAGCTCTTCACTCTCGAGCAACTCGTAAGTCTCGTGCCATCACCTTATCCCCCATCATGCCTATAAAAAACCTAACGCCTATCATGATCCACTTTTTAGACGGGCCAAATCGAATATTCATTGGTGGAACAGGATGTCATGAAGGGTTTGCAGCAAGGGAATGAGATATTGACGATGATTCATAAGGAGATGTCGTTGGATGCGGTGCAGAGGTTGATGGATGATACGGCGGATGGGATTGCTTATCAGGCTGTGAGTGTACGCGATGGGGTGGGTGACGCGGGGGGGCTCGTATGGCTTACATTTGCGCTTTGCAGGAGATCAATGATCTGATAAGCGGGTCGATATCGGCGGAGGATGAGGACGAGATTATGGCGCAGTTGGATCTGTTGGAGGCGGAGGAGGTGCGTTTGGTGTGCTACGCATACATCATTCCTTTTCCCGGAGTGAGACAGGTTAAACCCCGTTGGATGGCATTTACAGACGGTGGCCAAATTCCCCGCCATCCCAGAAAACACCGTACCCACACCCGCAATCGACACCGACGCCTTGCCAGACGTGCCGGACACCCTGGCGGATGACGCTGAGGAGGAAGCGAATGTGGGGGATACTGGAACGGCACCCGTAGCTACGAAAACGAGACAGAAGCAGAAGGAGAGGCAGCTGGAGGAGCCGCTGGCTGCATGAGTGAAGGGGACAGCATCTCATATATATACCATTGCACGCACCGACCACGGATTGTCTCACGGCGCCCTCACGCCGTGCATCGATGCGAAAGGTGACCCGGTGTCGCTTGTACATAACCACCATCCCAATATCGCAAGTCAATAATCAATAGAGCGTTTGCTTGGGAAGCGGCCGTGCACGCTACCCCACAGCTCTATTAGTATCACCAATGACTATCATACGTATCATGATCTACATATCTACGTCTAAATCTACGCCTTCCGATACAGTCTGAGAAAATACCTCATATTATTCAGCCTGGTCGGATACCTCAACCCCTCGGGAAACCGATACCAAATCGCATCCTCACTCTCCACCGTCTCCAGACACCTCATATTATCCAGCAATTGATAAACCATATACTCCCTCTTCCCCGCGTCACCCCCAACACTGCACTCTGAGAAACTGCCTGCCGAGTCGACTACTAGGAGTAAGGAGCCGGGGGTGAGGGCGTCCATGAGGAGGGTGATGAATTTGACGAATGCGGATTTGTTAGTGGTTAGGAGCTCGTTGAGGAGGAACATGGCGGTTGTTAGGGACGATGTTGAGATGGTTTCTTTTAGAGTGGTGATTTGGGTGGGTGTGGGTTGGAGGAGGTCTGAGACGCTTGTTGTTAGGTGCACGTGGGATGATGCGGTGGGGTAGTGCTGTTGTAGGCTGGCGAGGAGGGAGGGGAGGACCGTGCCGTAATTGGCCAAATCCTGGATATGAACTTCCAGATGCGATGGTATTCGTGGTGCTTGTGGTGATGATGACTCGTCCGTCGTCGGAATCCTCTTCTTGAGCCCAAACACCTCCATGCCACACATCGCCGCCACCACGCCCACCAGCTCACTCCCGTTCCCGGCGCCCAAACAACACATCTTTCCTCCCTTGACCATCACCTCCCTCACCGCCTTCACCCGCATAAACATCTCCCTATAGCATAGCGCGCGGCTCGGGATATACTCGGCGGCATAAACAGGTAGCAGCGACTCGGTGGTGAATATTGCGGCGTAGTTTCGGTTGAAGAAGTGGGTTTTTATGGTGCGGAGGTGTTCTGCGGTCGAGTCGGTGGTGGTGGTGGGTGTGGGTGGGAAGGCGGTGATGAGGGCGTGGAGGAGGTATTGTTCGGGGGAGGAGGGTGAGAGGAGGGTGCGTTGAGCGGAGTGGAGGAGGAGGAGGTCCGTGTCGTCTCTTTGTGTGGGGTTCGTTGGTTTTGAGCGAGCAGTGGAGGTGGTTGATGGGCGAGTATTTTGTGGTTTTGCGGATAGTTTTGCAGACCGCTTTTGCGAGGCTGGTTGCGGTTTGTATGCTTTTGTTGGTTGAGGCATTTCAGCGGGCAATAGTTCCTGAGGAGGTGGTGGTGGTACTAGGGAAAGAGGCCGTCGTCGCCGCTTGGCCATGGGTTCGCAGAGGCAGTTGCAACTTGCGGGGTCGAAAAAAGAAGCGCTTGGACGCCGGACGGGCGTGCGTTGACTGCGCTTTGTGAAGATAAGCGAAAGCGATGGCGATGACTCCTCGCGTCAGAATGCCCCCCATCCGCCATAAGAGCATTTTCATCAACCTGCCGCCCCCCCAACGTACAGTACGACATTACGACAAACCGCCGTCGGAAATGCCTGCTGCAATGTACGCCAACGAACCCCTCCCACTTTCAGCAGTGGATCTTCAGGTAGCCCCCGACTCCCGGCCCTCCCACACAGTCAAGACCTTCCCTCTCGGAGCCCCCATTCCATCCGCCCCACACGCCGTCTCCGTGTCACTCCCCACATGGCAAGCAAACGTCGGGTACGAGGAAGGCGACCCGGAGATCATTACAAAGCTGCGGAGCGGCTACCCTCGTTTTGTCTACCATGCAAGCGTAAAGAGGCTGACCGCGGTCTGCGAAGCCAAGTTTGCGAAAGATGGCGAGGCGTGTCTGGTGTACCTCTGCCGACGAGCCGCGGAGGAGTTCAGGAGGTTCTTCAAACACCGATATTCCTTCGAGACCAAAGCGGGCTGCAGCAGCGACGATGAGAATGCGAATGGATTAACAGCCAACTTAAAAGAACCCCCCGTCCGGATCGCAGAACTTACCATCTCGCCCACCACCTCCGCCGACTCTGTATTTTCCCACGACCCGCGTCTGACCACCATCGCCGATACCGCGCCTTGCGTCCTGCACGTCGCCGTCTTTCCGGGCTGCGAGACAGGACGCAAGGTGGCCAAACAGTTCTGGCAACATTCCGGCGAAGGTATCTCTAGCCGCTTCGCAGAACACTGTCTATACGTACTGGAAGCCAATCAGAAATCGAAAGGATTTGCCATCGCCGGGTATGCCCAAGGGTTGAGGGGAGCAGGCGCGAGGCATTACAGGAAGGATGAGTATACGCCTGAACGGCAGCATCATCTGGTGACTGTGGCGAGGCAGGACGCTGCGAATAACGAACATCACCTGTACGTCGAGGAGCGGTTCGGACGGAGCCTGGATTTCCGAACTGCAGCTGAGGCCAAAACGATCATCAAGAAGCGTATTGCTGGAGTCCTGGGAGACGCTGAAGAGCTGTTCCAGGATGGTGAGCCATTAACTGATGGCGTTCATACCAGCAACGGCAATGTTGTCGACACGCCAAGTGACGCAACATCAAATCAATCCCAAACTCCTACGACTCCCACAACCCCCACGATCCCGGGCCGAGGCGTCAACCTCAAAGAATCCGACGTATTTCTCTTCCCCTCCGGCATGAGCGCCATCTACAACGCCCACCGCCTCGTCCTGCACCTCCACCCCAACCGCAAATCCGTCCAATACGGCTTCCCCTACCTCGACACCCTCAAAATCCAAGAAAAGTTCGGCCCAGGCTGCATCTTCCTCGGCCACGGCGACACCGCCGACCTCGACGCTCTCGAGCACTCCATCCTCCCCACAACACCCATCTCCGCCGTCTTTTGCGAGTTCCCGTCCAACCCGCTCCTTCGAACGCCGGACCTTACCCGTCTGCGCCGTCTGGCAAACGCGCATAACTTCCTGATCGTCGTCGACGAGACAATCGGCAATTTCCTCAACGTGTCCCCGATTCTATGGGCAGACATCCTCGTCTCCAGCCTCACCAAGATCTTCTCCGGCGACTCCGACGTCATGGGCGGGTGCGCGGTGATCAGCCCTATAACGCCGCACTACGAAACCTTGGTAGCGACCATGCGATGCCTGTACGAGGACACGATGTGGTGTGAGGACGCGGTGGTGCTGGAGCGGAATTCGAGGAGTTTCAGAAAGAGGATTGAGAGGATTAATGCGACTGCGGAACGGTTGTGTGATTACTTGAAGGGGTGTGAGGGGGTTGTGGAGGTGCATTATCCGAAGTTTGTGGATAGGGAGTTGTACGAGCGGCATGCGCGGGTCGTCCCGGGGACCACAGCATCATCATCCACCGCCGCCGACTGCCCACCACCTTCCCCAATCAAAAACTACGGCTACGGCGGCCTCTTCTCCCTCTCCCTCTCCACCCCAGCACTTGCAATCGCTTTCTTCGACGCCCTCCAAGTCGCCAAAGGCCCATCGCTTGGCACTAACTTCACCCTGGCGTGCCCGTACACACTGATCGCGCACTACGGCGAGCTCGAGTGGGCGGAAAGTTACGGCGTGCCAAAGCATCTGGTTCGGGTTAGTGTGGGGTTGGAGGAGGCGGAGGTGTTGATCGGGATTTTTGAGAGGGCTTTGAGGGAGTCGTCTATATGTACATGATCTATAGTAGGATTGGGATACACTTTTCACTAGCTCGCTAGGCGCTATGGTAGTGAGAGATAGTGGGCCAATATAAGAGGTTGTGCAAAACTTATAAGTTATCTATCGCGAAGAGAAAATCTCCATTCAGCTAGGCCGACTCTTCTTCCGTCGTGTAGACCGCCCTCGTGCAGGTGGCGACGACGCGCTTGCGTTCGCGTTTGCGTTCTGGTTTGCATTCCGACGCCGTTTATTATTCGACGTTTCCTCCGGGTGAATCGACTGCTTCCCGCCCGTCTTCTTCGCCTTCCCGCCAGTTCTATTACCTTGGTTCCACTGTTGCGGGTTCTGGCTATGTGACGACCCGCGAGCCTTCTTTGGCTTTACCGCCGACGCAGCCCGCCCCCTTGATTGACCCTGCCGCACTGGCGAAGGTGACCGAGAAGGCCTTGGGGCTCGTTTCTTCCACTCCTTCGACCGCGCTTGCCCCTTTGCGCTTTTATACTTCTTCGTTGCAGCCCTTGCTGGTGGTCGAGACGGGACGGGTGACCGTGATCGGGAGGGTGAGTCGGTGAATTTCGTATGTCGCGGCACACCTGGGACCGGCATCGGCTCGTTGTCTTCGTTGTCGGAGTAAATTTCGATGGGACCTCCGCCGCTGGGCGATTCGCGGCGGGCGGGGGTGTAGGTGACGCCGCGGCGGCGGTCGGGGAATTTGTGGTTGAAGGCTAGGGCGGTGAAGGAGGAGATTCCGGTGCTACCGTGGATGGGGCGGTGTCGGCATTCCTGGATTGGGAAGTCATTGTTCAGGGCCATGCGTATGGTGTAAAACTAGAGTATGATTGTTCGTCGACTTACATCCCCCATATGACCCTAACGAAAGATGATCAGAAGATGTCAGCCCATTGAAACTCAATCACACACTGCACATGTTGCACGCCCACGAAACATACCCCGTCTCCGCAGTTATAGCAGTATATCGTGAGCTGGTCCCGTTCCTTATCCCCGCTATACGGCAAAAACACGAATTGTCTCCATTGTTGCGGACATTGCTGGATAAGGGATCGTGAGCGATGTTCTGTCACCTTACAAACCACTTTGAGAGGCGAAACAAGGCGAAACATACCATTGGGTGATGCCCGTTGCCGTCGTTGCAGAAGCCGCATCTGGTGTTATCACGCGCGTTCGGACATTCCTGAAGTTCCATGTTAGCGGAACGACCGTTCCGTCGATGACAATGCGAGAGGAGGACTCACGGCATAGATGTGACCCCGCTGCATGCACTTGAAGCAGAGTTTGCTCATTGGGCAACGGAGGGGATCGTGGTCGGCTTTGCATAGATAGCAGTTGGTTTCCTTTGAAAACCCCTAATCAGCGATCTAAGGCGTGCGGCATCGACGAATTCGAGAGCGTCCACCCACTCGTACCTTCTCGGGACAAAACCTGCTCGTATGCCCACTATGCCGACACATCCTGCAGAATCCCCTCCCCCCTGCCTCTGCAAAATATCTGCTCCTCCCCTTTCCGCGCACCTCCAGTGAGCCCTCGTCCAAGTTGGGGTTGTCGTCAGCGGAAGGGCTTCGCATCCGCATCACCTTGACCTCAAGGTCGACATCCTCGGGTGACTTTTTCTCCCTCCTTTTTTTGGAGGAGATAGAAGATACGCCGGGGCCTTCCATATTCTCCTCCGAGATCATGACGACTTCCGTCTCTGTCCACGAAGGCACGTGGGATAGAAGATCGGGGGGTATGATATCGCCGCTCACGGAAGCTTCCTCTTCCTCTGCCTCTTCGTCCCCTACAGGTACAAAGTCGTAAGGTTATTACGGAACTGTTATGGATATCCGGCTGTCACCCGCGAAGACAGTAATATCGAACCTTCATTCTCAAGCCGAAAGCTGTGCGAGTAATTGATGTGGGAAAGTGCTTCTTCGTCGCCACCATTCTCACTGCATTGGGGTGGTCAGCATCTTGAATTCTTGAGAAGAGTTACCCAAAAGACCGCAAGGCTATCCACACCTGTCCGAAGCTCCCTCATTATCTACTTCCGAGTCGTCCTTGTATAGCTCATCCTCGTATTTTTGACGCTCATCGTGGGAGTGTGGGTCGGCCATGTGCTTGCTCAGAAAATTGTTATTTTGGCGATAGTTCTGAAAATGCCGCCAGGGTATATTCCATACGCAGAACTACCGGGATGGTTGGAGTACGTAAGAATCTCCAGCGTTGTTCGCAGCTTGTCTGTCAGTTGGGATTCGGGATTGTGCTGAAGACGAATTTGACATTTGGACTCTATTTTGGACTGGAGTCTCGCGAGAAGCGCGAGAGCGCTGCGAGAGCGCGAGTGGCTGCGAGTGTCTTCAGCCAGAGACCAGAGATCAGATCACCAACCAACTGTCTTCCCATCACCATCTCACGCAGTTCTCCCTGAAGGCTTGGTCGCAAACATGCCTACTATTCACGTCCGCTCGCATGCGGAGTTCACCAAATACACAACAGGCCCAAAGTTATGTGTCGTCGACTTCTTCGCCACGTGGTGCGGGTGAGTAACGACCAATCTCCGCCCATTTTTCCGAAGAGATACAATGGCATTTATCTGACCACTTCTTTGCTCATAGACCATGCAAAGCCATTGCGCCACGGTTTGAAAAGCTCTCCGACCAGTATACGAATGTTGTCTTCCTGAAAGTCGATGTGGATGAGCACCAGGTAAGGAGAATGACAAGCGGTTGCGGCAGTTTTCCAGATACGACAGACCGTGAATCTCACATCATTCATTACAGAGCATTGCCCGCGAGTGCTCAGTCTCAGCCATGCCCACCTTCCACCTGTACAAATCCGGCAAAAAGCTCGATGAAGTTGTCGGAGCAGACATCGTCCGCGTTGAAAGGCTCGTGTCGCAGCACGCGTCCGGGTCCTCAGGGTTTCCGGCGTCTGGTGGGCGGGTACTAGGGACTGGTGCGCCTGTGAAGGGAGCAGCTGGAGGAGGTGCGGCTGCTGGAGAGGCATTGGGTCCAAATTATGCGCTGTGGGGTGTGATGGGTGCGGTGATCTTCTGGTTGTGGTGGAACAAGAATGATCCATCGCAGAACCTCAAGTAAGGGCCGATGTTCGCCGTTCAGCTTCGCCATCTGCGAGTTGCGACGGACGAGTCATTTGGGAACCCCTCCGGAGGGAATCAAAGGAGGTTGACCGCCTGGCCCTCGGGGTAAAAGAAACCCGGTGTATTGAGAACCTGTGCTGGGTCTGGCTGCGACGAAAACCGACATGGTTTGCAATCGACAGAGAAAAGTCCATCGAAAGAACGGCGGACTCCGTTCGTCCCCAGTAATACATTCAGTGCTCATTTTCGTTATGCCCCGCGCAGTCCGAGAGTTCGTGAAATTATACTCAATGCACATATTCACATCACAACATTCCGTCATTTCTTCTGTTTGCAGCGAGGAAGTTAACAACTTTTACAGGCTGAGTCAAGCGACGTGCATCCGGCAACGTCCCCAAACCGCAATGGAGTAAGGAGCAGACGTCCCTGATGTGTATCCTGGCTGCACACCGAAATCGTCGTCAGTATTTAAGATTCGCACAACAGCGCAGATTTGCATTCGTCAAACGTAAATAGCCTCCGCACAGCTGTAGCAAATCATATTCGTACGCACAGCTATATGAGATCGTCGCTTTTCTATGGAACTAGCTACTCCTTGTTGTCGTTCTCACCGTCTTCGTTCCCATTCTGGCTCCCATCATCATTCAGCATCATCATCATCCGCCGCAGGCTCCTGACCTTGAAACTGTGCAAGGTCTAAGTAGGATTGACAGTCGTACATACGCCCGCTGAGGCATATTGGGGTGTGCGAGAGATGCTTTAGGCTTCAGAGAGGTGGTAGGAAGGATGGGAAAAAGGGGAGCGCTAGTGCGAAACGGAGAATTTGTACTAAATCCTTGCGATGGCAGCGAAAACGACTTGCATGATGTGTACTATGCTTAGATGTTGGTGTCTGAGGTGGCGGTGCGAATGACGAAACCAGGCGACGACACACCGTGTCGTAGTACGGACGCTAAATACTAACGACGATTTCGATGTGCAGCCGGGATATGTACAGTTAGGGCGTTGCAGCTGTAATACAGTAAAGTTGCCATCATCGGCGACGCCTCAGGCAGAGGTACAATGATGTGGATGGCAGAAAACCACCCCGGAAAATGGGATGGGGTGAAATCTAGACTACCGGTTACGGGAGAATGCGTCTGGTCTGCGGCCATCGCCAAACACCACCGAACGCACAATCGAGAGGAAATTCTTGGTGCTTAGGACGTCCCGATTGTGCACTTTCATCCGTAGTGGTCGTCTTCCAGGAATCTCAAATGGCGTCCAGTCTTGGTTGATACATTCGGGGTTGGGGCAACCCACCAATCCATGGACAAATTCCATTCTTCCCTTTCGAGCTTGCCATGGCCGAGATGACAGCCGGCGTCGGATGTTTTTCTTCACACGGCCGTGGCAGTCTGGGCACACGGAGGACGTACGATACTCATCTAGCAAGTAGCATGGGATGCTGTTTCTTGCAAAGAGTGTGCGGAATCTGATTTCCATGATGAGTTAGCATATTATAATACATGAAAAACAATGATGGTCACTCACCCCTTGGTCTTTGATGATTCCTGAAAGCGCATGGTTTTTCCAGCATTGCTCCAATCACCCAAGATGACTGAAAAATGCTTTCCATACAGGCGTCGCATGTTCTTGATGAGCTTGCCCTCAGACTTTTGCCGCAGTGAGAACGCCTTGGATCTGCGAGCCACGTGAATCTCATCCTGGTAAAACTCATCCAGGGCGGGATCTGGGATATGGATGTCAGCCCATGTATTTGAAGACAATGCATGATACATCATACCCGCATGTTCGTAATCCACAATGAACGCTGAGAACGCCTCGATGTTCATGCTCTCGTGTGACGGAATATGTGATTCCAACTCAGCGATGCCGGCATTGATCTTTCGCTCTGTCATGTCTCTTCGAAAGTACCGAGACTTTGTCTCGACCGCCCGTTGATTGGATGTGTATCTGGTATGGGGTGGTGCATTGTGAGAACGCGGCAACAGATGGTGGGGACGGTGAGGGGGGGGATGGTGGGGACGGGGACGAGGACAGGGTTGGCCTCGACACCGTCATGCAGGTCATCAACATGGGCCACGTGACGAGCGGGGAAGAGGGAAGAGGTGGATATGACGCGCAACATCCCCGACCGGATCCTGCTAGACGACCTCCTCTCCAAGATCGACGGCAACGAGCAAACCAACCGCGTCCGCTCCCTCATACACGAACTCCCCTTCAACATGGCCGGCAACACCGCCGTCTACAATGAAGCCATCGCCGACAGCCTCGCGGAAGACCGTCAACCCTCCGTCATCGGCGGCATCCCCGTCGACGGCTCCGTCATCGTCCAACTCCAGCAACGGACTCCTCGCCCAGATCTGCGACGGTGGCAACCGCTACAACATGATCAGCGCCACGGACACCTATGCACCATCTTCCGCGAAGTCGAGGGTTGGGGGGGGGGGGGGGCGGGGACAGCGGGGACAGCAGGGCAGTAGTAATCAACTGAAACGTACCGAAATGGCCGCTCCTTCTCGATGTCTCGACAGAACAGGAGGTCACGCTTGCCCGGATCAATGCAGACAATGTTTGGAGCCACCCGTAGTTCCGCGATGTGGTGCTCAAAATACAGCTGCTTGACTTCTTCCTGCATTTCGGCCTTGCTGCGCTTCCGGGCCTGAAGCCCATACTTGAGCTCTGGCTTCTTGGAGTGGATGGTAGCGGAATACCCGCTTGTGCTGATTGACCCATCAAATTTGAGACCAAGCTTCTTTCGATCCTTGAAGACCTTGTCCTGCAATCCGTCATTCAGCGAGGTGAGGTGAGTGAAATAAGCGCAGAGGGATAGAGACATACATTCACGTTGATAAACTGCCCCCACAGCTCCCGCTTGCGTTCATCGGTGAATTTCCCCATGCGACTTCGGCTCAAGCCCAGGATATGAGTGCCTAGGATCAGCATGCCGATCCAAACAGATGACTGGATTCGAGATTTGCGCAGCGGGATAGGGGAAAACAGCCGCATTCCACGGCGCTCATAGAGGCGTGAGAGCTCACAATAGGCACCCGTGATGAGGCGAGGCGGGTGCGGACCATGATTAGACAAAAGAGGAACCCGCGGGAGGGGGGGGCCGGAAATATACTAACTCACCTAAATATGGCATTGCGTCCACCACAAGGCTGTATGCAAGCTGTTCATCCTGGGGAGGAAACAGAGCCCATAACTCGTCGAGGACAGTCCGCTCAAGTCGTGTGAGGCGGGCAAACTCCTCTTCGGTTGGAAACTCTTCAAATGTCACATACTTTGTAAACTGACAGACACGCTGATAATAGCGTCGCCGCTGCGCTCGGTCGACTCCGGCACGGAGATGCAGTACGACTTGCTTCAAACCAAGCCTTTCATTGACGTAGCGCAGAAACATTTGCATGAAATGCTCTTGTACGTTAACTTTGAGGTTTGTGAGGATGCTCGTAGCCGTGTACGCTGCGGTCTGTTGGCAATTTCGCATGCGGATGGGGGCAAATCCGTGAACATCACAGTAGTCTTGAACCCATGGACGCAACTCTTGCGCGATGACTGGATTGCCATTGTAGCCTGGATTGTTTAGCAGCTCAAATATCACACTGATGTGCTTGTCCGTGATGTCCGGGAAATCGTGTAGAGGATGATCGGCTGTGGTGGGCAGACGTAGCGGTCAGGACATTGTTCATGGGAAATATACAGTGCAGCGCACCTCAAAAACTCACCAAGGAAGTGCTTGAGAAAGAAGGTGGTGTGGCGCGCAAGGACGTGAACGTTGCCGATGAATGCTGTCAGGCGCTCCCTTTGAACTTGATTTTGATTATGGATGATTCGGTGAAGCGAAACCTTGGTGCTGGAATGCGTCTGCCGGGGTCGTTGAGCGGGTGGTGGTGGCGGGGGTTCATACACCAGGGGTCCACCCGGTGTGCTGGGAAAAAGGAACGGGATGGGAGCGGGGAGGTTCAACGGATGCTGCAGACCCCTGTCCGCGGGTGAAAGCCCTCGCTGCTGTTGCTGCTGCTGCTGCCTGTCTTCATCGCCGGAACTCTCGCCAACCATGTCCGCAATTGCTTGGGGCAAGTGGCGATGGACAGAGGGTGGGAGCTCAAATTGTGGGGGTTGCAATGGTGTCTGCACAGTGGTTGGCAGACGCGGGTTAACGGGAGTAACCTTTCTCCTCTTCCGCCGTGGTGTGGTAGCTCCAGGAAAGATGCCACACCACAGGTGCCCCTGGAGCGCCTGGTGTGATGACATGATGGCCGTGCTGTGCCCTAGGTCAGCCGAGACAAATGTTGCAGGTGATTGCCGTGATAGCTGTGTGTCAAGGAACTCGCGTCAGTGCTGTGGTAATGAGGCTGAGAGCGGGGGAGGACTTACAGCCTGGCGCAGTTGTGGCGCAGTCGTGGCTTGTCCACACTGCTGATCGCCGCATCACCAAGACCACACTCTCCTCCTCTCACACAAAACGTCAATTGCTCGCAGCTCACGCAACTCACGCAGAGCACACTCTGAGCTATGGAAACGTCAAGCGCTCGCAGCGGACAACAGCCCCCTCACCCCCCCGGCCAACCCCCACCTCCTTTGAGCTCAAGCCCGGCAACTCACGCAGAGCACACTCTGAGCATGCTCGGCGCCGACGAGGTGAGTGGCCGCCGTGTAGCCGTGGGCGCCCCCGCTGGGTGTTGACCGCCTGGGCTCGCGGCCCATGCTGAGGACGACCGCCGCTTGCGGGAGGTCGATCTGCATGGGATGCGCTGTCTGGGCGTGTTTGCTTTGCGCTGATCTTGCGGCCCATGCTGAGCACGACCGCCGCTTGCGGGAGGTCGACCTGCATGGGATGCGCTGTCTGGGCGTGTTTGCTTTGCGCTGATCTTGCGGTCCATGTTGAGCACGACCGCCGCTTGCGGGGGGTCGACCTGCCTGGGCGTGTTTGCTATATGCTGATCTCGCGGGCTGAGCTGCTAACACCTTCCCTCCCCCCCTTCCCCTCTACCGCGCCACAGGCCACGCCCCCCGTCGCACCCACCGCGGTCGAGGCTCTTCTGATGGGCATGGGCAAGAGCCGCGGCGCAGCTATCTTCGGCGACACGGTGGCCTTTTTGTATCCCCTGCTGGTAGACGCTGGCCTTGCCGCCCGGGACGCCCGCCTAGAAGACAAGGCCAAGGCGATTGGCCTTTTTTCAAAGAAGATCAAGCAAGACAACCCCACCCTTTGGGGTTGGTGGATCAATAGGCCAACGCGGTCCCGTCACCAGAAGAAGCCTGCCAAGCACCACATTGGGCTCCGGTCCGGCATCATCGCCGCAATCAGCGATGGCAGTCTTACCACGGCCGACTTCTTGGTGGACCCCCAGCCCTCCGCTAGCCGCCCGGCTGCTCACATCGTGGTGCCAACACCCGCCTCGTGCGATGGCTGGGAGGGCGAGATGGTCTATGCGGGGTTTGGGGAGAGGCCGGCGAAGGCGAGGGGCCTGGATGGGCTTGAGCAAATTGAGCCCCGGGCGGGGGCTGACATCTACATCCGCGACAAGGACGGCGCCCTTGTGGCCACAATCTCATACAATACCGCGGGTCGTCGCGAACACGACCTACGGCTGGGGCTCATTGTCAAGTCCTGTGGATCCCGGCCGGCTGTGGTTCGATGGAAGGCCTCAAGGGGCACAATGCACGCCGCGGGGCTTTGTTGTGGCAACAAGAACTCGGGATATGCCAGGGGGACATCGCACTATTCAATGAAAGGAGGGGCAGACATGTCCGTAAAGACGTTTCTCGTCGCCACGGAAAAGGCCCTCACCAAGCGACTGCTGCAGGAGCTCGCCAAACGCAACCCCACCGCGGCGGCCTACCTGATGATGGCCATGCCAGAGGTGTACAGGCCAAATTCCAATGAGTTCCCCCCGCTGTTTGCCACCACCAACTATCAAGTGGTCGTTCTCTCCGACCCGTCGGACAACGGCGTAGCCGGCGTGCTGAACCCGCACACAGGACGCGCCATATGGAAGCCGACCCCGAAGGAGGAGCTTCCAGAGGAGCTTCAAGCCCGCAAACTATGCGCATGGGTGGCAGGCTACGCCGCCGCTCCGCCAACCGTTGTTGGCAAGTGGGTATTTGCGCTGCCAGAGCAAGGCTTCTACTTGGTGCTGCAGCCCGACTGCATGTGGACGTGGATGCCTGACAAGCTCCACGGAACGGCGGTGCTTGACACGTCCGGCGGCAGTTGCCACACAGCTGTTGTGACGCTGCCCCTGGCGACGGCCGCGGCCATCCGGAAATACGGCCTCCCTGATGAAGATGAATAACCCGGCAGTCATCCGTTCGGACTTTTTAGGTCGCCAGTCTAATATATAGCAACCCTCCGCTCTCTAACTCATCATCCGCTCGGGCCTTTTTGGTCGTCGGCTGTTAGTGTAGAAATGAATGCAATGTAAACAAGTAGCTACCCACGACGGTCTTCTGAAAAGCCTTCCTGAATCACACACTGCTTTTGAAAACTGTTAGAAACGCTCGAAGCGATTTGGATGAGGGCAGGATCGATTTGGATGAGGGCAGGACATCGGGGCCTCAAGTTTCCACGCCGGCGGGGCCACTCACCTTGCGATCCTCGGCTACAACACACTGTGGATTCAACGCTGGGGTCAATGGTCTTCCGACGCATTCGAACGGCATATCCGCACACACCCCAGCGTTCAACTAGCGGTGCGGCAGAATTCCGCTCCTATTACCCGAGCTGGGGTTGTATATTAGATCTCCTATTTATCTGTGGCTCATCTCCGCCCATCTTCATGTATATTTGCCATTTGCTCAATACACGGCCACTTCGCCCTACTTCACATCTACTTCATATCTACCCGACATCTAGCAACTTCAAACCGAGCGCAAACCACGGTGCATAGGCACAAACACGGTCCCCGGGCACTTCCCGGTTTGACGTGCGGGGGCCAAATTTCTCCCCAAAATCCATTGATGGCTGACTAGCACAGCGTGGGGTGAAAATTGGTCTCCCGACGGCGGCACTTCCCGGTTTGACGTGCGGGGGACAAATTTCTCCCCAAAATCCATTGATGGCTGACTAGCACAGCGTGGGGCGAAAATTGGTCCCCCGCCGGCGGGACTTCCCGGTTTGACGTGCGGGGGACAAATTTCTCCCCAAAATCCATTGATGGCTGACTAGCACAGCGTGGGGCGAAAATTGGTCCCCCGACTGCGTCGCGGCAATGACATCTCACATTCGACTTCACATCTGCGTCTGGCACCTAACCTCTCATATCGCCGCCATCTTTGGGTCGGACCGCGCACGGGGCTCATTTCTCGAACGCATATCATCTCTCATATCGTCATATGCATCTCATTTACCATATCGCCGAAGTTGGGTCTCGCCGTGCGCGATCCGGCGTCGTTGGGTCCAAAGATGTGCTGAATCATATGTATTTACGTATTGATTGTTGTTAATATACGTGTACGCGGTTTGCCCGCGAAGGTCGCTCGCTGGCTCTTCCCAAAGGGGGGAGCCCAGTGGAGCGATCAAACCCCTCGGTATGGGCCTCGGCAGTTGTCGTGGATGCCGCAGGCATAAAGCCCTGACAGATAGTCGATGAAGCCAATAGTACTGTCGTAAAACGCATCACTATGCACCAGATCTGCCGCAGTGATCGCGCGGGCCATTAACTTCTTCCTTCACAGCG